GCACGCACGCAACATCAGCGCCCCAAACCGAACCGAACGCAACGAGGGGAAGGGGAAGGGGAAGGGGAAGGAGGGGGACGCACGCTCCAAGAGATGCTCGCGGACCAAGATGCCCTGCGCGATGTTCTGGAAGAACGGGACGGAGTAGCGCGCGGTCGACCCGGGGGGCGGGGAGCGCACGCGGTGCGAGGTCGCGCGCGCCGCGCCGCGCGTCGCCACCTCCAGCCCTGAGCGCCCGCGTACATTAAATCAAATTAAATTAGAATGAATGGCGGGGGAGGGCGGCGGCGGCGGGCGCACCTTTCCCGATGTTGACGACGAACGTGCCCGGGAGCGGCGGGGCGTCCACCCACTCCCCCGCGAGGTTCTGCACCTGCAGCCCGGGGTGCTCCGTCGCCTGCAGCAGCTGCACCCCCGCCCATCATGCATCAGCCCACACACACCCCTTCCACAACACGGGACGCGACGCACGAAGGTGAGGAAGCCCGAGTCAAAGTGCGGCCCGACCCCCTGGTCGGGCTCGCCCCCCGCCCCCGGCGCGCGCGCGGGGTACTTGACGACCTTGGCGCGGTGCTGCATGTGCGCCGCGTCCTCGAAGAACGCGTCGAGCGCGCCGGGCGCGTGCCCGAGCGCCTCGGCGAGCAGGCGCGTGAAGGCGGCGCTGAGCGCCTCGAGCTGCGCGAGGTAGCGCAGGAAGGTGGCTCTGAACCCGGGGAGGAGCGCCTCGTCCGGCCACTGCTCGAAAGTGGGTCAAGGAGGGAGCTCGGAGAGGGTTAAGGGGGGACGCACCTGGGACGGCCCCCAGAGGCGGAGGTACTCCGGGTCGCCCGCGCGCCAGGGGCGCGCGTCGCACGCGGTCCCAAAGTCGAACTGCTCGCGCTGGTCCGCGCGCCCCTTGGTGAGCTCCGCGCCGAGGCGGGAGTACCCGAAGAAGTGGGGCGAGCGCGCCATGCGCACGCGGTCCTTGGCCGCCTGCGGGAGGTCGAAGAGGCGGGGGGCGTACGCGGCCACGGCGGCGACGTCGGCGGGGTCGACGGGCGCGTGGGAGAGGTAGAGGAAGCCGACGTTGATGAGGGCGTGCCGCAGCTGGGCGACGAAGGTGCCCCGGGTGTCTGGGCTGGAGAGGAGGGCGTAGTCGAGGATGGGGATGCTGGAGAAGTTGGCGGACATGGCGGACGGCGGGGAAGAGGTCACTCGAGGAGAGCGTGGATTTGTAGTGGGTGGTACATGGTACGAGCACAGTGTGTGATCAGAGGGAACGATGACGCGATCGGTGAGCCGTCCCACCGTGGAGACTATTCGCAATCTTATCGTATTTTGTAAAGGAGAGTCTACTGATCTAGGTTGCTCGGGAATAAATACAAGAATCGCTGCAGGGAATATTTTACGGTACAGATGGAAGACGCAGTCAGTGCACGGGCTTGGGCACCCGTCTCCTGCCCAGCCTGAGCTTGAGCCCGATGCGCGCATCCCGCCGCCTCCGCTCGACGAGCAGGTAGGTCACTGCGCCAAAGCCCTCGTCAGAGTCCAAGCGAATCGCGACGACGCACGGCGCTCACCGATGAATTTCTCGAGCGCGTGCATGACCTCCGACTCGGGCTTGATCTCAAAGAACGCCCGGTGGGACATCCGCCAGACCCCGAAATGCCGCTTGGGCGGGTGAAAGTCGGCGAACGTCTTCTCGGGGTCGTCCGCCCGTACAAGCTGTGCGACGTGCGCGTGAGCACCCGCACACCGGCCATGCACGTCCAACTCACCTGGAGGCTTCCCTTGTGCACTCTCCACCGATACTCCGCGCCCTCCCCGATCGTGAACGTCCCCCCACTGCAGCAAGAACCCATCAGCCACACACAACACAGCACAACACCGAAGACGACGCACTGCTGCTCGTCAAACGCCACGAGCTGCCCCGCGTCCACCCACTCGCCCTCGGCGCCGTCCGGCCCAATGAAGCGCACGCGCGGCTCCCTCTGGAACAAGTCCTCGATCTCCGCGACGGGCACGAGCGTGCGCGCCTCGAAGTCGTGCTTGACCACGCGCGTCACGTTCGGGTGCCAGTACCGCGTCACGATCTCGTAGTAGAGCACGTCGTCCCCCGCGGCGAGCGTCGTGTTCCGCAGGCTGTTCGTCGCGAACTCCATCTTGTGCGGCGGCTTCGGTGCGGGCTGGCGCGGCGGCATCGTGTCGTGGGGTCGAACTTGGCCGGGATGGTGCGACGGTGGGGGTTCATATACCCTCCCTCGTGAGTGACGGACACGGGCACCGGTGGAATGCGCGCGAAATGGGATGGGCGAATGGGGGGCGGGGGATTTGCCCGCCGAGAGCGGCAGGGCGCGAAGGCTCCCAGCGCTGTGAACGCGCGGTGCTCGTCTCCCAGGCATCTCCAAGTACTGGGAGATTGTGTTCACCCGATGCGAACATCCGTCGGTAGCCTCGTGGGGCCGAGGGTTTCACATCGTAGGAGACACGTCCGGCATGAAGAAGCGGCAACGCACCACCCAGATGAGGACAAAAGCCTGAGACTGAGAGCTGGCGTGCGATGCACCCGGCGATGACATCAGGCCCCCCGCTCTGGGCGACGAGAGGTTCGCACGTCGATGAGGACGTCCTGAGAGATCTGACTGCTCCGGTGCCTGCGTGTGTGCCGGCTTCTCAGGAGGGAGCTGCCAAGTGTCCACTGGGAGACGTCAGTCGTGACAGAACGCAGACAGGCCTGAAGACGCACAAGAATAGTCGATCCCACGTCAACTCTAGATCGCATCGTGACCAGTACGGCCTTTTCCCGGATCGGGGCTGTAGCCAGCCTGTTCCTGGGAAGACGTGTTGTTCTCTTGGGATGGCGACTATGAGAACGAGAACCGTGCGGACCTGACGCGCTCCCGCGAGCAGCAGCACTCGAGACATCGTATACCACACACCCAGAGCTCGGCCTCGCGGTACCGGTACACCGAGCACTTCCTGCTCAGGAAGACAGATCCCTTGAAGGTGGCAAGCGCGTTTCGAAAATGTGTATTTGCATCATCGTACTATTCCCGTATTCCTGTGTGCTTTTGTTCGTGGACGCTCGCGCTGCGCCCCATCGTTCCACCCCTTAGTGTGCGGCGCGCTGCCCTCGAGGTCTCCTTGCCCGATCGTCAAGGCCGGTCTCTCGAACGGCGAACGCCCGGACCTTATTTCACGCCCCAGAAGCTATGAATAAAAACGGTGTTCGCATTCGTAGGCGGCCTTATCAGCCTGCAGCGCCACGATCGAGCCTGGACGACATGCGGTTTATCTCAAGGTCCGAGTCTATCACTGTGTCAGGACGACGCACGAACTGCGCGGAGCGAACGAATTGAAGCGTCTGCCGCCAGGCTGCGCGAAACAGGCCTTGGAACGAGCGACGGACGTGCGGGTTCTTCGCAAACTTGACTGGACTTGCCGTGCTGCGGCATACGGGAAACAGCCGGAGGGCGACCGAAGGCGATGTAAGATAGATAGACGGCGGGTCAGTACACACGTCGCGCGGAATTGGGATCGGCGCAGGAATAATCGCATCGACGAGGGACGGCGAATGGTGATACGGACGCGCAGGGTCGGAAAGGGAAGGGGGTGGCGAGATTTTCACAAGTATCGGGCACAGATGTGGCCGGGCCCATACACCATCGCGTCTTGCAGTCCGGATCGGTGATGGAATAATCGTGTGAGCGCTGTGTCCGATTCCTGCAGCAAGCCAAAGAGAGCGGCCGGCCCAGAGGTCTGCAGTGTAGATCTGTCAAACTAGCATGCGGTAAACCGGCGGCGCGCGTTTCTTGGCTGGACATCGCCACAGCAACCAAGAGAAACACGAATGCGGTGGCATAGAGAGGACCGCTCACTTTCCTATCCCCCCGGGGATGGTTGACGCGCCTAGAACTGGCAGGTTTCCGTCAGCGTGCTGAAAGTGGTGAAGAGATGTTCATGAACGCGATATCTTATCTCGATTCGTCGAATACGCACCGCAAATATAGAGGTGCTTGCTCATTCATTGCGCACAGAAATAATGCAGCCGCTCAGCGACAAAAACCCAGAGAGAATGCAGGAAACCGGGCTGTGGAGTGCCATCATCCAACGATCCGGAATCTCGGGAGCAGTCATGTCGGAGCACAGATGGATATGCCCTTAGACACGGCTGCCTGAGATATCAATAACATCCAGCAAAGATGGGGCACTAGGCAAAGGCTGTGGCAATCCAGTCGCGAGTAAGTATCTCCCACGGTGGATGGCCCGACTTTGTTTCATGCCCCCAAAGCTATGATAGTGGTATTAGAGAGGAGCCTATCGAATATTATTCACGAACGCTCGACCTCTGTGCTTGGTGATTTCCTTGTTGTGTCCTTGCTGCGAGTACGATCGTCCATGTCCGTATTCTGTCGCCGAGAAGCGGAGAATTTGAGCATGGAATCTCAATGCAGAGCACTGTTACCCGCCAAGAGGTATGTATGTAGCGCGAACTAACAGCGGGATCTCAGACACTACCTCCCATACGCGCGACACCAAGAACCTGTTCGCGCTCAGATACACGAAGAGTATCTCAGCACAAGCAAGTTCTCGGTGTCCTCGAACCCCAGAATGCCAGGATAATGCAACTAAACGGGACGTTACGTTGCGAGAGTCTTGTGTCGTGAGATGTACAGTCTGCGAGTGGTTTTTGCCGTTAGAGCGTGACAAAAAAAGACTTGGATTGGCTTACCTGCATACCTCTCGAGCACGTCGCAGCGGTATGCCGGCATGGGCAGCGAGAGTTCAGGACAAGTCCTGGGCGTCCTTGCCAGCTGTCAACCACAAATACAGCCTAGAAGTGCATGCGGAGGCTGCAGGGACTGGCACTTGTTGTTGATGGCCCTTGGAAGGCGCGTGGAAAGTGGACAATGTTGGCGCTGCAAATTCGGCCGCGGTGGCAACGACGAGATCTGTATCATAAACTGGAAAGGGTCTTTTCGCTACTCATCTGTTTGTTGTGTCGATGATCCGCAGGATGCGGAGGCAGAAGGAAGGGGCTGCAAGGTGCTGGCAGCCGTTGACTATGGACGTGGATATGCGAGGTCCGGGGGACAGTCATTTATCGTAGACAGCGAAGGCAGAATGAGGGTGCAGAAATGCACCGATGACACACCACGTCAACCGGAATCCAGCGAGGAGGAAAGTCACCCTAAACCATAAGATCAATGCTAGCAATAAAACATAGAGATGATTTTTACGGGCCCTAGGTCGCGTCAAGCCGGTCGACTGGCGGATGCAGCAGTTTCGGACGTGTTTCTGCTCACCACTGTCGCGCACCCTACAACTTTCCCGGATTTTCGTCCTACACGCTGCTGGGCTCTCGAGTAAAGCGTCATCCTCCCTAACGGACGCAGTCGCGTTTGGAGTGACAGAGGGGGGAGGAAATCGGGAACGAAGGTAACTTATTGACCGTGGGCCCAATGCTACGCGCACCACTTACCCGCCCGCTGCATCCCTCTCGAATATGGTGTCATCTCGAAGCCGCGACTTCTGGCTATCGGATGTTGTCACGTTTGAAGCTATAGAGGGGAGAGATATTTGAGAACAAATGTTGAAGTCGAAGGCGAGCGAGTCGGCTAATTGTCAACCGTGCTGGCGGCTCCCCTAAACTGATCTCGAGCTTTCTTCTGAGCTAGACTGGGGACGATGAGGAGGGAGAGAAAGACGGGCCTAACGCTGGCAATTAATGAGCGCATAAAGGCGCATAAGCGTCACGGTAAGCGCCTGCCAGCACACTTTAGGACATACTGACCGCCACAGTCACTGGCATGGCAGTCATACCGATGAGCGGGCAAGTTCACGCTACTCATCGGTATACATGCTGCGGTCCAGGCTGCCTCACCGCAGATCAATTGAATGTTCAACATACGACGAGTCCCTCCCTCTCATTCTTCCTTCTCCACTGGCCCTTCCACCCCCAGTTGAAATACAGTACTTGTGGCTGAAATTGCTGTCCTCCTTGTAAGAGGTGAGTTCGGAGACTTGGAAGGAACATCCCTGCCGTCTGCGGAAAATGTACTGTTCTTCGATAAACAACACATCGCAGTCGTAGCCGAATGCATCATCATTCGGCTACGACTGCGATGTGTTGTTTGTCAAAGAACTTTAGCACATTTTTTCAAACTCACCCTTTACAAGGAGGACAGCAATGTCAGCAGCGAGTATTTCATGGCTACCATCATCAACAGGGCAGAAAAGGACAAGGTGCATGGGTATGTCCTGGCCCAACAGAGTGTTGATTGCCAGTCATGCAGCATCAGCGGATCTACAACACCCAGGTCCATGGCAGATTTCGAAATGCAGATGTGCTTCTGTCCTGCAGACTCGCGGGTTTTCGAAGGATGCATGTGCAGATTGAAAGCCGTGATAAAGCTGACGAAAGACTAGTCCTAGTCCTTGGTCACCTCTGTCACGGCTTGCGAGTCGCATGGCGAGGTGAAGTCGAGCAGTTGCAAGGGATTGGTTTGATGGTAACACAGGCTTCGAGCTGTACCCAAGTAACTTCTGTGAGTCTCTCTAAGCCAGATTCGATGTTTCCACTGACTGAGGGTCATTAATTCATTGCTGTTCCGGATGTGAATTAGTTTCCTCTGGCTGGACTCCAAGTCTATTTTCCACGAATTTTATTAACACGAACTTCATTGGGTATCTCATGCTTGTCTTCACTTACTCTACCTGCATGCAGCGTATCTGTTCAACCACATATTTTCCCTTGCTCTCGTACACTCTATGCTGAATACATTTTTGCTCAGTGGATCGGCCTACAAATTCTTATCTATCCGTGTCAACATCTTCTCCACCTCCGCCTGCGTCGAAGGTTGCCGGTACCTGATATGAGACATGTCTAGTTTACTAAGGGAAGGGTTAAACAGCCCCGAACATATCGGCTAGCATCACGACTGTAAGAGGCCAAGGAAACAGTCCCGTAAAAAAGAAAATACAGATGTCGACGAGCGTTCGAGACTCGACTGACTCGCTCGGCTCAAACACCAGCAGAACTGACGATCCTTACCGCCTGTCGGTGATGCAGACAAGCGTGGTCCTGCGCTAGGGCTAGGAGCAGCGCTGACACGGGAGAGCAGGAACGCGGGCGCATGCCGCGTCCCTGCCTGCGGTACGCTCCGTACGCGGTGGGCCATCGGCGGGCTTTATTGGCGCGGTACCCGATCGTAGCGAAGAGCTAATGCTGGCCACCGATGGCATTCAGTGAGATTCGCTCCCCGTGGACATGCCGGGTGTCATATAGGTCATATAGGTCTAGCCGAGACGGGCAGAAGGAAAGCTTGCGATCTTCAAAACGTGCATGATCCTGGATCGAAATTCAACGCGCAGTCGTAAGTGCATCCGGAAACACACCTCTGTTCGACGATATCTGTCTCTGCGGCATTTGACAAATCGTGGGGAGCAATGTGTAGGGCATAGTAGCGTGTCTGCCAGGAGCCGCAAAATCGGGGCCGTCAGGCATACGGCCGCCGCCAATTCCTCGCGGATCTGGGCCAAGGGTGAGGATACTTCGATTAATTGACTCGGACGGCGTTGCAGACGATATCGGTAACGATCTAGCGGGGATGTTGGTCCTCGATCGGGGAAGATGCGACGCAGCTGCCAACTGCAAATTGATGCACCACATCAGTCGGTGTCCTTCCAGTAGTTACAAGAAAATATCAAAGCCATTTACACGTTGTCGCTGAAAGAACATGGGATCGGCCCGAATCCTCGTGATCTACGCAAGTATACAGATGGAACCGACTCGGACGTTCTTAGTTTTGCATCTCGACTCTCGAGGGTGGAATCAGAACTCGAACCTTGAAGGTGTCGGCGTTACGCTTCGGAACGAGGGAGACGAGCTTTCTCCGTGTACCCGTTTAGCGAGCTGATCCTGGACGAATTGCGAGGAGAATTTCCGTTCCGCTGCATGCTTGAAGGATAGGCGTCAACGTGGGGATGACCTCGTCCACGATGTTGGCGATTACTGCGTCGTCGCACTCATTGGCTGGGAGTATATATAGTTCAGGCACGGGTGCGGAGTGAGGTGAACGAAGAACGAGACCATGACGTCCGTCCATCGTTTGAACGATACGACTTTACCGCACCTTACAAAATCCCAGACATCATCGAACGCGCTAGAACTCCTCGCAAACCAAGACCGGAGCCCATCACCGGGAACCCGAGGTTAGGCTTGCATGTCCCCTCCTTGACAATGTCAGCCATTGAACACTTTCTGTACAAGTTAATGCACTCAACTCTCGCTCCATAGATCTGAGCGACCACGGCCGCATCCCAAACCCACTCACAGTAATCGTTCGCCCGAGACCCACCAAGAGATTGTTTGGCGCTGATGCGAGAACGTACAACCATCTCCCGTCGGACTGTTTCTTGGTACTGACTATTCGTTCATGACATCGAAAAGGATAAGCATTAATCACACGCGTCCGCAAAATCTCTTGCTTCAAGGATTGCCGCCGGCGAACCAACAACGCTGAAAGTTATGACCCAAGATGCGTGTTGCCAGAGGACGAGGACCGCTACGTCCGGTCGGGAGGTCGGAGTTCAGCCGGAGCGGTATAAGAGGGTGGAATCTGCCGACGTGTAGACCCGTGTCTCAGGTATCGGCCAGAGATTTATAACGCACCAGCACCTGGTGAGGATGGCACAGTAACGTGTTACATCGACCGTCGTGCAGGCTGCCAAGACCTTGTATTCACCGGGGACAGAGGTAGCAGAGGGAAATCTGGGAGATGATATGTCACGAGATGGTAAGTGCAACCACACGAGTGTTGAATCACAATGCAGTGGGCACACCTGTCTTGGGAATTGTCATCTTATTGGCCGTCTGTGCACGCTTTCTCGTCGTCACGGTGGACATACGCTGCATGAGATTCGGTAGGCAGATTCCCGGTTGTATCGACACTATTTCCACCCGTTTCCGAGCTGCAGAGAAATACGCACGTATAGACAGAAGCTCGATAAAATTGTTCTTAAGCATCTCGCTATTGCAAGGAGTAGATCCATTCGCAGGCTCTTCGGGAGGGGGCATCGCTGAGGTCTGTAAGAATCAATATGCGCCAAAAGCAATAGCACTCACCTCTCGATTTACATCAGCACGAAGGCACGGCTCATGAGGAGCATTTTGTAGCTGTGCGGGAATACTGTAAGAATTTCGGTTGAATCGGAAGTATACTCACCGCCCCTTTCAACTCGAGTGATCGCGGTTTCGGCGAGATATTTTCAGCGCTGTTATATGTCGGGACAAGTGCTACAGTAGTCTTCCATGGAATATAGATGAGGAAGATGCCACGAAGTGGGTGCATGCGTTGAACCAAGATCACAGGCGCCGGCACCAACGAATCTTCCCCAGCTACCACCACGTCCGCCTGCAGCTGCTGCCACGCTTGTCCTCCTCGTCCTCTCTTCCTTGAACGCAAACTTCAAGGAAAACCTATGCTTTCTTCTCGGTTTGCTTATCGCTTGTCAGACGGCCCCATACCTCGGCCGCTTTAGTGCGAAAACTGGTTGCCGCACCCTATACCCAAGTCGTTCCGCTCACTCTTTGTATGTAGAGCTGTCGAGCTACCTCTAGGTATCGGAATTTTCATGCGTCTAACTGATTATTTTCTCTCCGTAGGACAGCTATCCACCATAATCGGGCAGCCAGGTTAAATGTGCAACGGAGATCCGGCGACAGAACGGTCAAGCCGATGCGAATCGTGGGTATGCTGACCTCTCCATTTTATGCCGTGAGTAGAGAAAGTCATTAAATCGCAAGTCAGGGAACGTATCAATCCTGGGCTAGAGATTGGGCTGGAGATTATGCTCGTGCCGCTGCTGAGGAAGGATAACTCCTGATTGTCGTCAGGGACACGTCTGTTTGAACGTTGAGGACGTCTGCCTGGTCAGTTCTATTTGTTATTCTGATGTAGCCCTCACTAACGCTGTATTCGTGCACTTAGTTGGAATGGGGTATCGGTACGTGGTGTTACCGTCTTTCCTCCTTGTCTAACTATCGTCGTTGCTTTTTAAAGGACAGAGCTCGTTGACGCTTCGATAAATAAACTCCTACGCCTGCACTCGGTTTTCTGGCGTACTCTCAGACGGTGCTCTCGCTGCTTGATAATGTCTTTTTCCCTTGGCCTCGTGCATCGGCGCATGCATAATCCTGGTGGAATCGTGACCTAGGACAATAGTATGGACTCACAACTGTCGTGCCTTGCTTTCCCTCTTCCAAGTAGCTGGTGCCATTCTATCTACCTCGTTGAACTTTTCGAGTGCATTGCTTATCGCGGGACATTTCCCCCATTACAGCTCTGTGTCTGCCGATTTCCGAATAAACGCGTCTTGTGTGTCGTGATTCCTCTGGATCGTGCGTCTCCCTTTCGACCGCCAAACTCTTCATGTCTCGCATAGCTCCTCTTCACGAATGTGCCAGTGATGCGACGGCGACTTCGGCTCATCCACCGGGGGATGCACTGTGCTTCTAAACGTGGAGGACGGTGTTGTACGTTATAGAGCAGGCTAGGCCGCGTTATCGCCTCTTATCTGTGAGCGTTTCTGTCTCCACGCGGAGGGTTTGTTCGTCAGAACTGGTGAGTTGTTGTTCCTCTTACGTTCTGTATGCCTTGTTGACGGTGTTGCAGTGCATGTGCGTTGCGCTCGAAGTCGCCTGGGACGCGGTGCCGATCTGCTCAAGGGTCTCCGTACCGGTGAAGTGGCTCTACTCCGCACGACTCCGACGACAGCGGCCCAGGGCTACTCTCGGAGGGTTGAAACGATGGCGCGCATCGCTAAGGTCGCTCTGGTGGCTGCTGGCTGGTGGCCTGAGCAGGTCTGATGTGGACCGGGAGGGGTGGGCATGTCTGTAGGGAGAGAAATAAATGTTGTTGGAGGAAAATGGGGCGCACGGGCCTTGTGAGCTGAGCCGGATGAGAGGGCCGGGATATGCCGAGCGAGGGGTTGAAGGTTTGCTGTTGACCATCAACCGCGACCACTCTCTCGCCAACGTCCCGCGCCCACCACCGCTGCCGCCCTTCTTTCGCTCTTACGCGTCGATAATGAGCAAAAAGAACGCAAAGACACAGCCGCCGAAGGACAACTCGTACGAGCTCCGCGATGTCGTCCTCGCAAAGGTGCGCGGCTACCCACCCTGGCCAGGCATGGTGCGTGATCTCTGCCTCGCGCCGCGTTTTGATCCTCATATCCTGCACGTATCTGCGTTACTTTTGCTCGTGCACGCGTAGATCGTGGATCCAGAGAGCGTCCCCCAAAACGTCTCCAACGAGCGTCCCAATGCCAAGTCGAAAAAGGGAAACTGGTACTGCGTCCGCTTCTTCCCTGCCGGCGATTAGTACGTGTCCCCTTGCTCTCCCCTTCGCGCACCCGCTCACACCGATTTTACCCTCAGCGCTTGGATGGTTCCCAAAGATATCTCCAAGCTCCAACCGCACGAGATCCAGGCGTACATCAACGAACCCTACAAACGCTCTGGCGACCTCCTCCAGGGCTATCGCATCGCCCTCGATCCCACCAAGTGGGAGGAGGAGCGCGAGGCCCTCCGTGCCGAGGCCGCCGAGGCGGAGGCGAACGCTGAGGTCGACCAGCTCGACGCTAGCGAGGAAGACGAAGACATGGACGAAGGAGAGCCCAGAAAGAAGTCTCGCAAGCGCAAGCGCGACTCGGAGCCCGCCCCTGCTAAGACAAGCAGGGCGAAGAGCAAACCAAAGAAGGAATCGGCAGAGCCCGCCCCCAAGAAGAAGGCGGCAGGCGGTAAGGGCAGGAGGAATGGCGTCAAATCCAAGGCTATGGTCGAGTCCGAGGATGAGGGCGCGGAGCCTGAGGAAGAGGATGCCGGCCCAAGCAAGCAGACCTCGCCGCCACCCGCAAAAAAGGCGAAGCGAGAAAATCAGGGCGAAGAGGAGGGCGAATGTGAGCTTTCTCCGACTAAGTTCGCATTTGTTGGATCCCTGGACCTGATAATCCGTGATTCTAGCCGCTCAGAGCAACGACCCAGAGGCCATGAAAGTTCGGGAGTGGAGACACAAGCTACAAAAGGCATTCTTGGGCAAGGTCGTGCCCAAGGAGGAGGTACGCCCTATCGTATCGCCATCGTCCATACTTTGATTTGTACCTTCGCCCCTCCAGGAGATGCCCCCTTTAGACCAGCTGTTCGCGACTATTGAGAATTACGAGAACATGACTATCCACTGCCTCTCCGTAAGTCTTTACCCGCTTCCCTTCTGTCGTGCTTGCGCCGCGCTGGCGCCGCGCATGCGCTCACGCACAAAGTTTCCCGCGGCGCCCTTTCACATGATCACGCCACCCTACTTCTTCCGCATCAGACATGGTATAAGCTGACTCGCGCCGCAGTTCTCGAAAATTGGCAAGGTGATGCGGCATTTACACGCGCTCTCCGAGGAGAAGGTTCCCCGCGATAGCGAGTTCAAGTTCAGGGATCGCGCCAAAGCGCTCGTCGACAAGTGGCAGGATATCGTCAACGCGAACAAGACGAACGGCGAGCCCAAGACCTCAGCGAACGGTGCGAGTGCGAGCCCGCAGAACAAACCCGAGGCGACGAACGGGAAGGTCCAGAGTGAGGAGCCCAAGGAGGGCCATGAACTCGCTATGGAGGTCGATGCGGATGCGGATGCGGACGCGAAGGGCGAAGAGGCGCCTGCTGCAGACGCTGAGGCGGAGGAAGAGCCGGATGATGCCCATGCTGACCCGGCTGGCGACGAGTCTGTTTTGGCCGATGTCACCATGTCGGAAGCTGCATGAGGACTGCCTGGCGTGCTCGAGCCCCGTGGTGCGTACTGGTCAATATAAGGCTGTACGCCCGCGGTTCGGCTTCCCAAACACCTGTTCTGACCGGATGGCATTTGAACCTACCGCGTCTTGGACATCTAAGCGTGTGTTTTTTTACTTGTTACCCTTGTTAACTCTTTGTAGCTTTTCTTTTTCCGTGCCTTGTCGCTGATCCCTTGCGTTTACGGTGTCTCTTCTCCAAGATAGGCTCTTCCATGATGTCTCTGCGCCTTTTCTCTGCGGGGGCCTCTTATGGCGCTCGCCTTTGGCGCAGTAAGGTATGATATGCTACTATGTCGGGTGTATATAATGAAATACATGCATTGAACGAACACCGTGCGTTTGTACATACCAAGAGCTGGTCAAGAGCATGCAAGACTAATGTAATGACGCGACAGATGGTCAACAGAACGGATGCGAATAGATAAGCTGTGGGCGAGGGAAACAGGTAGCGGCATTGGTTCGAGAGCATCAGGTCCATCTACGAAAAGCCAAAAGAGATCACCTGAAGTCCTACGCGGCTAACTCGCCGGCTGTGGTGATTTCGACTCGACGTCCGCCCACGGGGACTCCTCCGTCACCAGGTAGTCCACGGGGACGCCTGGGGACAAGATAAATCGTCCCGGAAGGGACGGCGCCGGTGACGGCGTCCGCGTGGGGCCTACAGAGGGCGAGTGCGGGACGTTGAGGGAGCTTGCTGGTTGGTGGATGCCCAGTGCGTCCGGACTGGCAGTCAACGGCATTACCTCAGGCGTTGGTGGAGCAAAGAGCGGCGAGTCGGGTTCGACGAGGTTGAGTGGCGGCGGGCGCGGTGGATAGGACGTCGCGACGACGGTACCGGCCGACGTCGCATTCTGTGCAGAGTCCGGCGTTAATTCTGAGTCGGGGGAGGAAGGCTCAGAGGAAGGTAGAGACTTGATCGCGATTGCGGATGAGGAGGAACGGGCGCGGCTGTGCGTGCGGGGGAGCGGTGCTGACTGGCTGGACATCCTGGGGTCTGCGCTCAGGCTGCCGCACTGGCGCTCTACGAGACGCAGTGCACTCCGCAGGGCCTCACGTTCCGCACACGCCTCGCGCAACTCATCTTCCGTCTCGGCAAGCTTCCTCCGCTCCGTCGCCACCATCTTATTTGCCTGGGCAACGAAAGGGATAAACGGTCAGTCTTTGGGACAAAATCCTAAGACGAACCTCTTCGAACAGGGCCTGCGAGAGAGACTCGATTTCTGCCTCAAGCGTATCCTTGGCAGCCGCTGCCTTCTTCCGCGCCTCACGCTCCCGCTTGAGCTGCTCGGTGAGATCTTCGAACTCTTTATCTCGCTCGTACGATGGCACGAGTGAGGGGAGGGAGGCGGATGTAAGGTGCGATGTGTGCGTCTGTGCCGCGACATTCGGAGATGGACTGCCGGTTGCACTCACACTAACGCTCGTGCTGGCACCGTTGATGTGCGGGGACGCCGGAAACGTCGCTGAGGTCGCACTGCCGCTGCCAAAACGAAACTTGAAGAAGCGGCTGTCAGAGGTAATCGGAGAAAAGACGGACGCAGAGCGGGGAAGGGGTGACTTGATTGCGGGTGAATGGGCGTGTGGCGGGATGGGCGACTTTTGTGAATGGGCGACGTCGACGGAACCAGCGCTATCAACACTTCGGCGGCGTTCCTCCTCTGCCTCGCGCTCTTTCTGCTCCTTGGCGCTCCAGCGGCGCCAGCCGATATCGCGCGCACTGCCAGAAGCATCACGCTTGAGGGCATCTTCAAGCATCTCGTTGTTCGCAAGGGCCAGCTGGAGGTTCGACTTAGTTAGCGTGAGCTCTGTCTGCATCTCTGTCTGCGTTTTGAATGCTTCCTTGAGCAATGCCATCTACAAAGTTGGCGATCGATGCGCCAGACGCAAGGCCACTGTCAGACGAGATTATTAACGAACTAAGAAGGTTGAATGCGTACGAGTTCCTCTACCCTGCATATCGTACGACTTAGTGCGAGTTTCAGATCCTCTTCCTGGCCCTGCGAATTGACTCGCTTGATATCGCGCAGTTCCTCCTCGACCTCAACAAAGTATGGTCCCTTCGAGGCCACCAGGCTGTCGACTCGCCGTGGGAGAGTGCGGTTGGCGGGGACAGACAGCATACCGATACTTTGTGTGTCGTGTGGCTCTAGAAAGTGGCACGTACGTGGCGGTGGTAGATAGAGGATGGGCCATTGTGAAATTGTCGGGAGGCGGACAATGAAAGTCAGTCACGATTCAGAGCAAAAGACGCGATGAAAAGCGCACCGGACAATTGGAGGACCCAGCCGCAGACTCTCTCTACCTCTCATATGCAACAGCAATACTTGTCGTTCAACGACCTAGGAGGCAGAGCACTCGACGAAATGCCAAGGGCAGGCAGGCAGGGGCGGCGGCACGAGTTATGCAGCCCCAATCGGGCCACTGCGCACGAATTCCGAAGCCTGCCTGAACTTATTTAAAGGCCTGAACCTCGCCGAAGAAAATTCTGAACAGGGAACACCCACACAGCAAGCAGGAGAGATGCTAGGATAGACGGTGGGCGGTCTGAATAAACATGAAGTGGATACAACTGTCTACTAGCGCGGCATGGGCGTCACATCCGTTAATCGTCTATGTACTATTCCCCGCCTTGTACGGAGAGCCCCTGGTACATACAGGAAACATCAACTAAGAAAAACTACATAACAGAAGTGATCAAAACCACCAAGACGACAGCCCTGGGGAAGGTCGAAGACTCGAAACCGGGCTACGCAAGCGATACTGCGCGGCGCGCCGGGACCATCCCACGAAGCTCAGGCGATCTCAGATTCTAAGTACCCCGCCTACGCCATCGTGCCTGCGCCTGTTACAGTGAAGATCTTCATCGGCGACACCACCTACTTTCCGCAGAAAGCCTCGAACATACACATGCCAAATAATCTGACAGGACAGTCATGGATGGTCCGTGTATCGTGGACTACATAGCTGTGTCAGCTTCAGCTTGGACTATTGCTGGTTGACTTGCCTTAGGCAGAAGGGCCATAGAAGCTACCAACCGACATTCGGTCGAAATGCGGACGAAGTTGCCGAGCACCGACAAGTTATAAAACTCCAGCTCCGGTGCCTCGATCAAAGAAAACGGACCCAGTGTCAATCAACCGATAGTGGATCGCTGCACTCCTTGGGACTAGGCTAAAGCGCGGGTTCGAAACAGCAGGCCCAGCATGCAACGCAATCTGAGGACATAGATTTACAATTAAGAGCGTTGAAAAGTCATTGAGATTCCAAGGAAGATTTTACCTGACCGCTCACAGCGCCGCTCCGTCCGCTCGAAAGCGGGAACACGTCCACGCGGTAAGTGCATAGTTGGAGGAGATGTCGGAGAAGCTCGTCGGGTTCGCCTGGAGTCACTGTATGATATCGCAGTATCAGAGCGAAATTCATCTGTCCAGGGGATCCTTATTAGCCTAACACTATATTAGGCAGCTGGCATGGATTGACACCTTTCTCGATAAAGCGCACAGCATGCGCGAAAATCGTATGAGTTCCAGGACGGGTAGACCGATCCATTCAAGGGTTACTATATCGTCTAGAATGACAAGGGTTTCGACATGGAGAGCTTCGTCATAATTGGACAGGGTGGAACGCAGTTTGTCTAGCAGAGATTTCACGTATTCTATCGCAGAACTGTCATAAGGAGGAGGAGATGCGATTCCTTGCATTGCATCGAGGAATACAACGGATTGGGCCGCGAGGCTGCGTGCAAAACTGGGACTCTGTCATAGTTGAATAACTGATCTACTATTTTGAAAGCGGAATATGCGACTCACTATTTGTCCTGCAATAGATTTCCATCGAGCGGAATCCTGGGCGACAGAAAGGATGATACATTTCGCATCCTTGCTCTTCTTTAGATGTGCAAAGAGGCTGCGGTGCAGGAGGAAGTCGGCAGGCGAGGCGAGTTCGTCGGTAATAAGCAATATCTCGCCCGGTAGAGGAAGATCAAGTGGAAACATAGGGATTTTGCCACTTTGTAGCCTACAAGACACGAGTAGCGTGCAGCGTCGGTGGGTCCGACGCGCAAAGAAGATAAATTTCGTAAAATGAGAAGATCCCGCAACGATCTCAGCCACATCTTTATTTGGCTGATGCGTTTTCACAAGGTCCAGCCTAACACACGCAAGCAACGCTGCGTCACACGAGCGGCCGCTGCCCGTAATTCATTCCCTATGGTTCTTGACGTCGGTGCGCTCCTTCCAAGGGTCTGATGTCCGTTACCTCAGCTGCAGCCAAAGACTACCCAGATTTGTGTCTGAAGGCGTATTTCTTCGGGCCAAGAGGCACAGCTCGAAGCGGAAGATATTCCTCTAACCAGTATCTTTACTCTGACTCAGGGAGCCTAGGACTCTCCTACCACCTTCTTGGAAGCACCCGTTAAACTTGTACTGCTCCCTCCCCTCGGTCCTGCCGACTGAATGACCCTTGGAGTGACAGTCGGACTGCACTGGATGTAAGAGAGCATTATCTTCAATTCTATTCCGTAGTATAGACCTGCTAGTTATGTTGCCCCATTGATCTGACCGTGTCGTTCATTTGCCGCGTTTGTTGTCAATCGCGTCCGCTCAAACGTCTAATACAAGAAGCTCTGTATGCTGTCTTTCGCGTGTATCCAGAGGTTGCTAATATCCGTGGACAATCTTGTAGCATTCCCGGTATACTGAAGTGGAAACATCACAATGCATAAGCATGTCTTCTCTCTCAGCCGTCGTCACCTCTGCAATCACTTATACTGCAATGTTCTATTTGAGCACTTAACGCCCACTCAAAGGGATCACGCAGTCATACAAATCTACACCTGTGTTCATGGTTGTAACGACGGGTCGGCCCGTCTTGCACCTACTGCACTCCCGGAGAGTAAGTCGCAGCGAAGGCTCCTGCGGATCGGGTCTAGCTCCTCGCTTTCCGCTACATCTCAAATTCACAAGGATTATTACATACCATAGCTTATGGGGCGGCCCTTTGTCGGGCTGTCAGTACAGTCACCCCTACGTCAGCGTCAAGATGGGCCAGTGCACTTACTGAAAATGTACACATTGCAGGGGATAATTCTATTGAGAAACCCCCAGAAACCCGGAAACCCCAGAAACCCCCTTAAGTTGCTCAGCAACCTGGTTTCTGTGCAAGGGAGACCGTTGACAGCCGGCCGGTTTTGATGGGGAGCCGCGCTTGCAGTCTCTTTCTGAAAGTGAGTAAAGTGCGGCCTCCCCGTAGCAGAGGCCTCGCTGCGAAATTGTAAGTTGATTCGGGGCTTACCGATCACACAGGAGCTCGGTACACTCTATGTACGTGAACAGGACGTGTCGGGCGGGACTGACAAGGCTTACGGCGGGTGCCAATTTTCCCTCTCCCTCTCCCATTCTTGCAAAAATTTACTTTAAGAATATGCAGAGTGCATGCAGGCAAGGTCTCTCGATCTTTTGTCAACTGCCATGAGAAGCTGAGGAGTGAGTCTGCCCTGCCTTCCCGCACAAACGATGATGCCAACATGGCCGCCCCAGGAGGGCGTCCGGCCGGAGTCCGAAACTTCCTCCGGAGAGGGAAACCCCACAAGTTTCCAAATTGAGGGGTTTCTCCGAGCAGCCTCAGAAACCCGGGGTTTCTTGGGGTTTCCGGGTTTCTGAGGGTTTCCCAATAGAATTATCCCATTGCAGGCGGCGGCCACGCGTCCGCGGATACGAAAACGGTGGGTTCGTGAGCAAGGGTGCATAGATACCCGTAACACTATGGCAACCAGGCTACTAGAACGCAGTGGTGACGAGGAGGAGCCAAATTGCAGGTTTGATCAAACACCAGGGCGCCGTATTTTTGTCCAGTATTCAGGGGAGTCGATCATGGTGTTCTAGCGCGGTGGCCATCGTTCTTAGTCGCCTACCTAATTTGGATCCATCACGGCGGAGTATGAATTTGTTCAGCAGTGTTGGCTGCAGCTACGCATGCTCCCCGTTCCTCAACGCCACCGCCCTCGACGTGCCTTTCTAATCCCTCAGCTTCGAATTTACAGACCAATATGTTCGAGCCAGTGCGCGGTGGGACTCGTGGAGGGCAGGCCGAGTTTAAGTGGGCCGACGTCTCGGCGGACAAGGACAGAGAAGTGCGTTGCCTCACTATCCGCCTACTCGCCCCAGCTGATGAAGGCCTCTGCGACTGTCGTATTCCGTGATTTTATCACTATGTAACTTCGCATAGAATTACCTCGGACACAGTATCAACGCGCCCACAGGGCGATGGCAGAAGAACAAAGACATCCACTGGTACAACCGCGAGGTGAAGCAGACGCAGGCGCAGCGCGACGAGGAGATTCGCAAAATCAAGGAACAGGAGGCGGAAGCCCTTTCAGAGGCATTGTATGTTCGCACACTGCTTCATGACCATTTCGTATCATCGAATCTCTACTCTCGTACGTGACTTTGATGGCGAAGATGCTGACGAACGTTTTGTAGGGGCTTTGGCACGACGAAAGGATCGTCTGCAACGGGGCCGAGCAGTGCCCCAGGGACCGGTGCGAACGCCATTGGCGTCACACCGAAGGTAGGCTCTACGCCAGCAGTCGACCCCGAGAGAGAGGAGCATAAGCGACGCAAAGCAGAGCGTAAGGAGGAGAAGCGAGCACGAAAGGAGCAGCGAAGAGCGGAGCGTGCGCATAGGCACCGAGACAGAGCCAGTGACGACGAAGACCGTGACTCTGACCGCCGATATGGAGACCGGGAGCGGTCGCGGTCACCGCGAGGAGACTTCGAGAGGGATCGGCGCGGAGGGATGGAAAGAGGGGAGAGGACACCGCCTAAGGTGAGAGAGACATCGGAGGAGTATGGGGAGAAAGAACGCGAGAGGGAGCGCGAGAGGGATCGGCGGAGGTGGAAGGACAATGCTCGGAGAGAACGACCAGGGGCGCGTTGGGGTCGTAATTGACCTCGGGGAGCTTGGCCTATGCTGTACGTTGTGACGTTATCTCTACGCCTGCTTCATGGATTCCTGGCAGGCTGACCATATTTGTGATCCACAAGACACACTGGCGCCTTTCTTCCTCGTTCGCTGACGGAGCGTCAAGGTCGTTCTTCCGAGCACGGTAGCGACCGGTTCGTCATGCTGTGTCCTCAGGCCCGTGAAGCCAGCTGGCTGCGCCAATCAGTGCGGCGGCCTGCGGGGTGTCCTTGTATCCTTGTGTATCTGTGTCCAACAATGTCGTGCCACAAGGCTCAACCATACTTGTCGCTCTTTCGGATGTCGTGTGACTCAAGAATCTCTACTATCTCCACTCGCTAGAGTACCGGGCCACAATTGCTATCTTGGTTCTTTGAGGAGGTTCTTGTCAGCAGGCTACTCTACGGGTAGACCAGGCTCACGCTTCGTACGCGCACCGTACTAGGCGTCATTGTTCTTGTGTTGAGTCACTGTGGTATTGTGGGGCGGTTCAGTACCCGAGGTATCGGCAGCTAGTATATTGTTTTCCCTTCCACTTCTCGTCGCACCGCTGCGTATTCGCCCCCTTCTTCCCGCCGTAGTTGCGAGGCTGTACATGTAACCTGACAAATGCCTCGGTGCTCAGCCGTTGTATTATGCGCATGCGCTTGTAAGTTGCACAAATTCTTAGCAGGTTGCGGGCATCGATGCCTACTAAAATGTAGGTGTTATGTCATGCGAGTTGCGAGTTGCAATGGCCAGGATGGTTAACATGTTCCTGATGTCGTTCGGGAGATGCCCTTGGAGCATCGGGGGGCGCTTATCGTGATGACGCTGGGAAGGCGAGTTTCACGGAGGGAAACCGAAATATATTATTGGTCCTGTCTGCTTCGCCCAGGGCGAGACGCGTTGTGTTACCCGTCCGCCGCGCAGAAGCCGTGCAGATGCACGGCGGCCTTGAACTCTCCGGGTATTGATGTCGTCTAGAATAAACGGTCTCGAAAGAACGTCAAGCGAGGGGGAATGGATTGGGATGCTAGGCCTTCTAGTCCTGTCTACAGCGTCCGAGCGCGGTAAGAAGGGACCCGCTCAGGGAGAGAGTCGCAGCCGAGAGTCGTGTCTAGGTTGCGTATTTGGACGCGCCGTCGTAGCCAAGTGCGAGGTGGAAAGCGTTGGAGGAGACTGCGTGTTTCAGAGTCAGCAGGACGAGAGCGTCGCTGGGCGTCGTCGTCGTGAGCCCACGAGCACCAACCGGTGATTTCGACCGGAGACGCTGGCCGGAGAACCTAAGCCCGATCTCATCGATTGCCGCAGAAAGGAATCCACCGCGGTTATCGATGCGGCCATGGCCAGCGGGCCGTCACCGTCGTACCTGCAGTAAATTTCCCAAATTTCCGACCCTGCGGACCTCTCGACAGCGGCTGCGTAAAATTCTTCCGGTCTCGGGGTGAGGAACAAAAATATTGACAACAATGGGTGGGCGCGAGGCGCGTGCGTGTTTCTGAAGCAGGTATGATGTACTTGAATTACCATATATACCCGAACGTCGGGGGGCGGCGCCTGAGCGGCGGGAAGTGCCGAGAAGACTGATATCGCCTTTCCTGGGGACCAACCCTCTTCAGGCTAGTGCTGCCGCCCTCCTCAAGAATAAATACCACCGTACAATACGCCCCCTCCCGGTCCTATAATTCTATTCCTCTCAGCTTCGGACCATTCGACTCCCTGCCCCTCCTTTGTTTCCGCTCACTCTCCACCGCTCGCCTTTACGTTCTTTATATAATACCGCCTCGCACAGCTCTGGCCAGATAAACTCACCCTTCCCTACACATACCTCGTCCCCTGCAGTCCTCGCTATCCAACTACGATGGCTACCGTCTACGGTGTCCCCTATTTCCTCGAGGACCAGTCTGGCGATCTCGCTGGCTCCGAGTTCGTCGACCTCTACAAACGCATCAGCCTCACCGTCCGCTGTACCCTGCGTTCCGACACCCACACCGCGTATATGGTGTACGATATGACCTCCCGCGGTGTCAATCGCGGGGGCCTTCTTGTCCCTCTTGCTTGCCTCGATTTCGGTGCCGGACACGCTCTCGGAACCATCAAGGTCGGCGAGAAGGAGGCCGTGAACATGAGCGACTACCTCACTAAGCTGTCGCCATTGGGCAGGTACGTGTCCATCTGCCTCTCGGCCAGGCGCGTTGTTGACGGGCTTCCTCGCAGCTCGAAGCAGCGTAAGTTTGTTGCATCCGACGGGCAGGAATACCGCTGGAAGTGGCGCTCGGACGCAGATGACGAGTGGACAGTACGCACGCGCTCCCCTTCTGTGTCGCACACCTCTCTGAATTCGACGACCCCCCCTTTTGCAGTGTGTGAACTCTAGCGGCTATCATGTCGCTTCCTACAGTCTCAAGCCCGCCGGCGAGCCGCAATATCAGTCGTCGTCGGGTTGCGTACTCACCGTAGAAGAATCGTATCCACATCTTATCGGAGGTGAGTGGTCGCGCGCTGTGCACCTCACTCATGATTCCCACCGCTGACTGCCCCCGCCAGAACTGCTTGCCTCTCTGACCATAATGCGTCATATTGCAAAATATAATCTATAAAATATTCTGTCCACATAGCCCGCAATCCTCCCCCTCGCCATCGCTCGCTCGCTTACTCTCCTCTGCTCTCCTCACTCGATATTCGGGTACCCTATCCACTTTCCCCCGGCCACATCTGCTATTACGTCTACCTGACACAACCCTACAGCACCGCACACCGCATCCGTATCCAGCCCACAGTAACCGCATTCTACACAGCCTCCCACTTACCTATAATCGCCCGTGTGACGTACCGTACATAGTTACTTAGTCCTGTATTATGTACGCGTCCCCTCTGTTACTGTTGCTGCCAACGTAGTGCTCCTGTATCGTATAATCTCTGCATATAGATATTCGAATAATTCGCTCACACATCCACCGGGCCTGGAATGCTCACAGAACTTTCCTTTTGGAATGTCGATGATCTGCGGTGCGCCCACAACAGATCCGGATCTTTGCACCCTGGATTTCTAACGCGTTCCACGTCTGTGGACCCCAACTCCGTATGGCCGCCGTCTTGTCGGGCATGCAGTCCAATATGCACTTATTTCGCATGTGCGGTGATTCGACGGCGCACGCGCTCTGTCTCAGTTCGTGCGCAGTCTGTTGCATAAACCCCCAAAGTCGTGACGCGCACACCAGCCGGCCAGTCCAAGTTGACTCGAGTAGCTCTTCTATGGAGTCGCTCGCGGCCGAACCAGGCGCCTATCAACGTTGGAGTTCACAACCATGAGCCCGGCGAGTACCTCTCTTCTTCCTAGTGAAAACAGCTGGCTAGTAGCTACTACTGCGCCCGATGCTAGAAGACGACGCGTTCGTAGACGCGCCGTGTGACGAGCTCGGTCAACCGTCAGCGCCGCGAGGCTGCGCAGAACCTGTATCAGTTTTCTTGCTGCGCACCCAACTGTCCAGAAATTTTTGTGTCGCTGTTTGTATTGGCGGAGGTGTTCACATGCATCGGCATGCCGGTAACCCGACCATGGTTCGTAATGCTATCCCAGTGGATTATTGATCCTGACTCGCACTCGTTAGGTAGGCTCCATACACCGCGCTGAGAGCATTCGGTAAGTGAAGACTCATTGCCATTCAGGATTCGAGCTACGTGCACGCTTGCTGAGTAAGTTGTCCAGGGGAGAGCGACCGTGTAACGTGCTCAAAGCCGCCTGAGCGACAATCCTGTCACCGGATTGCCTTATCTTACACACCCTCGCCATGTCCACTGCAGCGGACGTCGTCTTTCCTATTGCGTGCATTTGAACGTGTTTTTGTCGACGCTGACCAGGAGTTCCGGTCGATTTTCGGCGTCAGTTACCCGTCAACTCCGTGTTATGACCGCGGCGTTCTCAAAGCTCTCCCCCCCAACCAGAGCAGAACCCCAGGGCTCCGGTCAACGAACCACGATGTCTTTGCGTCAAACCGCCCGCGGTATCTGATTTTCGCAAGACGTTCACGTGGAGCGTTCTTCACACGTCAAATCCGCGTCAACTTAGGAACTCAGTACTTCCTTCGCGCTGCGGTATCATCATATCTCCGAGGTTGTGAATGCTGATCTCATCTCTGGGTTGAAATGCGGGACTTTAGGTATACCGTCTGTTTCCTTCAAATTTCCCTCCCATGCTACTGAAGGGAGTCTCCGCGGATGTACGAACAACACCGTGGTCAAATTCGAGCGCTCAGCTGTCAAATGGGCGATGCCTGATGGAATAATAGTCCTCACACTCTCAAGTCTGTGAGTGCTGTCATCGTCCCTGATCTGACGTTCGCACTCGTAGACTAGATATTCCTTGCTGGTGGTCGCCATTTAGCGGCGATCGAGGAATGTGTTGTTGCAGGTCCGATGAGATGCACAGCAAAAGTCTCCTGCAGGGCAATCTGGTTCTCAACGCTCGACGTTCTTGTTTTACAACTTCCGGATAGTACTCCTCGCAGAGGCCAATAATTTCAACACAATCGACTCGCGTCTCACTCTGTCCCATGGTTACGAGCTACTAACTGCTCATACGTATGGTCGTCAGTCTAAATTTGGTGAGTTCTCGTGTCTTCCCTCGTCCTTATCGACCGATTTGATTTCTTTGACCACCGGTGTTCTTTGCATCTGCCTCTATTCAGACTATGTACCGGACGCGGCACGATTCGACCCGCCTCTTCGTCGAAGGCCTACAGTGGCCATTTGAGATGACGGCACCGGAGCATCGCTGGAAGTAATGTAGGTGGCAGCGAAATGAATGGAGAATGGAGAATGTATCTTCGCGGGACAGGCGGATATGACGTGGACAGACGGACGAGGTACGCAACGATAGCCTAACACTCACTGAAGCTTGTGTTGGAGCGTGCCCACTTCTCCAGGTACGTTCGTCCGGTTCTATCTGCCCGTGGATGTCCTGTTCATCTACTTTTTCGCCTCACCACGTACCCCAGGTTTTCTAACACAGTATACCAGAATCGTATCGCGATGCGCCGCCCATCCCGTCCATTTCTCGCTACACTCTATCGGTTCTGCGCGTTCTCCAGGTTCCGAATCTCTCCGCCGATCTTCCTTGCATTGGAGTGAGTGGCTTAACGATATACACGATGATTGACGCTGAGAGATCGGCATTAGCACAGGCACTATCGTCTTCACCCTGAATCAGACGAAGATGTCGACGTCTCCGGTGCAAATCGGGATACATACTGGTATTCGTTGGACGCGGCTTAGAAGTATAAAGTATGTCCAGTGCGTATCTCGTTATTGTCTTAAGCTGGATCGACAATAACTTCGATGCACCCATGCCAAGGACGTCAGCGCGCGCTGGTGCCCGTACATATCTTACTGTGTGTCAAGCTCCATCTTATTCAGTACCGCAGTCTTGCACTGTCTGCCTTTGGATCTCAGACTGATTGTCGGGGTGGTTTGCAGGAACCATCCGTTGTGGTCCAATGCCTTGAACATGCCATTATTTCTGGCAACTGAAGTCTCGAGCACGAAGGCATTCTGGCGCATTACATTTGGCCTTCAAGAGCGGATTGTTCGCATTCGGTGCGTGGAAGGAACAAATTTTTCTAGGCTTCGTCGGTAACTTGTGCCATTGCCCTTCGACGGGAGCAATCCCAGTACATCGGTGAATTTCTCGGCGTTTCAGACTGCGATGCGACACCGGCGTGTCCAGCCGTTTGCGGCTCAAGGTGAATCTGACGGGATTGTTCAGGACGCCAGCATCCGCTTGCTGTCGGTCGACCTGCAGAGAGATTGCCTCTGATGTTTTGTGAGAGCGATGCCTGGGAAAACATCGTCGAAGACGACCGGGAAAGAGATCTCTTGGGTGCGCGGACGACCGCGTTTGTCGAGGTACTTTCGTCATTCTCCTTCGCGGCTGCGCGCTAGGGGCGAGCTCCCGATACGTAGATGCTCTCTCATCTGCAGCTGCTGTCTAAGGTCGATCGCAACCTGGATGCCTCAATTTCGCGACACCGCGAGCAGCGCGAGCGCATCTCGGTGTCACAGGCTCTGCAATATGACACCGGCGAGTCCAGCAGTTCGTGGCGCAAGATGAATCTCAGGAGATCGGCCGGTACACGAACATGATGGGCCGGACAGGAGGGACCGCCAGGTCGAATAGTGGATGGGTCACTCCCGATAGCTGTGGATCTACGAGATCCTTCGGATGCCCTCGCCTGAGGACCTCATCATGCCCTTGACATCCAAGTTGTGGCTTAAGGGGTTTGCGAACTCCCGGTGGCAGCCAGTGCATTCGTAACCAAACCAGCGTCCACAACAGAGCATGGCTACTCAGTAGCCGCAACCCGGATGGTCGAAAGTAACTGCGCTATGACGTTGAGTGAGTTATTTAGTGTTCAGCTTATGTTGACGATCGCACTGCTCAGGTTCACTCCTTTCTAGCCCCGGTGATAGATTCAGGACAACATGTATCTAGATTTTGACCTAATAGGAGACCGCACAGCCTGAGTGGAGCACTTCGCTCAATCGGACCGGACGCCAACGAGTACACAAACGCATGTGTTCCTGGTGCAAGGTGAATCTACTGAATCGGTCGGCATGCGAGCTTCTGCTTTCTGTCGAGTTCGGCGCCTAGGGGAACCTTGCAGAAGATGATGGGTAAAGATATCTGCTTGGCGCTGACGGCAGCACTTGTGGAAGCGCTTTCTTCACTAGGAGCGAGGTCGTTTGACAGCGTCCACCCGAGAGGGACGAGCGTATATGCTTTGCCTTGGTAGATCGGCACTACAATGGTTCCGAGTCAGTGCTCCGCGCAATGGAGATTTTGGATGAATCTACGATGCAGAACTCACGGGTGAGTGCCACAAGCGTCCCGTCAAGAGAAGTTGCTTCCGCTGCATTTCCTTCCTTCGTTCCCGCAATCTAAGTACCGTGCTTCGAGGTGAAGGCGACTTCGCTGTTCACACTATTCACTGCTATGGAGATTCTGCCTGTACGTCGAGAGGGCTTAACGACCCATCGGACGCCGTCTTGGCGGACGAATGATCAATCGTGCTCAGCATTCACGATAGAGTATGTACCCAGCTGATAACATACTATGTGGGGAGCTGTTAAGCATTCCGCTGATGCTGATGATCATACGGCGCACAGGTTCGCTCATTCGTGGTCCCTATGACCATTCAGCAGACGACTTCGTGTTGCACTTGGACGACAGCATGCCAACAGGAGACAGTCCGGCGTGTACGTAGAGTATTTTGCTCAATCGGCGCGCCAACGAGTACACGAAAACGCGCGTCGTGCAGGCTGGAATGGAGGGGCAGAATGAGGTGAGAAATTGTGTCTAACCTTTTGCCATTTCGCGCTCATCAGAGTTGAGCGCGAGCACATGGAACTAGGCTGTGGTAGCGCAGCCAACGCCTTTGTACAGGCCCAGCCTGCGTCGACACCTCTGTAAGCAAAAGCTTGCGTTATTCCTTACCAGATAGGGTGTATGTGGGTCACATGGAATATATTTCCTTCTGTGCGAGCTACAGAATACTTGCGCAGGTGCGCCGTACACCCTAACGACACCGACACAGTCCCACATGGTATCCCCCTGTTCGGGCAGCACAGATAATCACGGCCCGTCGACCGGGTTCCAGCTGATTGCGCCTGCCTTTCCCCGGTCGAGCGCGTCGAGCTTTGCCATGTCTTCGGGTGAGATCTCGAAGTCATAGAGTTCGGCGTTCGACTGGACACGTGTGGGCTGTGAAGACTTGGGGAGTGGGCTGAATCTGTGTGGCGAAGGATGCATCAAGAAAATATAGAGACTGCAGCGATAAAACCGTGGCATACCCGCGCTGGAGAGACCACCGGACAAGGATTTGCGCGATATCCTTGTTGTACTACATGCGGAGAATGACCCAGGATATCAGCAATCCTCGAAACCCACAAGAACGGAGCAATAGCAAGTGCGCACCTTCTTGGAGACCTCAATAAGCACCGGGTTGTCGAAGTTCTTACCGCGGATGAGAGGGCAGTATGCCTGCACGAAAATGTTGTGCGCGTTGCAGTAGTCCACGATCGGCTTCTGCTGGCAGAAGGGGTGAAGCTAAATTGAGGAGTTAGCCACATAACAGAGTCTACAGTGAGCCAAGATGTACCTCGATCTGGTTGACAGCGGGCGTTTCGAGGCCCACTTCGCGGATCTCCTCGAGGTGCTGCACATTACTACAAACGGCAAATGCTCTGAGTAAAGTGCACCGGCACAATTCGAGGTTTATGTGAAAGAACTCCTACTAATTCGAGACGCCGACCGTCCTCAGCTTTCCCGCCTTCTTTGCATCCAAGAGCGCGCGCCACGTTTCAAGACGTTTTTCTGTTCCAGAAAGCGGGCTGTGAATTAGGAAGAGATCGAGACAATCTGCAGGACACAGCTGTGTAAGTTTATACTACATGCAGAGAATTGGACGCGCACCGAAGCTGAACCGCTTGAGTGAGTTGTCGACTGCCTTCAGCGTGTTGGCATAGCCATGTTCATCGGACATGACCTTCGTCGCTATATAGGACAAGCACGGGTCAGAAAGTAGCAGGGACATATCAATCAGGAGGCGAGGCAACGAACGCACTAATGAAGATCTCCTCGCGCGGGACACCGCTCTCCCGGATGGCGTTGCCGACCTCCGCTTCGTTCGCATAGTACCGCGCGGAGTCGATGTGTCTGGAGAGCCATTAATGTAATGAATTGCAAATAAGTCGTGAAGAGAACTGTACCTGTAGCCGAGCTTCAGTGCAGCGACACAAGCGGTCACGCAGTTCTCTGCCTGGAAGACGCCGAGGCCAAGTAGGGGCATCTTATGGCCTGCACGAAACATACATCATGAAGTTCGGTGAGGGGGGCTTTGGGTGCGATGAGAACGTGCTCACCGGAAGAGAGGCAGACGGATGAAGTGATGCTGAGCGACATGGGGGAGGAGGATCACACTCATAAACTGAAGGGAAGTGAGAGGAGGCTTATCCAGCTCGAGGATGGGGTATTTATACATGCCGGAGCGGTATCATGTCATCGGATTGGGAGAGCAGGTGAGAGAGCGGGGAGACGAAGTAGGTCGGTAAGCGCAGTGAATAATTTTGGGAGGGAAAAGCGTACGAAGCATGCCGTCGACTCAGAACTTCCGGTGCGTGCGTATGATCAGTCATCACCATCGCCCACCTGGAATTGTGAACCCTGCATTTCGTGCAGGCACGATGGATGGATGTGTAAGGGCCCACAGCAAGCGCTCTGCATTTCGATCGACAATCTGTTCACTTCATGCTTGAGATCGTTCGGCGATCATTCCTTCTGTCGTATCACCGTCGAACATATCCACCTCGCTATCCTCGTTGTGTTCAAGTGTACAGCCAGGACTGACACCACTGACAATCCGTGCATGTTCAGAAGGTGGCTCATGCTCAGGATTACAGGATCGGCCTGCGGTATCCAAGCCACGCCATTCAGTCAGGGCAAGAAAGTCGCGACTGTCCAATACTGTTTGTCTTGCAAAGGTCTCAGCTCTATTTTCAAGCACACGCTCTGGGAGGGTTACTGTAGTGGGTGGGCACCGTTGCACAGTACTGCGGAGGTCCGCCTATTTGTTTCGTTTACGGTGACACGCTCCAGGATGCAACGGCGCCATTTACCTATGACGACAATGACGAGCGGTGATCTAGCCTTGAGTTGTCAGTATCAGATTCCTTTTGTCTTCTGCGCTCGATCATCCATTGAATCTATCTCGTCCTCATCTCACAAGGTTCCTCTAGAGTCACATTTCTTTCTTGTTTAACCTCGCGTGCCCACGTTCATCATCGTCTGCCGCCAGCTCCATGCAACCTCCTTCCTACGGTCTCCATAGTACCGGATTATTAATACTATCATCATGCACCCTGCATGCACTGTCCAAGCCCCGGGACCCTCTGCATGTTGTGCAACACTCACAAAGGGTGTGGACATCGTTGAACTTGAACGTTCGGCCGTGCATTGCTCCTGGATGGACTAGGTAACGAAAAAGCATCATGTTTCTATGGTACTAATTGACTACACAGACCTATAAGCCTGAGCTCTGGGATGGGCCCCTACCTCCCAAGGCCGGATGGGCAGGAGCCTGACCTTTATCCTGTTCCCGTTGGGCCTTACGTCGAAGGATGCCAGGATTGGCCGCATCGTTACCAATCCGTTGCTACCCAGGGAGTCCTATGTTCCAGAAGACTCCTCACCATTCATCCCGGATGACCTGGTCCACGAAACGTCCCAGCGATCCGTACATAGCCTACTAGACTCCGTTACGAAGGTGGAATTCCGTTCCGCGCTCACCAAGCTGTTTCATGCAAAGTACAGCAAGTCTGGGCGCGAACATACTACCATCGACTGCGCTCTTACGCACAGTCGTTCCTCGCAATGCCGAGAATGTTCTCCCCGAGCTGCTCAAGGACGAAGCTATTAGGGCCTGGATCAGAATTCAAGGGAGCATGAAGCTGTATCTCATCACTGGCATCAAGCTCTTCGTGGACGCTCACGTCTCCACCGGGGAGGGTTCGGATATGGATGCGCGCGTCGCCGCTACCTTTCCGTCACGGAAATAGCCGCGGGGGCCGCGCCAGCTAGCCTCCTCTTTTCCGGGACTGGTGATATTACTATCGCAGGATCAAGGTGCGGACATGCAGTTTCGAAGACGAAGTTCACTGCAACGGGCGAGACCATATTCGCAGTCGAGTATCGCCAGCTGAAGAATTACAGAAGGCTCGTCTTTGGATATGGCTTCGAGGGTGTTCGCCTCCGGCCTGCCGTTCCTCCCGGGTCGGAAAGAGCAATAAGACGAATAGAGGCGAAAAGGGTGGGAACGTGCGTGGCCACACAATACCTGCATATCCTCATGGTTGACGACTTCTTGCCGAACGCTGGAGTGTTTGCAGTGGAGGGAAATGGTCATGAAGTCTGGTTTCTGGGAGCCGACAAAGGCCAAGCAGTGTGAAGTAATGGTGTGTGGACAATGCAGTACTGCGTGTGTTTACGTTCAGGCTGAAATCTATCTACCTTTAGGCTGTTGACACCACGTTCTACGGACTCCGGGATTGTCCTACACGTACAACTTCGTAGCACACCGTTGAGTACCTGATAATACTGAGACTATAACCCCTTGTTCATCACAATGTCGGCTCTCATCGTCGTGTTGCTCTTCCCCGCATAGATCTTCGTCATCGCGAGGCAGACAATATCTCGGACGTTATTAGCAACCTCGACAGGCGTCTACATGCCTGACGACGGTCGCCACATCGACTTGTTACCAAATAAGTGGGGTAGAAGAAATCCTGAGTGATGTTTCGCTCGTTCCCGATGATTTGTTTCTTCGCATACTCCCCTGATTGTCCTCTATCATATATGCAGAGTTCATGAGCAGCAAGGACCCCCGTGGAGTCACCGCCTATGCCTTCCGTCCTTGTGCTCGCTGCACCGCTCACGGGGCTCAAATACTCGTCTCAGGATTTTGGGTCTTCTCACAGCTTGCACAGGAGTTTGCAGGCAATGTGAGCTTGCCGTTGGTTGAGCCAATGCAATGGCTGCAGGTCGAAGACTTTCCCCATTGCGAGCTTCGAGCGGGCAGACGTCCCCACGACACATTCAATGGCCTTTCTAGCCCAACATCAATTTTCTGGCTCGAGTTCCTCGTTGCCAATGTCCAGTGGAGCGGAAGGCGTGGGGGAGAAATGTTGCACGGTAGCCGTACGGTATATTGATGTGGTATTCCACAGGATTCGCAACTGACTCGTGAGCTCAAGAGTCATTTCAATCTCGGAGTGAACATACTTGCAGGTGAGTCGCTCATTTTTGGCCTAGTTGTTCACCGTGGGGCTCCTCTATTCCATTCTTGCAAATTTCTGCGCTCACTTCTATCGTATGGTGTGCCCTTGTTACCTCTAGGGCTCAAGCTACTTCACTGGACTTCTTGAAAATTCGTTCCAACTGCTTGGCTTTTTGATCGATCTATCGCGGGAACAACTTTTCGACGATCAGCGATCGACCACCCACCTTCATGCATCTTCGCGGAATCAAAATCGACCTACGGTCCCTGAGCGCCGCCATAATTGGCTTTCTGAAGGCTTCGTAAAACTGGCCGAATATTTTCTAGCCATTCGAGATAGGCTGTTAAGCGTTCCACTCATGTTGATGATCGCACCGCGCACAGGTTTCGCTCGTTCGAGGATGCGATGTCGAATTCAGGAGACGGCTGACGAATTGTACTTGGATGACAGTAGAATATTCTGATCAAGATCGGCGCACCAACGAGTACACAAGCACGCATAGAGCAGACCGGAATGGAAGGGCAGACTAAGCTTTGCTGTGCCTTTTGCCGTTCCGCGTGAGAGCGTTGACAGCTGGTTGCAAAACGATAGGCCATTTGGACCCACGTCATCGCGGCGTGGCTTGTTTGTACTTACCCCAAATATAGTAGAATTTCCCTAGCCGAGTGTCACAGCGCTACGTCCAGAATCCGCACGCTTTGGCTGTGAGTGCTCAAACATGGGGAACCGTCGCCATATTTCTCGAGATCAGAAAGCTCTTGTAGCTGTTATGTCTGTGCATATGAAAAACTCTGATATTGCAAGGGTCACTGGCATCAGTGAACACACAATACGGCACATCCTGCAGCTCTGGCACAGCACTGGTGAAGTTGCACGAAACCCGACTCAAGCTGGCAGACCACGCGAACTAACGTCATTGGAGGTAGCTGTACGTGAGTTCAGACGAGCTATTATGCCCTTGATTGACATGTAGTTTCCTTGTAGTTTCTGGAGTCTCTGATTGAGCGCACACCAGACATGTATCTTTCGGAGCTGCGGCAAAATTTACAGAAAGTTTACAGTGTGACAGTGCACAAGTCGACAATATCTCGTTCTCTGTACCGTCGCGACTTTACTCAGAAGGTGGTGAGTGCCTTGTCTAGTGCTCACCATGTCTATTACTACCCATAATCTATAGCTTACTCGTGTGGGCTTGGAACGTGATGAGGACCGACGGAGTGCGTATATGGTGGAGATAGGTGAACATTATCTCCCAGAGACCCTGGTATTCGTTGATGAATCTGCATGCAATCGCCACATGGCCAAGCGAACTAAGGGGTGGGCTCCACGTGGTGATCGTGCATACCGTCATGATTACTTTGTGCGAGGTCAACAGTGCATACTTTATGGTTGAGTTAACTCATGGACTCTTTCTAATAAACAAGAGGAACAGATATTCTATACTCCCTGCTATCTCCCTTGATGGTGTGCTACATCTAGACATCCTGACACGCTCCTGGACTGGGGTTGAGTTCCAACGATATGTTGACACATTACTTGACAATATGAACCCCTATCCGCAATCAAATTCAGTCCTTGTTATGGATAATGCGAGCACTCATCACTTTGATGGCTTACGAGAACTGGTGGAAGCACGGTATGCCTCGATATCAACCTACTCCGAGATATGAGTCTTAGTGTTGTTGCAAAGGGATGCAGCTTGTTTACCTTCCTCCGTACTCTCCAGATCTGAATCCAATTGAGGAGGGCTTCTCTGCGATGAAAGCATGTATAGGCAGAATCGTGACTACGTTCTCGGCGAACTTACAGGTGAAGATACCTGTGATTCATATGCAATGCTATGGGAGACGGTTTTCACTGCTATGACACCTCAGAATATTGCTGGATGGTACTATGACAGTGGCTATCTTGCATAGAACAATTTATAGAGGATTGATTAGCAGTATCTATTGTATCGGTGTAGGTCTGAGTGGAGATTGATGTAAACTATATACAGTAAATGTTAAAGAGTAACTACAATACTAAGAAGAAACATAGGATTGAGTGGGGATTAGTGTAAAATATGTACAGTAGAAGTTAGGTGAGTAATACATTCATTGGGTTAGTCTAAATGTGAACAGGACAATTTTTGTCATCACTGTCGGCATCAGTATTGGCTGCGACATGTACCCTCTTCTTACCATGCCTGGAATGCTTCTTCGACTTCTTGGGCTCCACCATACTCTTCACCTGACCTAAGAAAGGTCGCACCAATCCCTCCGGCATTCTCACCTCACGCACATACCACTTGACATCAAAGTAAAGTGCACTCCCACTGTAGAGAACACCCTTCGCTGCCCAAGCATCATAGAACTGGGGGTACTTGGCTGCGGGCTGCATCTTCTCCAGCTCTGCCAATATGTCCTGAATCGGCACTACCACAGAAGTTGCCTTGTCATCAGACTCGGACTTGGAGCACTCAGATTCCAATGAGCTTGGACTGCGGTGGTGATGCTTGTGATGTGCATGATGGTTTGACGAAATGTCGCAGAGGAGAGAACCTAAATGGAGATGGATGGGAGGGAGTGCCGAGCCATCTGCAACCTTCGCTTGACGTGTCGAGTGCATCCGATGAGTGCGCAACTTGTCCAGGTTGAGACAGTTCGGAGGATCAATACAGTCCCGTTCTGCTTTGCCGTCATGCTAAGGAATGTATCAACTGAATGTTAACAAATTTCAAACAAGCAAAAACTTACTATTATTCTGGCCCACAATGTGAGGTGCTTGATGTCGAGAGGGACATGGTCTTTCGGGTCAGTTGGATCGACGTAGCACCACTTGTTCTCATTACGGCACCTCGCACAATGGAGCTTCTCCTTGACCAGTTGCATTTCTTCCCTGTAAGCCAACTCTGTTGACTTGGTTACAGGTGCGGCATCAGCCTTTTTCATCGTTGTCGCACCAGGCTTGTAGTCCTATAGGCTGTGTCAGAGTGTGAGATTGTAGATATCCCATCACTCACCTTGTTCACAACCTCTAGGACAATATTTCGGCTGACTGCCTTTGCTCGTCGCTCGATCGTGTGCTTGATAGCGATATCCACGTCATCGGCACTTTCGAGTTGGATATGTTCATCACTGCGACGATCGGTATTGAGCTTCCACCCAAGGTGATCTGCGTGGTCGATGGCCATTGTGCAGCAAACCTCCAAGAGAAAGGCCGTGGGGGAGATGTCAACAGGGAACTTCACGATTGCAGGACAAACTGCCTTCTCCAGATCTCTGGTGTTGAGCTGGAGAGACACCTCAAACTTCTCCACTGGATAGGACAAGTATCAGTAGGTGATATAGTTCTGGTGTAAATATAGGACTTGCCTTCTGCCAGAGGCTCCACAACTGCAGCCACCAGGGGAGGATAGTAATAGTGTGCGTCGGGAGGAACTGACTGCTCAAGAACAGCTGGAGGTGCCTGCTGTTGCCTGTCCAGATTAGCATAAAGCTGAGTAACAGCAATATCTTCCGGACGCGATGGCGGCATTGGTCCCGCGCCAAGTAGGAAAGCCGCAACACCAGTCCCTCCACGTCGGCCTCGCTGGTGACTAGGAGGAGTGCCATGTCCCGCATTGTTGCCCGGGACATGTTCGCGGTAGTATAGGTCGCCCATATGGCAGAGAATTGAAAACGGTATACTGTGTGTGCAGTACAACAGTCGACAGAATGGCGCAGAATCATCGACTGCCTGGTGCTACAGAAGTGACGTGACACTCGGCTGCAGAAAAATTACTATATTTGGGGGTAAGTACAAACAAGCCACACTGCGATGACGCGGGTCCAAATGGCCTATCGTTTTGCAATTAGCTGTCACAGGCTACACCGCTGTTTGGGCCAAAGCTCGGGTAGATAGTCTATTTCTGAGATCAGAAGACAGTTTACAAAAAGATCAGATTGGCATCATATGGACATTTTTGGGACATTATGAGCGAGATATCTGCCGGATAACTCACTGCTCTCAGCCTGATATCCTCTGTTCACACTCCTGCTGAGCTTTGCCCTTCATGAAGACTTCGATGGGATTTACCCCAAAATCTGCCTGGCGGCGTCAACCGTGGGAATCACTGGAACGCCACGTCTTTTCCCGGCATGGTCTGATGTTGTCAAAGTCCGCTTCTCTCTTTGACTCCAAACCTCCAACTTCTCTTTCATCCTGGTCGCGCCCCATGTTCCAGCGCAGTCCTTGTTCTGTTCCACTGCCCATTGCACATTTTTAAGCTCAAGTGCCTTCCTTCTGCAGTGTTTTCTCTGCTGGACTTCTTGGTCTCTGGCAAGTTCGGCTGTGGCCCACTGCATCCGTCTGGCCTTGGCTGTAGTGCCAGCTCCTGCACCAATGTCATCTCTGCCCAACTGTGCAAGTACCCTGTACAAGGTGCCTTTCAGTGCGTACCCCACCTCTGTGCCCTGCTGACTACCCCATGAAGGGTGCCTATCGCCGAGGTGTGCACTTCTACTCTTCCTCGAGTTTAGCACACTTGCTCACTAGGTGATGGGATCACCATCTCACAGAATTTGATGGGCCTCGGAGAGTGCTCCACAGTGTGGCATGGTGAATGCCCATGCTGCACCGTACACAAGCATAGTACTGTAGTAGCTCCTGTTACGCGGCAGCGAAACACGAGCATCTAGTTGAGTCGTCACGAGACAAGGTCTTAGTCTAAGACATAAGTCCGTTCAAGTGACACTTCTGGCGATGTCCTCGCACTGAAGGTCGATCAGAGTTCGTTCTTATGACTCGTAGTAGCTGTCTGCTACTGACGGTCGATCTCAGTCAAAGGCAAGTGAAAAACTGGTTTAATGGTAACCAGGTCGAGATGGGGATCCAGCTCGATGAGGTCGTCTACTTATACAAAAAGTATCCGCAGTACTACGCAGTAATACGGGATCGTTCATTGGCTAGATAAGGTGAAACGATGTCTGGGCAAAGTAACAGCGAGGAAGTAATATGTGTGAGAAAGCTGAGTAAGATCATGAGATATAATTAGTACTAATGGGAATTACGAGTCGTGTATCAGAACGAGGTAAAGATGCGGCATACATGCACGTCTTGCATGTTATGATAAGAAGAAGGTCCGGAGTTGGATCCGGTGTAACCCTAGACTAGGGGTTCTGGACATCTGGGTAGAGAATCGGAGGTTACGCTCTGATGAGTCACGTGTTGGATCACGTGGTCTGGTAAAGTAAGGGGAACGAAGAAAGGAAAAAGAAAAGACATGCCATAATGGAGGGAGCATTGTAACATCAGCTCCCATCTAACGTTTCTTGTCCCACAAATATTTGTAGTCTTTATCGTCGTCAGGGACAGTCCCGGACATAATGATCACTTCCACATCTGTAGCACATCCTTCGGCCAGTTCGTGGTCCTTGTTCATATGTACGTCCATCACGATAGGGATGACTACGATGCGAAGAAGTCGATGTGTGTGAGAAGGAGGGTTGCGATAATAGGGATTGACCTGTAGGTACGTGTGAACGAGGGGGGTGAGGTCGAACAGGAATTGGTTCTGGTGATGAACGAGGAGTGGATGCGGGTCTCCCATCAGTGGTGTATCCGAGGATGTGCCCGATGTCTTCGTCCTCATGCTCCCTCCAGATCTCCTGTGCTGTACGACTGACTGTACTGCACATCAGAGACCAGACTTGGTCGACTCTGGTTCGGGCTCTACTCGTCCTCTCCTCTGCTGCAATGAGCTCTTGTCTGGCCGTCTGCATCCACTCGACCATTTCTAATGCTCGTTGCATAGAAACCACCGCTTGTCGATCTTGCGGGCGATTTCGTAGGGCGATGAGAATATCTGTGAAGTCGACGGGGGTATGGATGGCCGAGATCAGACGTGTAGCAAATTCTTGTTCGTCCGATGCGTGACTGAGTTCGATCGAAGGTGAAGGCAATGAAGCGTGGATGAAGGGTGTCTGTGTTCGGGAGGGTATTCCATTGACAAGTGTAGGTGATGCAGGGGTACTCATAATCGTAGAAACGACTTCAGCAAGTATGTTGTGAACAAGGTCATCTATAGCAGAAGTGGGCATTGGTGATACATTGTTTTCTCCTCCCTTTATACCTTTCAGTCATTAAGGGGATTGCGGTTATCTGTGATGTGAAATAGAATATCGTGGATGTGGGTAACAATCAAATAGATGAAAATCCATTGGGCGATAAAGAGCATTCCCATGGAGATAAGAACTGCCTGGTCAGTTCCAGGCATCGTTCTGATCACCCCAGCTGTTAGCATGTGGGTTGTCTCGTGTGAAGAGCGTGTGTTCGACGAGTTGTCTGATAAGGATTCGGTGGATGATCCAAAGGAAAGTGAGGGTTGTGCAGTGGAGGACGATTAGGAAGATAACTAGGAAGGCCGTCGTGGTAGTCATTCCAGTTTCCTCATCCTCTACTCGATTCCCCTCATCCTTTTATATGCGTTGAGGGTCTGCTTTGCATTCTGTAAATTGTGGGCAGGTTCCCACGAGTTTTCTGCTGACGAATATTCCTTCCACTTGACTAAGTACCTCAGGTGACCTCAATATGCCTTGTGATTCAGGATTGCTTTGACTTCATACTCTTCTTCATCATCCATGACATCAGGTGGTGGGTTCACGTAGTTCGGACCATGTATGTCATTTTTGCGATAAGGAGATAGAAGGGCGGTGTGGAACACAGAATGAACTCGCCAGGTCTTTGGGAGTCTGAGGCAATAGTTGGCTGATCCGATGACTTCAATGATTTCAAATGGCCCCTCATGCTTGGGAGCTATCTTGCGCGAGGCATAGTTGACCTTCAGGTTCCTCGAGTCTAGTCAGACCTTCTGTCCTAGTGTGAACTTCAGCGATCCTTGTCTGACTCGGTTCGCCATCCGTTGTCTGGCTAACTCATGCATGGCTAGTGCTTCTAGTCTTATCTTCTGCAACATGTCAAGTCTGGATTCAACCGATGGAATGTTCGTCTTTGGGAATACAGAAGAGAGTCCACGTGGTTCATATCCCATCATGATATGGAATGGGCTCATCTTCCGTGCCGAGTGTTCCCTCGTGTTATGACAAAACTCGAGGTCTGGCAGGCGATCAGCCCATGTTTCAGGGTTGTTTCCGCAATAGAGTCGAAGATAGATTTCCAGCTCCTGGTTGACTCATTCTGTTTCTCCGTCCGTCTGAGGGTGATAAGCTGTGCTCATTGATGATCTAATCTGGAGTAGTCGATTTAACTCTTGGAAAACCTTGGATGCGTATTGAGGTCCTCTATCTGAGATGATTCGGTTAGGTAATCTGAATCGCGAGTAAACTTTGTCATGAAAAATCTTGGCTGTTCCTTCAGCTGTGATCGTTTTGAGGCAGGGCGTAAGAATCACCCCCTTCGTAAGGTCATGGTCTACTACGACCATGATTGAATCAAAGCCGTTGGAAACGGGGAGGTCAGTGATAAAATCTGTGGTGCAATAGGAAAATGGTAATGCGTGTGGGTCTGCGGGGATTGGTTCCAAAGGAATACGAGTTGGGTGAGTATTCGGTTTCATCTGTTGACAGGCGGCACAGCCTTCAACGTAATTGTTGACAAATGCATACATGCCGGGCCACCAAAATTCACGACGTAGGAGTTCAAGAGTATTGAACTTTCCAGAGTGGCTCATGGCAGGGGAGTCGTGATGTAGTCGAACAAGGTCACGATGAAGAGGTTCAGATGGTGGGACATAAATCTTTCCTTTGTAAAGGATGACACCATCGTGAACTTCCCAGTCGGAGAGTGAGGACTTCATTGGGAATGGCCCTTTGTGCATGATCGCTTCAAGAGCTTCATGAACAATGAGGTCCTTTGCTGCATGATTTCTGATTTCGTCAAATAGTATCGGGGAAATGGATCGCACAAATAGTGCGTCGGGTAGAAGGATGCGATCTTCATTGTCACTTTCACTGTCATTGAGTCCGTTACGACAAGATAGCGCATCAGATTGGATCATCTGAGTGCCAGGGACGTGAATGAGGTGAAGATCGTATTGTGATAATTTAAGACTCCATCGTGCTTGTCGGCAGTTTAACTTCTGGGGTTTAACTTCTGGGCTGTACGGAAGTACGTGAGGTTCTTGTGATCACTGCAAACTTCGACGGGATGAGGGGATCCTTCTAGATAATGGCACCATTCGGTAAGGGCTCGAATGATTCCGAGAAGTTCGTGGTCGTAGATTTCGTAGTTTCGTTCAGCTGGGTTGAGCATCTGTGAAATGTAGGCACAAGGATGGAGTTCTTCATTGATATCAGCTTGTCATAAAACTGCACCCGTAGCAAACTTGGAAGCATCAGATTCAACAATGAAGGGTTTTGCTTTGTTGGGCAGCAACAACACTGGGGCAGTACTGAATCGTTGTTTCAATGTATCAAAAGCTGTCTGACATTCTGTTGTCCATTCAAAAGGTGGAGATCCAGCAGCGGTACGCGTAAGGTTCGTCAATGGTTTAGCAATATCCGAGAAGTTGACAATGAATTTCCGATAAAAGTTTCCAAATCTGAGGAAAGAGTGAACACCTTTTACCGTGCTTGGTTCAGGCCATTCTGCAATTCCTTTAAGTTTGATAGGGTCCATGCCGATGTAGTTTTCTCGAATGATCATGCCTAGGAATTTGACTTCCTTAATGTCAAAGAAACACTTTTCCAGTTTAAGGAATAGGTCGTTGTCTTTGAGTTATTAGAGTACACGTCGTGTTCGAATGTGATGTTCTTCCAAATTGTTCAAGAAGATGAGGATATCATCCATGTAAATGACTATCCATCCTTTATCGATCATGTCCTCGAAGAGTGCGTTCATCATCATTTGGAAAGTCGCCGGGGAGTTGCAGAGTCCAAAGAACATGACCATAGGTTCGAAAAGTCCGCGATTTGTCTTAAACGCGCCCTTCCATTGGTCACCATCTTTGACTCTGACATTGTTATATCCGGAGCGTAAATCCATTTTCGTAAAGATTGATGCACCTTTGAGTTGATCCATGAGCTCAGAAATGAGCAGAAGGGGGTAGGCATTTTTCACCGTTCCTTCATTTAAGTATCGGTAGTTCTGACAGAGATGCAGTGCTCCATCTTTCTTTCCAACAAAGAAGAATGGCAAGGCCATGGAGGATTTCGATGGTTGAATGTATCCTTTTTGCAGATTTTCTTCCAAGAAGTCATCCATCGCTCCTTGTTCCTTGAGCGATAACGAATAGACTTTACAGTCTCGTGGAATAAAATCAGGTTTCAAGTCAATGGCATGGTCCCAGGGCCTGGTTTCTGGGAAGCATTCGGCTGCTTTTTTTTCAAAGACTGACTTCAAATCGTGGAGGTAGTTGGGGACCAACTCTTCAACAGTTTTGGGTTTGTCTACAGCTGATGCTTCCTTGTGTGCTTGTTGTGCCAATTCCTGTGATTTACCAGATGGTTTATAAAAAACTGTGTTCTGTGCATTACAGAATAATGGGGATCGAGTACTGTGTGTAATTCTTCCGATGGTGGGGCCTCTTCTTATAGTGAAGACCGTGATTCCAGTCTCTTCATTCGTTAAAGGTGACTCCTTCTTGATGGGTTCAAATATTCCAATAACTGGTTCTCCTGTGATATAGGAAATAACTAGATCGTCGTCATCCAATTGATCCATAGAGGGTTCTAATGGTGGTTCATCTGATTCGGTATCATTCCATACTGCGGGTAACTCGCCACGCTCAATGTTATCGGCTATGATTTCTCTGATAGATTCTGAATGTCCAAATGAGGTCAGAGAAGTTTCGGTGGTGATTAACTCCGGGAGGTCATCTTCCTTGAAAATTGAAACTTCTCCGTCTGGTACATCTTCAACGGTGGCTTTCGGCGGCCATTTGGCATCCTTGCCAAACCAAAAGTCACCGGTTTCCCAATTAATCATCGGATTAAGGCGTTTAAGCCACGGCATGCCGAGAAGTATATTCTCTTTGCCAATACCGGTTAAGAGAAAGCGAGTAAGTGTCTTCCTTCCTCCAATCTTCATCATCTTCCAGGTACAGTGGGTAATGGTACCCATCTGATTCGGTGTGCCGTCTGCATTTACGACTTTAATCGGTTTCAGTAATTTCCATTTAAGGAAATCATTTTCTTCCGCAAATCGAATATGCATGAATGTTTCGGCCGCACCGGAATCGATCAAGGCTTCTGTTGCAACATCTTCCTTCTCTCCCAATGAAATATTCACAGTGATTGAATTTCCGCTAGTGTTACAAATAACGAGGGGAGATACAGTAAGATACGACGGTCCATGCATTACTAGTGGCCGTCGTTTCAAAAACCCAACTGGGTTCATTCTTCATCAGTCATGTTGTTGAAGACGTTTCGCACATAGGCAATCTGTTCCTCTCTGGTTTCTTCCTTCGGTATCTCCTTCTTCTGTGCGAGATCTTCTCGCATTTTCTTGATCCATGTAATCGTGTCTGTGTCCAACCCGGGCTGTATTGTTCTAGCACGGGTGAAACTTCCAGATTAGGGGTGAAATTGTCTGTCGTTGGCTATATGGCCCTTCTGTTCGCATAGGAAACATAATCCTTCTTTCATTCTCTTTTGTCACTCGTCCGGGGACAAGCGTGAGATATTGATACAATCAACATCCATCGCATTTGGATCCTTTGCAGAAGTCGAGTAGTAGGGACGATGGACAGATCGGCCCTTTCCTCGTGTCGTCGTAGTGGCTCCTCGCTTGAAGATCTGAGCAGATCTCCATTGGTTATCAAACTGCGAGGCATATTCGTACCACTTGTCAAGTGTCTTGGGCATGCTTTCCATCCCATATATCTTTTGTCGGAGTGGGTCGTTAAGTCCCCATTTGAAATACTCAATATTTCCGGCATCTTCTAATTTCGCCTTGGATTCAAGCGATCGGAATTCGGCAATGTAATCATTCGCGGTACGAGTCCCTTGCTTGATGTTATGTAGCAAGGTACGAGCAGTTTCTTCAATATTTTCATCGCCAAATGCTTTGTTCACACTCATAATGAACTCTTTCCAACTCCTATAAGAAAGGAAGTCGTCATTGGTGAGTTCCGTTTCTATGAAGCTCTGTGCCCATGATCCTGCTGTCCCTCCTTGCATGTGCGACAGCACGAATGCAATCTTCTGATTGTCCTCTTGATAGACACGGCTATTTCCAGCCATGTAATTCTTGCATTGGTTTATAAATTCCCTGAGCTTCGAACGGTCTGAACCGTTGAAGATCTCAGGTTTCCTAAAACCAAGTTCCTTTTGGCTAACATGGTGACGACCTTCATCCATGGTAATTGTAGCCACTGGTGGAATGTCAATGGTTACGATTGGTGCAAGAGTCGATTGTGGTATGGGATCCTGGGCAGGGGGGTTCCAAGGGGCATCTGGTCTTTCTCCTCAATAAGAGATCGGTATAGCGCTGTCTGCGATATGTAGCAGTACAAGCTCTCTAACGTTATGGGGTAGATTTGCTTCGTAGTCATCACCTGGGTGATCGATGTGCTGGTCTGGTCTGATGAATAAGGGTCATCCATTTAAAACGTGTACATTCCTCTGCGCGTCCCACTCTGCCTGAGATGGGAGGAAATCGATGTATTGCTTGGGAGGAGCAGTCGGGTTGATAAAGTTCAAATCCAGTGTGGATAAATTCTCCCGTGTGACCTACATCTACATGTAGACTGCACACCGTCCTTAACTAAGTGGGTTCGTTCGTTATCGGCTAACAAGCCCGTAGAGTGTCTTCTGTCTTCAAACTGATACACCTATTTGCTGATTGCTCGAGTGATTACCTCAGCCTCCTTGGCCTATTGGTCTCTCGGACAGACCCCTCTCCGAAGATAAGTGATCAGTCTATCCCTTCAGCTACCTCGATTACAGAGTAATCTCAAACGGTGCTTTAGCAATCGAATCGGGTGTATCGTTTAGTCTTTAAGGTTCAGTCCAGTCGGTAGTTCATTGTTAGACTTTTGGGAAGTCACAGAGAGTAATAAGATCTCGACCTAATGTTACGCGGCAGCGAAACACGAGCATCTAGTCGAGTCGTCACGAGACAAGGTCTTAGTCTAACACACAAGTCCGTTCAAGTGACACTTCTGGCGATGTCCTCGCACTGAAGGTCGATCAGAGTTCGTTCTTATGACTCGTAGTAGCTGTCTGCTACTGACGGTCGATCTCAGTCAAAGGCAAGTGAAAAACTGGTTTAATGGTAACCAGGTCGAGATGGGGATCCAGCTCGATGAGGTCGTCTACTTATACAAAAAGTATCCGCAGTACTACGCAGTAATACGGGATCGTTCATTGGCTAGATAAGGTGAAACGATGTCTGGGCAAAGTAACAGCGAGGAAGTAATATGTGTGAGAAAGCTGAGTAAGATCATGAGATATAATTAGTACTAATGGGAATTACGAGTCGTGTATCAGAACGAGGTAAAGATGCGGCATACATGCACGTCTTGCATGTTATGATAAGAAGAAGGTCCGGAGTTGGATCCGGTGTAACCCTAGACTAGGGGTTCTGGACATCTGAGTAGAGAATTGGAGGTTACACTCCGATGAGTCATGTGTTAGATCACGTGGTCTGGTAAAGTAAGGGGAACGAAGAAAGGAAAAAGAAAAGACGCGCCATAACGGAGGGAGCATTGTAACAGCTCCTACAATAGTGTCCTGGAGTGTCCTGTAGCATACAGAAAACTAATATATTTGTTATTTACACCCTTATCTGCAATATAACAAGCCGCGAACAGCTATTATGGAAACAAATGACAATGAGGAGCATGCCCTGCATGTTCCCGAGCTCAGCAGGAGATCACTTGGTGAGGTCTCACAGCTCTCGCTCTCCCCGGAGTCTCCCGGGATATGATGATTTCTATCTGGGTGATATCCGTGCCAGATCCGGAAAGAGTCAAGGGATCATCATGTGATATATGGACCCGGATCTCAGCCTGGACTCTGGCCGAAATGGCGGTGTACATAGTCACTTACAGACAGTTCAAGGCTGGCTACACCGCCATTTCGGCCAGAGTCCAGGCTGAGATCCGGGTCCATATATCACATGATGATCCCTTGACTCTTTCCGGATCTGGCACGGATATCACCCAGATAGAAATCATCATATCCCGGGAGACTCCGGGGAGAGCGAGAGCTGTGAGACCTCACCAAGTGATCTCCTGCTGAGCTCGGGAACATGCAGGGCATGCTCCTCATTGTCATTTGTTTCCATAATAGCTGTTCGCGGCTTGTTATATTGCAGATAAGGGTGTAAATAACAAATATATTAGTTTTCTGTATGCTACAGGACACTCCAGGACACTATTGTAGGAGCTGTTACAATGCTCCCTCCGTTATGGCGCGTCTTTTCTTTTTCCTTTCTTCGTTCCCCTTACTTTACCAGACCACGTGATCTAACACATGACTCATCGGAGTGTAACCTCCAATTCTCTACTCAGATGTCCAGAACCCCTAGTCTAGGGTTACACCGGATCCAACTCCGGACCTTCTTCTTATCATAACATGCAAGACGTGCATGTATGCCGCATCTTTACCTCGTTCTGATACACGACTCGTAATTCCCATTAGTACTAATTATATCTCATGATCTTACTCAGCTTTCTCACACATATTACTTCCTCGCTGTTACTTTGCCCAGACATCGTTTCACCTTATCTAGCCAATGAACGATCCCGTATTACTGCGTAGTACTGCGGATACTTTTTGTATAAGTAGACGACCTCATCGAGCTGGATCCCCATCTCGACCTGGTTACCATTAAACCAGTTTTTCACTTGCCTTTGACTGAGATCGACCGTCAGTAGCAGACAGCTACTACGAGTCATAAGAACGAACTCTGATCGACCTTCAGTGCGAGGACATCGCCAGAAGTGTCACTTGAACGGACTTATGTCTTAGACTAAGACCTTGTCTCGTGACGACTCAACTAGATGCTCGTGTTTCGCTGCCGCGTAACAGGAGCTACTACAGTACTATGCTTGTGTACGGTGCAGCATGGGCATTCACCATGCCACACTGTGGAGCACTCTCCGAGGCCCATCAAATTCTGTGAGATGGTGATCCCATCACCTAGTGAGCAAGTGTGCTAAACTCGAGGAAGAGTAGAAGTGCACACCTCGGCGATAGGCACCCTTCATGGGGTAGTCAGCAGGGCACAGAGGTGGGGTACGCACTGAAAGGCACCTTGTACAGGGTACTTGCACAGTTGGGCAGAGATGACATTGGTGCAGGAGCTGGCACTACAGCCAAGGCCAGACGGATGCAGTGGGCCACAGCCGAACTTGCCAGAGACCAAGAAGTCCAGCAGAGAAAACACTGCAGAAGGAAGGCACTTGAGCTTAAAAATGTGCAATGGGCAGTAGAACAGAACAAGGACTGCGCTGGAACATGGGGCGCGACCAGGATGAAAGAGAAGTTGGAGGTTTGGAGTCAAAGAGAGAAGCGGACTTTGACAACATCAGACTATGCCGGGAAAAGACGTGGCGTTCCAGTGATTCCCACGGTTGACGCCGCCAGGCAGATTTTGGGGTAAATCCCATCGAAGTCTTCATGGAGGGCAAAGCTCAGCAGGAGTGTGAACAGAGGATATCAGGCTGAGAGCAGTGAGTTATCCGGCAGATATCCCGCTCGTAATGTCCCAAAAATGTCCATATGATGCCAATCTGATCTTTTTGTAAACTGTCTTCTGATCTCAGAAATAGACTATCTACCCGAGCTTTGGCCCAAACAGCGGTGTAGGTTATACCTTACTGGAGAGAATGTATGCGGGGCCCGCAGAATATATTTGCTCCTGCACAGGAAGCTCGCGCAGGTATGCTGTACGCCCCAACGACACTAATACAGCTCCAGAATCCACGGTATCCTCCAGTCGTGGCAGCACAGACAATCATGGTCCATCAACCGGGTTCCAGCTGATAGCACCCGCCTCGCCCCGGTTGAGTGCATCGAGCTTCGCCATGTCTCCCGGTGAGATCTCGAAATCATACAGGGCAGCTTTATTGTTTCAGAAAGAGGGCTGTGGTCAAGCTTAAGAACAGATCCAGGGAATCTGCAGGACACGGTATAAGTGAATTCATGCTATGCATAGAGAATTGGATGTGCACCAGAGCTGAACCACTTGAGTGAGTTGTCGACTGCCTTCAGCATGTTGGCATAGCCATGTTCATCGGACATGACCTTTATCGCTATATAGGACAAGCACGGGTTAGAAAGTAGCAGGGACATATGAATCAAGAGGTGAGGCAACGAATGCACTGATGAAGATCTCTTCACGGAGAAAACCACTCTCTCGGACAGCATTGCCGACCTCAGCTTCATTGGCATAGAATCGCGCGGAGTTGAGGTGTCCGAGTCTGGAGAGCCATAAGTGTAATAAATTGAAAATAAATCGCGCAGAGAGCAGCACCTGTAACCGTGCTTCAGCGAGCAATACAAGCGGTCGTGCAGTTCAAGTTCTCTGCCACCGAGTCCGAGTAGGGGCATCGTATGGCCTGCGTGAAACATATATTATAAATTTTGATGAGGGGTGCTCTGAGTGTAATGAGAGTGTACTTACCGGAATACAGGCGGACTCGGACTGATAAAGTGATGCTGACTCCGGTATGGCGGAGGAGTACATTAGCGCCTCGAGTACACTCAGAAACTGAAGGACAGATGATAGCAGGCATCCAGCTGAAGGATGCGGTATTCATACACGCAGGAGTAGTATCATGGCATCGTATTTGGAGAGAGCAGGGCGACGCTGTGGATCGGTAGGTGTAGAGAATAATCTTGCGAGGAAGAGCAAGGCCCAAAGCTTGCTTTAGATTGAGATCTTCTGGTCCGTGCTCATGCTCAGCGCTCAGTTATCATCACCAACGCCTTCTGGAATCGCAAGCCCACTGTGTATCAGGCATGGTAAATGGATGTGTACGGACACGGGCAAGTCTCCCATTGAAGTGCATTCACAGCTCGTGGACCGTCACCGTGCTATACGTCCCATCACAGACTGCAAGAATACGATACCGACATGTAACGCCGAGTAAGATAGTCATAGAGGACTAGAGGAGCATACAGATGAGGACAAGTGTGGTTAGAGATCGGTGGCAGCAGATATCTAATTGTAAGTTGAACCGCAGTATGGTCTATGAACAGAGAATGTGGCGCGGTGAGGCTCGAATCTATACTCTTCTGAATAAAGGCCGTAGAAGCTGTCAAAGGGGACGTAGACGTGCACAATTAAATTTGTGTTATATTCAGACATTTCAATCAGTACGGCCAACAGAAACATCGATCCTCCACATCCACCACCCTCGGGCCAAGGCCACATCCATCTTCTAATGCGCCGAGTTTTCCTCCGAGGCAACGGCTTCAAAGGTGTCCTCGCAAGGTTTGCTGAATGTCTGAAGCTTAGGGAAAGAGCGAACGAATGCCTCCTGTCCTCCGGGCCCTTGGAATTTGCAGTCAATAAGCTGCAGCTTGATGATGCTCTTGAACCTAGAGGCTACATTTCCCAAAAATAGTCGCGGACGCTGTTTGTCCGCTGTCCAGTCTATCCCACTGATGACCAGAACTGTGCAATCCTTGGCATTGGGGAGGTAGAGCATGTCGTACATGACAGTGGATTGTGACTCATGGAGTTGGGGCAACCCTGCAGTGGTACCAGAGGGTGAGCTCGCCCTCTAAGAAAACAGATACTGACCTGGCTTACTGCCCGTCTGGATTAGCTGCACTTCAGACTGTCCTTCAGTGAGGATGAGAGCTTGCACGGCGAGTTCTTGGGACATCCTTATTCACCGTATCTGAAACAAGCAAGATGAGCATTGTCAGAGTGCTGCATGGAATGCAGGAGATGGGCACATAAGTCTACTTACTGTGGAGAAAGTATTCAGCAAGATGGAGATGCATCGAAGCAAACTATGAGAGAAGATGAGGGCAGCTGCATACCCGGTGCTCGTATACCTCGCCGCCTGCGCCACTTCGTGCAGAAAAGCACAGCATCGGGAGACAATGGCAAAGCGGGATGCATAAAATAGCCGAAGTGGCCCTGCGCCACGCTTTAAGCCTCAATGGTCGAGAATTGTGAAGTGATATAGGAACGGGTAACCTGTAGTTCTCCGGCGTTGAGCAGAGATGTGCACCGCTACTGAAGCTTGAAGCTTGAAGCTTGAAGTCTAGTGCTTGGCATGATATAAAGAGAAGCGGGGATATACGTCAAAGCAGTAACAAGGGAATGGCACACACATCAGGAAAAAGCCCCAAGTGAGGTAGCTGCCGCCATGATTATGTAGACACGTGTAGGGCATGTAGCCATGCATCGGTCAATGTACACCTCTGTAGGGCTGTGTAGCCACCACTCACATTTCCATAGCACCATAGAGAGGTTATGCCTATCAAGCGGAGCTTAAAAGCATCTTAAAAATTGTGTTGGTTCATATGCTACCGTGCATTGAGATCTCAAACGTGCCCAATTCCCGGTGCATACAAGCGTAAATGTGGGCATCTGCAAAGGGATTTCTTGGCTAAGCTGGCTCTTCAGTGGCTTGGGAGCACTGTGAACTTTAGACAGTAAATGAACTATGGAATGTAGTGTTGGCATATTTTCTGTGTTTGTCTGCTAGCTATATAGTTACAGAACCAATAGCAACCTACTTCACCTCGCACTTCACTGTAGTTCCAGAGCAGGTCGGGAAGGGCGGGAAGCATCGGGCAGTTGTTACGAACTATGGCACCATCGATCACGTGCTTCGTGAAACTTGGTAAAATTTGTGGGTCATCCCATCTCTTGCGCATCCTCTGTTGGCATCACTGTCTTTCTTCTTGTCTCTTGGCCTCTCACTGGTGTGTCTCTCATCAAATTCAGTTCGCTGCAGTGTCGCATCTCACTGCTACTCGTCCTCTCAGTTTATCTATGCCATTTCTGCCTTCCTATCATTCGCATGCAGATGTCCTAAATATTTCTGTACTGGTGGTACTCACGATGCATGATGCAGACTTTTGGAAACACCTCCAACCTCCAGTTCGCGCTCCCCCATGTCGTCGAATGCAAATGTTCGGCAGCATGTTTGTTTTCGGAGGTCGAAGGGCACCCCCAGGTGAGTTAAAGAAAGATTTTTCATATCCCTACAATACAGTGCTAACTCTTTGCAGCCTCCTTGTCGTTGCACCGGCTACCGCAGTGCGACGATGCCACTCCGGCCCTGCACTCCCACACTCTCCTCGCACCTTGGTCCCCCATCTTCCTCCGCCCTCCTCATTCACATGGGGAGCCGACACGCGGACAGCCAGGTGACACTGCATGGCTGCGCAAGGTCAACGACCTCGCACTCCCCTCGCCCTTCGCCCCTCCATCCTCCAGCCTTCTCATTCACGTGAGGAGCTGACACGCGGACTGCGAGGAGACACCACGTGGCTGCACGAGGTCAACGGTCCCACCCTTACACCACCGCTTTGCACTCCCCTCGCCCTTCGCCCCTCCGTCTGCCAAATTCAAAAACAAGATGCCGTAATAAGCAACATACAGTATCATTACATCGATTTGGTTGGCGCAGTATGTTCTCCACCCTCACCTGTTGCGGACTCATGACTGACACGGGCCTGCGAGCAGGTTGTTCGGCAAGGCTCGTTCATTGACAAGATGTATGCATTTGGGTGGACCGAGCTGGGCTACTTCAACGACAAGGAGGACGAGCTCGTTCTCATGCATGCTATGGCCCGCTATCATGCGTGTGTACTGCCCACTCTACTGCGAGTGAAACCGACATGCTGATGCCTCGGGTCCGGCTTTACTTTACAGATTCTTGGACCTAATGAGCTCATCGCTGATGTCGTTTTTCGTGCCAATGCTCGACATCGATCTCGTGTGGCACTCGCATCAGCTCATGGGCAGTCGGTACGCCAACGAGTGTGCACGGTATGTAAAACGTTACATCGACCAGTGCGTGCGCACATGGAGAAGCTCACATGGCGACGGCAGTGTGATGCGGAACGCGTTCGCACCGGGCGCATGGACGCGAATGCGTTCGAGCACAGGCGGGCGCACGACATGGCATTCCCGATGCCCATGCCATTCTATCACCCTATCACGGTGTGCGTCATCATCGCTAACCCCGACCTCCTCGTTTGTGCAGGCAGCCGACACATGAACGGCCAGGCACTGTTTGTTGTTTCCCGCTGCTCTGATCTGCTGGTGCTTCCCTGCTTCAGCACTTCGGTTTAGTGTAATATAGCTAATATATTCTGAATATATTTCTTGCACTGTGTCTATTGGTGTGATTCGATGGCTATTCAGCTTCTAGCTATGAAATTTGGCCAGGGGCTACCACTTTACCGCCAATTACAATGGATTACTTATAGCTACATAGGATGCCTACTGGGCTACAGGGCACTATAGAGGTGCTGCAGCATCTACCGGTACAATATAACCGGGGACTTGTCTACCGGGCTACCACTGCTACCTAGGCTACGTCGGGCCATGTAGTCAAGCCATTTTTTCCTGATGCATCGTGAATGGGATAAAGTCTCATGCTATGAGCTTTCAATTAACATGAATCTACTGGCGCTCATGATCCAATCCATGTCGACAAGCATATTTGAAGTTGACCGCCATGCACTTATCTTTGAAGCGCTCTCGCCAATGCAACTCCTCAAAGCGTTCATCAATCCTTAGGCCTCCAGTCTCAGGGAGTTTCCCTCGCGTCATTACCTTATGGCCAAAGGCCGATACAACCAATGGGGAGTCGGAGGCAATAATTAAGACATCAGTGCATCAGCATTCTTGACTCAGATCTCCTCGGATTTGATAGTGTCTGTTAGCAAGCAACTTATAAGTCGTCTCGCTGGAGTATTTACCTGGAAACGGCGGAAATAATGGACAACGCCCGAATCGTTTGGAGCACTCGACGCAGAGCAGCTTGGATGAAAGCTCGAGGAGTCAAAGGTCCACATGCACGCATCCACTGGCACCGCGTTTCCTCCACCACCACCACCACCACCACCACCATCACCGTTGTTGCATTTAAAAACTCGCTACTCTTCGTCCTTAGTAACTCCTGCATCGCTACTCTTCATCCTTAGTAACTCCAGCAAATACTCTCTCGAACCGCCTGTCTCGGTCCCACTATAGCCCCTATCCCTCATGTCTTCGTTCTCGCTCCCTTTACCTTCTCGTCCCAATATCCCCTATTCTCGTGCAGGCTCTCCATCCCTGCAAACTGATTCAGATGACGCAGTCATAACAGGTGTGGAATTGATTATAGCCGAACTGGACCACTCATCCGTGCAGTCCGCGCACACACAATTCTCCCAACTCGTGTCAGACTTCAACAACACTAATCCCACTCAGCATCTTCCGCCCTTCCAGGTTCACCCCGGTGACCCCCGAAATTCCGTTGATTATGTCTTCATTTCCTTGCACCCTGATCTAACCCCTGAACTGCGACCTGACATACTTGAGCAGGTCCGCAAGGTGTTCGATGGCCGCAGTGGATTGCGCGCAGGTTGGAGAACTGGAAGTGGCACAGATCAGTCGCGGCGTGTGATGTTCATCATGGACAGTGAACAGCATGCCCGCACCATGCAGCCCAGGCTGGAAAAATGGATGAACGACCACGGTATGACTTTTCAGGGGTGCTTCCTCAGCAAGCCTTCTGCTGGATCCTTCCGCATTACCTTCGATATACTTGATCCCACTCATGTTGCTCAACTCCGTCAACAGCCTCCCATGTTTGACCGGCGCACCTACCCTGTCGTCCAATCTCAGTTCATACCTCCTATCTACAGTCTGCAAGTGGCTGTTGCGGGCTGCGGAGAATTTCAAGGCATCGAAGGGCGCCTTAACACCTACATTCACCGCCGTTATGGCAATGATGCTATCGCGTACAGCAGGATGGTGCTGGAGGGCGAGGTCTACACTGTTGTCCTTAAAGACTGGGCGACGACTTCCCGCCTGGTTTCGGATCCCTTCAAATTCTTCTCTGACACTTCCATACCTCATTTTATCTCCATCTCTCAGCCTATCCTTCTCTATCTCCTCAACAGTGCCGATGTTCCTCTCAATCCAGCATTCTTGTCTCACTCCTCTCCCTCCACCTCTCCCGACCAGCGCAGTATTCAGGCACAAATTGATGCACTGTGCCAACAAGGGTTAGAGACTGTGCATACCTTCTCTGATGTGGTAAAGCAGCAGCATGCCATGATAATGGAGCTACGCTCACAGGGCAATCACGTCATGTCAGCAGTTTCCATGGTAGCGTCCTCTGTCTCTACCTCGGCCCAGCTTTCCTCCGTTGAGAATCAGCTGGGTCGCTTGCATGACCGTCGGGCGCAACTCGAGGATAAGCTCATTCTGGCGCCCGAACCCAATGCACATCAGTATATACAGTCTCGCATCCACTCCATTGATGAGGAAACCCACGAGTTAAATGACCGAGCAGCTCACCTTCGCCGAGGATTACAGGCGCTCGCTTCGCACATTGACACCACTCTCCGATTACTGCCAACCCCTGCTGCAGAACACTCTACCGCTCAGTCCTTGTCCCAATCGTCATCTGGCCACCTACGCCCTGAAATCGATTCCGATGAGCAGCAGCGTTATCAACCGAGGCCTCGCATGACTCCATCCCCACCTGGCCCTCAGCCTGACGGAATGCAGACAGAAATGGTAAGCCACGCAGTGTCTCCTCCTGAAAAACCTCACTGTTTTCCTGACCTCGTTACATCATTCCCTAGTGAATGACAAATGCAGTGTACAGGGGAGCGAAGCAGGCAAAGTACGGAAGTGCATAGTGGATCCCTTCTTCACTCTTGCACCCAGTTTATGTCCTACTTAACTTCTTTCATGTCAACGGCTCACTTTCCCTTCACCTTTTCACCTACTCATTTGCTTCTTTTGATGTTTCTTATCTCTCTTCTCCTTCCTACGGTACATGCCTCTAATACTTTTCAAGCTTATGCTATTAACGCGAACGGGCTGGCTAATGTCTCTAAAATGGCCGCCATAGCTAATGCCATTACTTTACGGCAGCCTCATGCGTGGATCATTAACGAAACCAAGTTACCTCAACCTCAAGCTTCTCGTATTCGTGTCAATGGATACAATACTTTTGAGGAACCAGGTCTTCCGCTGTCCACTGGACGTTCCAGAAAGTGGGGGGTTATTCTTGGTATCAAACGCTCCATTCACACACAGCATATCCCAACTCCCCCACAACTTCACGGTCGTGCAGTCATCCTTGATGCTATCATTCTCACCGAGGATGGGCATGGGTTCCCTCACTGAATCATCGGGCTGTATGCTCCGTGGGACCCTGGCAAAAATGAACAGCAACTTTCCTCCTTCTGGCCTGCCATATCGGAACTCTGCAATCAGGTGCGGTACTCTTGGTGTGTTATAGGCGATTGCAATGCCTCTGTCTCAATGACGGAGACACTTTTCTCTACTCCCTCTATCTCAGCCGCCCAGCGCCACTACACAGATTTCCTACATACGGCCCAGGCGATTGATCTATGGACTCTTCAAGGTGACGCTGATGCTAACACTAACTATACTTTCTCCAGCCATGTTGGCTGATCCATCATTGATCATGTAGCCTATTCTACACAGGAAATCCTCATGGGAACCATCGAAATTGCTGACACTTTTATCCCTGCTACAGATCACCGGGCCATTTGGGCTTCTCTTATTCTAACCCCGCCTCTTCCCCACGCAACTTCAGTGCGTTTTTGTGAACCCCCGCCATTTGATCAGCCGAAACGTTTCTACTACCCTCGGTGACATGAGACGCACCGTTTTGCCACCTTTGCAAATGCAGTTGACTCCCTGGTTCAAAACGACTCTCTCCACTCCTCCCAAGTCACCGATGATACATCCTTCAACACTCGATATAACGCACTCACACTCATTTTCCAACGTGCAGCAGAAGAAGCCTTTGAACTGCCCCGACAATCCCACTGTCCCATATCTAAACCTTCAAGCCCCTCTATACGACTAATTGTAACTGAGATCCGTCGTATTAATCGCCTCATTTTTGCAGCACGTACCAATAATGTTCCCATCCTGGCTTTGCGGGCACCTTGGGTCGCATCCTATATTCACGCCTTTTCTCCCATGCACTCTCACCCCTCCTTCCTTGAATTCCTGATAGCCACCCGATGCACGCTGAATAAACTGCGTTATCGCGAAGAGCATAAAGAATTGCAACGACGAGCAACCCAAGCTGCGAAAGGTCAGATTAATGCTGTTCTTCTTGGCGGGTCATGCAAGAAGCTCTACCACTCCTCTTATGACTCCTTCGGCCCCCCGCTTGCCCTGGCATCTGAACATGACCCTACTAACTTTATCACTGGCCCTGATGAGATTAAATCTCATACACGTGCTTATTTCACCACCCTGTTTGCACAGCAAGACCGCCCTCCTATGCCAAAACCCTGGTTGACCACTCCTTCCATTGTTCAAATCCGCACACAAACCAGCCATGACCCCTTCCACTGGCCGCAGCCCATGTCCCTGGATGATTTACGATTACTACTTCGACATGGCAAACCCCGGCCCGCACCTGGTCCAGATGGTTGGGAGAAATGGTGGGTTAAAGCCTTACATGATTTCTCTCTTCAGCTTGTTCTCGACCTTCTCAATTTCGAAATCTCCCACTCACATTTTCCGGATACAGTCAAGCCCTGCACACTCTCCACCATTTACAAGCGTGGTCCTCGCACAATGCTCTCCAATTATCGCGAAGTTTGCTGCAGTAACCTTCTCCTCAACATGCCCTTCACCTGGCTCAACCTCCTCCTCGGACCTTATCTGGCTAAACACCACATTCTCCCTCCCGGTCAGGTCGCCACTCAGCCGGGCATCCAAGGTCGTGATCTTACTTCATTTTTAGCTCAACTCGAGGCTTGGTTGAATCGCATGCATACACCGCTGTACATTCTTTGCCGGGATCAACAGAAAGGCTTCGATCATCTTGAGCCACAGGGTTTCTATGATGCTGTGACTGCTTATGGACTCCCCATCACCCTCATTCAATTCGACATCTCCGCCCAATCTGATGTGCCTTACCAGGTCAAGACAGCACATGGATTTACAGAGCCCCTCATAATTTCTGACGTCACCAAGCAAGGGGGCCCAATCTCCCCGATGAAGTCCACTCTTATGACAAGTCTCGGTAATCACTGGCTTAAAGACATTTTTGCACAACACGGAGATGGTCTCCTCATTGCCTCTCTTCAACAGCTTGCTCACCGGCCTTATCTTCCGGATGATCGTTTAACGCTCCCAGTAAACATGGTGGAGGCGATGGATGACTCTGCGATTATCACCACTACTCAGGGATCCCTTGAACGTTCTTGCCTCTTCATGGAGCGCTTTCAAGCAGCGTACGGTTGGTTTACTAATTGGGTTAAGTCTCTTCTCATTCTGCTTAATATTTTGAATGCTCCCCCATTGATGCGTATGCCCTCTATCTCTCCGGATGATCCCGCTTCTAGCACTCTCATCTGGCATGACGTGCAGGTGACCACTTCCCATATTGAATTCCTTCGTGTCTCTATTAACAATCCGCAGCATCAGTTTGAGAAGCTCCGTGATATTATCTTATCCTTCGATCTGCCTAACCTCTCCCTTCGCCTTCCGCTTACAGTGCTCCGCCGCATTTTTGCCCAATGCCTTATTTCCCGCCTACGTCCTCATCTCGCTTTCCAGCCTATTTCCCGTTCACATGCGATGGAACTCGACCATCTTCTTGCCCTTCGAGTTCACCAATATTTTTCGTTTCCCTTTCGCTTTAACGCAATCCTTCTTTCTCTCCCAATTCAGCATTACGTATACGGCTTTGACTTTCCCTCTATAAATCGACTCAATGATTGTGCCGTGGTATCCGGGCTTTGGCGTGATCTCAACCACCACAACCCAGCCTTCCATGATATGGCCCATATCACGCTCGCCGATTGGACCTGCTCCATCAATCACTGTGTCTTTCCTCTTCACCCCATCTCCCAGGAATCCTATGCATGCCAGACACACCACCTTCCTCCATCTTGGATTACTGCACATACAGTATTATCTACCCTCCGTCTCTCCATCCGTCAAACCGATCTCTCTTACTTATTTTCGGGGGATGTTTCTCTGTGTCACCTTCTTCGGTCGTTACCACCTCTCCCTGATCACCCCATGCCTTCCCCGCAGATGATTACTAACCTTGAGCGTGCAGGTTTTACTCATCTTCACCACCTTGTGACTTGGTTCCCATCCAATGACCCTCTCGCACCGCCTTCATGGTCTCTTCACCCTACTGCAAGCGTATCCAACATGCTACGCTTCACCGCAGCAGCTTCTGACTGGCCCGCCGTTAGCGGCTGGCTCCAGTCTCTCTCACTACCATACCTCGTTGCCGGCCAAGGAAGTTCTGGTGCTGTTTCCCGCAGCACCCGTGATAGCAATGGAAGTACTGGTGACCTTAGCGTCACTCGTGATTGGACACTAGCATTGCCTCGTGATCTGCGTCGAACCCTCGCAGAGCAAGTTATCCTCACTCTCCTTCACTCCTCTCATCTTCCTCTATTCCCTTCCACCTCGCCGACTTGCGCCTCCGATGGCTCCATGACACCCGCAGCTGCTCTTTTTCGTCAATTCCGATCGGTAACATTCGCTGTCTCCACCCCAACTGCTTCTCTCGCCTGTTCCCTCTCCTCCTTTGGTCTCTCCGCATCCATTCTTCATGCCGAAGTCTATGGGATAGTCGTTTCCTCCCTCTCTGCCTGTTCCGCTCCGTCTCCCTCTCCACCTTCTTCCCTCCTCCCTTTATATACAGATCATCTCAATTCTGTACGCCTCATCAACGACTCCATATCAACATCCTCTCCCCCCCCTCTTATCAGTGGTCCCGGCTCCCCGCGCGTTCTCTCTATCGGTGGATACAACTCATCCTCACCTCTCCCACTCATCACCCTGTTCAAGTCAACTACACACCTGCACACACCTCCTCCGACTCTCTTCCATCACGTTTGAATGCCTTTGTTGACCGGATCGCTTCTCAATCTCACCAGCTTCCTTTACCTACACCTCCCATTCCTACCTTTACCATGGATGACTACGTTCTTTTCTCCTCCTCCGATGGCTATATTGAATCTGACCCATCTACTTATCTATCCCACGCCCTCGTCGCTGCTGTGGTCGATGACCGCTCGTTCACTCCCTTGCGCACGCTTGCCTTGCCTTTCTACAATGACCTCCCACCGCCAGACTACCCGTACACTCGCGCGTCATCCGCTTATTCCGCTCTAGTGCAGCTCTATGCGCGCTGCGGACAATTGGATACAGCATACACACGCTTTGCGCGATTTGGCGACTCGTCATTGTGGTGCCAATTCGGTTGCTATGCGCTCGAGACACCCCATCATCTCTTCGTGGAATGCCCAATGTTTGCACCCCTGCGAGAAAATGCCCGTCGCGACGTCATAACGGAGTCGTCCAAGCTCTTACTCGGAGCTGAAACCACACCCTCACTCATGGAGGACATCCTACTCGTCGCGCGTTCACTGTTTATCGACAGTGATGTCTGGCCATTGTACACCTCGCACTATTTCTTGGGCATACTACCCCCCACTCCCACTCAGGGTGCTCCTGCCACGTCCACGCACCGACGCCTGTGTGTCCGCCTCATGCAAACTTGGCACACTATTGGCATTCGGCTAGCCGGCCGTATTTGGGGAGAATATAAGCGGCGCACTCACCCCCACACACGACGTACCTTCTCTCCTCCTCAACTATCCCTTCCACTACATCTTGCTCACCTTCTCCCTTCTTCCTAAAACCCATCCCATGTTTCTCCGTATTTACATCCTTTTCGTTGTGGCTGACGAGGTGCCTCTTACGTACCTGAGCTAGTCATATAGCGTAGTCAGCTAATATTACTCGTTTCCTCGTTTCCTCCGTCTCCATTTTACCTCTCGATCATTTGTTCAAACGTTCTCGAAGACGAGTACTCAAGTACTCATCTAACAAGAAGTTAGGACATGCTAGCTGGTGGATCCTAAGCTTGAAGGTGTGACCCGTCGACATGTAGCTCCACCACCTCCGGATTCTGGTCGTACGAGGGTTGAATACCTCACTGTGCGCACCGATCTTATAGCCCCGCTGTCTAGAATAAAACAACATGCACCAACGGCGGCAGGATCGATGAGTCCCCTCGGTTGCGACGATTTAGCGCCGTCAGTGTTACAGTTAAACCTTTCTGATTCCTGCGGCGCTTACGCTCTCAACCTGCTTTTCCACGGCCACAAGCTTGTTTGGCTCGGTCTTCTGCACACTGCGAGAAAGGTCTCTGCTCTGCCTCTCTTTGCTGCCATCCATTCGTTTGGCGCAGTTCGACTAGCTTCTCCCTTCTTATCTGACGCCCACTGCTACAGGAGCGACACGAACCCGCCACGCTCGCACGGAATCTTCCTTGCGTGAAGCACAAGTGCATCTCACCGCGGATGACCATTTGAAAATCTTCCCCGTTGCGCTGCGGGAATATGGAGGCTTCCTTGGCAGACTCGGATGGAACCACGGCAACTCTGATGCGCACGTCTCGATCTTGCCTTGCGTGGTGTTTACCGTATTCTACGTCGTGAAAGCCGATTTCGTGCTGGCGGGGCGACCGAATGCTCGCGTCTCTTCACGTCGCAGCTTATATATCAAACGACAGCTGCCTTCTTACTCACCCTCACGCCTTCTCGCGGTGTCAGCCGCTATCAAGAGCTGCACTCCACACGCGTTTTCCCGTCAGGGCGTCATGGCTCCGCCCACCTGCTGGACGACCCCCACACGGAGGCGCAGATGCAGCGCGGACGATAGACCGAGCGGTCTCAGGGCCCGAGGCGTGCGTTCTGCATTCTGCGTTCTGCGTCCGTGATTCAGAATCGGACGACTCCTCGCTCCTCGGAGCACGGCGCGGGGAAGACTCAGCGGAGTGGTGGGACAGATGGGCGCGGAGGGTTCTGGGACTTCAATCTGCGACCGTGGTCGCGCAGTTCTCTTCTCGCTGGCTGGATGGGATGGTTCCGAGTCGATGCACGGCGGAATGAAATGAAGGCGAATACGGTGCTCTGCATCAGTTTCCTAATTCTACGTTACACGCTCGGTGCTGATATTTCGCTGTACGTGTCGTTCATGGCCCATGACCCTGCTTATCAGCCGATCGCTGCCGCGCTTTGGATGGCACATGGTCAGGCCTGAGCAGCACTCTCCTTGTGCACTGTGAACCGGAGGGCAGCCTTCGGCCAGCTGCATGGCATCAGACCCACACATATCGCTGTCTCACGGCCCCATCTGCGTCCCTCGTTTCTATCCCGCCTCCGATCCAGAACTGCGGCAGGATGCCAGACTAGCGCAGCGGGGGCGGAGGCGTCGCTCCCTCGGGACCGGCCAAGTCGCCGTGTTTAACGGGCGTGAAACCATACCTACTTTGGATGTCGTACGCGATGCAGTTCTTCTCAAGGTGACAACTGTCTCTGTAGAGTTGTCGCGTGCCTGCGGTCGACGTGCGTAAAGATTCCCTGCATAAAGTGACGTCGACCAAGGCTCAAGCCGATACAAATGAGCGAGGAGCGTTGCGAATCGACCTCAGCGCATGTAAATGCGTGCGTGAACCGATGTTCCGAAGGAGCGTAGTCAAAGCGTAGGGGCCATTAGGTCCTTGTGTAATCACCGAGAAGGCAGATCTGCTCCATCCTTCGTCGCCGTTCCTCAGGATATTCTTGTTTATTCTTGTGGGTCCTCATACAACCGCCACCAAGCCGTTACAAAATAGAGCCAAACAAAATCCTCTTCACTAGTAGGCCACTCTGCCAACGCGATTGTAGCGCAATGCACTCTGAAGCTGTTCTACTGGTACGGAGTGACACAATTTTACTTTTCAGAGTGCCTCACACTGTGGGCGTAGATACAGGTTGTATAACTCTCGACTCACCAACGGTCTAGCCGAACAAACGAGAACTAACCAGGAATCCTTGCTATACAGCAATAGATGTTAAACTCCATAAGGTCTTCCGTACGGCCACCGGTGAGTGAAGTCAGATCAGTCATGACGCTTTGTTTGGTTGGGAAGAAGAAGATCTGGATCTCTCGCTATTGTGCTGTGCTGCGCATCTCAACGTTGCGTGAAATTTTTGACCATTGCTTCGATCTAGACAAAACGGGAAGTCGCTTTGTCCTCTGGCGACACCGTCTGCGTATAAAGGAGGCACTCCCTGCGGTGTTCTGCCTTCAGCTTTCCCCCCAACTTCCACGTACTCATCATCCTTGCTACGCATCCCTTGGCTCAGCCATGACGAACAGAATTGTACCGCGGCTTTACGCGTCCTTACCACATTCCATTTACACTCTGTCCACTTACTACTCTCGATTGACTCCATATTCATTGACCTTGATGTGCGTCTTCCATCACCTCACCGATTCATATACTCACATATTAGCAGGGGTCTGAACGGTGACCACAAGAGCAATAGGCTCGTTGTCGCGGCACTCAATGCCGAACCGATTCATGGAGCCACGATACAAGCGATTCATGATGACAAGCGCAGTGTGGCGGCGTTCTCCTCCGAGGGAAACGGTCAGAATGGTCATGCCTGCCATTGCTGATTAAAATGGTGAAAGGTTATCGGAACGAAAAGACACTGTGGCTAGCGGACTGCCTCTTTGATGATCTGCAAAAGGTGGACCAATTGATTTATATGTTTCCGCGCCTAACTGCGTTACATACCCGCAGAGTGTACGTTACGACACCTGGAGAAGCACAGAGTGCAGAGGCGCGACCCGTCCCCGAGGTTCACTTCCAGGAACTACTGGCTAAGATTAAGGCGGTCTTTGCATAGGAAGGATGCGTGGGATGTGATCAAATGGGCCCACCCAGATGCACTCATCGACGCCTATTCGTTCATCGATAGTTTGTCGATGAGCGATGGAGAACACCGAGTTTATTATTGGACAACTAGGGCTCGTTGGCTGGCAGTCATGTTCGCTTTCAGGCTTCATCGGTGCGTGCTTTGTCATACGTGTATTCCTCGCAGCATATGCTGACATCTCCGTAGCGATGTCACCCTCTCGAGTTGTGGTTTTTACCCCGACTTCGGCCAGAGTGCCGTGTATCCATTGCCGGCAGAGCCAAACTCTCCTTCGCCATTATGTCTGGGCGGAACATGTGTCCTTATGGCTTCTCTACAACGCCCTCCAGAGACCGGACGATCTCATCCTGGCAAATGTAGGACTTACTGAAATTCAGCTGATAGTGCAGGTATTTTATTTTTAATTCCTTTTGTAACAGTGTGATGTGACTGATCCGCTGATTGTCTGTAGTGGCCGGCCTACGAAGCCCAGCGCCTCGTTTCAGTAAACCTCCCCGTATCGCGCTGGACGCTCGCGACGTGCATTGCAAATCATTACAAGCAGTTCTTCGAGGTCAGTTCTGTGTTATTCTTTCTGTTGTGCCTGCATCGAAAGTGGCATAATTTCCTGTCTCTAGGATACTACGAAGAAGGAGCTCGCGGGCCCGTTTGCAACGGGGAGGGAGTGATCTGAGCCCGAGTACAAGTGAGTGTATCTTCCACAGCTGCATGACAAGCCCTGACATTTGAGCAGGGATGCTATACTCACCTCCAGCTACGTCACTCCTTTACCCAGGTTCGGACGAAGTGCCTTCCCATCTCCTGAGGGCGCCTTTCCATCTATGCGTATCGCGGGGCCATCTTCTCAATGCGATGGCTCACTACTCGACACCTTGAATCTGGAAATGTCTGTCGTCCCTTTCCAATGGCCAACGCTCCTCTCCACTCGATGTCGGCATTTGTACAAAGTGAGCAAATGACACCGTCCATGCGGCGGCGGATATGTCATACGGATTTCCCCCACGGCATATTTGTGCTCATCATCCTCCCCTTTGCTGTCCTTCTCCCTCACCTCGTCGGCCTCCTCCTTGCCTTCCTTCTCCTACTCGTCCTCATCTTCGCGTTTGTCTGCCACTTCCTCGTCGCTCCCTCGGGATCTCGTGGTCACAACGTCACTCATCCTGCCGGACATTCCATTCTCCCATGCATCCTCTGCCGGTGCTCAAGCGTTGACCGGCTCAACACCCCCTTCATCGTCCTCTTCACGCTCTTTGGACTTCCTCGCCATCTCCTCATCCCCAACTCAGGACCTTGCTATCGAAACCTCACCCGTCATGCCCGTTCTCCCGTTCTCGCACGTACCTTTCGGCGAAGCTGAGGTAATTGTGAGCTTCACACCGCGAACGATGCAGGTTATGTCCCAAGACGTGTCCGGTTCTATCGAGGGGACTACCATGGTAATCACAGGTTGGCGGGATCGTGACGGAACTTCGCCTCAAATTGTTATTTATTAGTAGATTGTTGTTGTATGGTATGTTGTGTATGCTTTCATAGTATATACACCCCTTCTGTGATACTCGGTGCTTACTACTTACTACACCGAGTGAAAATGATTCATTTCGTATCATCTTGGTGGCGTGCGCACATGCAGTAGTCAGGAATGAAGCTTTCGGACAACAGATGCAAATAAAGAACAGAGCACGGGGTGTGATATCTTGATGAACGTCACGGTGCCGTGGTGGGAGGGATGTGATGTTGGCACGGTGCGGGAAGGAACGACGGATGGCCTGGTAGGAATGAGTGCTGGTGAGGACTGCGGCGGGCGGCGAGAGGAAGAGTACGTAGGACTTACCGCGATCCCAGCACCGAGCATGGATCTATCGTGCTCACACCACCCACTTCAATCTTGCACTCCTCGCACCTCGCACCTCGCCGCTCGAGATTAATATCGTCAATCCCCGCTCACGCTCATCGATCAACCCATGCGATGCCTTCGCCCCGACCCGCCCGCCAGTGCACGCCCGCGAGGTATCTCAGTTGGCTCACCTCCGATACCCTGCGAGCGCTTTCTGGAGAGGGCGAATCCTTCAGGCCTCTTATACCTCTCGCTCGTTTGACATCTGCTGCGACCCTCCTACTTCGAGAGTGCTGTGCTTGGAGCGTGCCAGCGCGGCAAATTTTCGAGTAGAGGTGAACAGACTCTGGCGTGCGCGTCGGTCGATGTTGGTATGCACTTTATCCGCCGTTACTAGCTCTTGTCGCTCCATGACGCTCACTGATTCCCAACCAACCACTGCAGCCAGCACGAGCACACGTTATAACTGCGTGTTCGATCACACCGATATGCAAACAGCGGCCGCTGGTGCAAGTCTGTTCAAGTCAGTCCTACCCATCCCTTCCCATCTTGAAGCGACTGCGAAGTATTTAGACGAGGAGCCGTCGAGTTTCGTGCTGAAAGCCCTCCGATCTCTCCTAACCTGAAAGGAATGCTATTCTGCGCTCTGCCCGTCTCACATCTGGCACCCTCCAAGTCTCCGCTGGCAGTACTAGTACGTCGCACAAGATGGCCGGTCGCTGGCGGGTCGAGTCTGGCAGTGCCATCTCTCATGGCACTCATGTCCCGTCCTCACGTCGATTCACTCGCACGTCCCAACGCTGTGCCGCTCACCTCGGACCCGCCGTACCCTTAGAGCATCCCTGCCCATCGCTCTGCGCCTTAACGACTCGACGAGCCTCGCCTCCTCGGCGTGCATCATAACCTGCCGCGCCCATATCGTCAAATACCGATCCATTCCGTCGTACTTTTGTTCGTTCTTTTACTGTGAATGCACAAGCTCGAAGTACTTATTTCAGGCTTAGGCATCAGCTTGAATATTACGATCGCGTCTTGTCAGGAGGAAAGGATTTCAGCAAGCAGTAACATTGCGTATTGACACGTGAATACTCGCATGAAGTCTGCTCCACAAGGTTTGCGAGGCGACTTTTCAACAAGCGTTTGTCCTTGATGGCAGCACAAGTTCAAGCGAAACTCATACCTTCAACTGATACGACGCAATTGGGGCAAACTGCAACAGCAGGCCTGAAACTCCTTGCCGGAAGGTACCATCATTTTAGCAGCTAGGAGATGTCGCCAACGCGGTGCGTGCCTCGACACTCCCTCTACATGTCAGAAGAGAAGCCACTTACCGCTGAAGATGTGCATCGTCTGGCTGAGAACAGGATCAAGATGTGGCATAACGAATTTATTCGGCATCTCCTTCAGTGAACAGTGCTTCCACGTTCAATCCTCCCGTACGCCGTAGCCCAACTCCTTGTCTAAGTTCCTTTGGTGTTTCTACCTGGGCACTTATCTGCTCATGTTTTCAGGCTTTCTAGAATATATCACCTACAAGTGTGAATCATCCAGATGCCGCTCAGAGTAGGGATGAAGATCATTATATGTTAAATGTTTTGACGTACCTACAGATTAGTTGTTTGTGCGCTACGTTTGCTGGTGCATGTTATACAGGCCGAATAAAATGTGTAAGCAATGACGACTACGTATGTTCGAAAGAACCTTATACGTCTGTTCTGTTGCTCGTGCCAGAACGACTCAACATTGAGTAAAAATGTTTGCATCTACACGGATGAGGTGGTCAACTCTAAATCAACATGTTGCGAGCATTTAAAGAGATGCGTAAACTGCCAGAAAGATACTCTAAATGAATTACAATTTGCATGCCTGGCGAAAACAAATAAATAGTATGACTGACCAGTATGAGAGATAAGAGTAAATCTTGGTCATATACCGAGAAGTAAAGACAAATTCGGTCACCTAGCGACATATGGTGAATCGATGATAACTTACAAGGCTCATGCTATCAAGCAGACCAAAGCACACACCGACCGTAGGAAATAGAAGTGGCAGGGAGGAAGCACGGCACGGCAAGTGTATGATTCACATCCAAGGAATGTTCCAGCCTGCCTAGAGTTCCTGGCTCGGTGCTGAACGCACCACGATGCCAGTGTTCAGACTCTGGTCCATCTCTTCTTTCCTTCGCTGTTCGTGAATGCCACTCCATGCTGCAGTAACCGCTCCGCATTCTTCCTGAGAGGGTTATGTCGCAATGCGGCTCTGAAATAATCGTCCCAAGGTAGAAGGAAACATTAAACACCTTGGATTGAGCACTGAAGATGCTGGGGATGCTCACTCGTCATGAGGCCAGCGAAACTTCGGTGGCAAACAAATGTCAGAGAGCGCAACGAGTGGGGAGACATCGAGCGCGTCGAAGAAGTCTATCCAGTCCCTGCTGGTGAAGTCTCTATGTGGGCTGCGGCAATCGTGTTGGAGGATATCATGTCATCAGCAAAGAATGGCGTACTACACGGCGGCGCAGGGAAGTACTATACGCTTCAACGTGGTGTGTTGTGCCGCATTGGACAGAAACTTGAGCGGCGGGGGCTGTTCAATAATTGAACGGTCACTGTCCGAATGAGATGCGGAATGGATACTACGTACGATAACAAGATCGATGATGTAGAGCTCCGCAATGTTAGGACACAGATCGAGCACATTCGCTTCGACTGTGTCAAATTTGTGCGTCGCTTCGGTCGTAAGGCGTTCAAGCTTTACACCGTGACGCTGCAGGAAGAGACACGCATTTTCAACCTCGAAGCCGTGGACATGGACCTCCTTCAGCTCTGGGAGCCTAAGTGGAATAGGACTTAAGAAGCCATATACATGCAGCGGTGGAGATCTCGTGGACTTACCGCATCTCAGTAAACAGATCAATCAGAGACGATCCGTCAGGAGGAGTATCAAAGTCTATCACCTTCAGTGTCTTGAGCCTAGGCAAGGCGTCATATGGTATGTTGTTGGGCGTGAGCTTCGTCCAGCCCCTGCTCAGTGACAGGGTGCGCAGGTTTGGAAACCGCTCGAAGCTACGTGGAGGTACCAGGATGTCCTGCCAGTCTTCCTGCAGCCTCTGTGAGAGCGATACTAGAGGCGAGACGCTCTTCAGATTGTTCGCGAGCTCTGGAAACACGCGGAAAGTCGACATGACATGAGTGACCGAACTCAGCGGCTCGGAGAACGTCACTGGGCGTTCGCGCCACAGGGACCGTGTGCGCAGGACACGAACAAGAGGCACGAAGTTGGGGTTCAACCCTAAGTGTTCGGCAAACATTTCAGCGATCGACCTATCCCGTATAATGGGAACGGAGTACAGGAAAGACACGCCGAGGTTCTACATCAACACGATAAGCGGATAATGTTGGATTGGAAAAAAAAGAACGCACATAGAACCTCTTGGACACGAGAATAATGTTGCGTCTTGTTTCATTGACGCGTTCATCTAGGGACTGCCATAGCAGGTCCTCGGTGAATTCTAGATCATCGGGGTGATGCACATGTGTTGCGAACGCTAGAATTCGTGACCATATCTCGTCTGGGAGATCTGGAACATTGAGCCCAGTTAACGGTCGCACACCGGCATGATTTCGTAGAGTGACAGTACTAGGTTTTTCTGTCAGATCAACATTATACATGAGGTTTCAGACATTACCTGTCACCATCGGTGAAGTACAGAATATCACGCAATGCACTAAGGATATCTTCGCCGACTTTGCAATCGGCCTTCGCTCGTAAAAGCACAACTCGGAGATCGTGTTTCGCTGTGATGGCACTCAGAGCTTCGGATGCGTCTTGCCCGGCGAAAGATGGGCCGATAGATATTATTCTAAGGGATGGTGCACCCCGTATCACAGGTGCAAGTACTCGAGAGGACATCCTTGTGAGCGCATCACTGAAATCAACCCGCTCCTAGTAGTACACTATGAGCAGTGTCAAAGAGCATCCAAGGGAGTGTCTCACAAGATTTGACCATTGTAAAATAGACTCGACAACAGCATGTTGAGTGTCTACATCTATGTTAATGTGGTCCAAGAGGTCGAGCAGCAGTCGCTTTGGATTGATGGCCTGTAAAGAATTCATGAAGCCAGAGCGAGCCGGATGTGGGGGATAAATGCCACGACTACGACCAGCATAACGAGAGTCCACGGACAAGTAGAGCGTGTGTAAGTTGCCGCCAGCCCAGGCGATGATGGAGTTGATGCGGTCGCTGAAAAAGACCTCCACGCGGAGTCTGCGGATGTGCGCACGAAGAGTAGGGTTTTTGCTCAAGGTCTCATAGAGAGCATCCACTTGTGCCGAAGTGCGCAGAATAATAGACTCGTAGAGCCATCGCACGAGATCCTTCCAGTCTCTGGACACCAATAGGACATTGACGGTTGATGCGCATCCGCGAGAGACGAAGGTCATGTCTGTACGGAAGGCAGAAAACGTCGCATCTGGAATGATGAGGACATATTTGAGTATTTCCCTGACCAGCTCGAGAGGCATCCCGCGTTGCGGCATCCTGTAGATGAAGGGGGGACGAAACGATGGGACGAACCGTACCTCGAATAGTTCACCTTTAGTTATCCTTGGGCGCGCACTGCGGAAAGATGCGAGAGTAGGAGCGCTAAACATATATTTTCAAGCGCCCAGGTCGACACTGTAGTAGATGGCTGTCAATAAGCTTGTAAAGGAAAGGTTGCTACAAATTTAAATTCTTACCCTCGGTACTCATACCAAGATCTAGTGATCTGACAGAGACTTTGGGCCTCAGGGCTCCTACTAAAATCCACCAAAGTTTATGCATTATGAGCGGCGAAGGAGCGACGGCACATGATCTGACATGTACACGCGTGCTAAGAGGTGAAAGCACTTGAAATGGATCATATACACGGAAATGTATCTCATATTTCTTGCCCTTGGGTTTGATGATGTGTCTACGTATGCACTTCGCGTTACTATCCCGCCCTTACTAGCCCTTGACCCTCAAGTACTAATTCCCAAACAGCTACTGCGGCTAGCACGAGCACTCATTCCTATAACTACGTGCTCGATCTCACCGATGTGCAGACTGCGGCCGCTGGCGCAAGTCTCTGTTCAAGTCAATCCTACCCTTCCCTCCCCGTCTTGAAGTGACTGCGAAGGACGACGAGGAGCCGTCGAACTTCGCACTGGAGAGACGATCGTGGCTATAGCGCGTTTCCACTCCTTCCGATATCTCCAAAGCTGAAAGGTGCGCTGTTCTGCCCTCTGCCCGTCTTGTATCTGGCTCCAGCGACACCCTCTGAGTCTCTGCTGGCAGTGCGTCGCGCAACACGGCCGTTCACTGGTGGGTCGAGTCTGGCAAGGCCATCTCTCGCGGCACTCATGTCTCGTCCTCGCGTCGGTTCACTTGCACGTCCTAATCCTGCGCCACTCACCTCGGACCTGCCGTACCCTCAGAGCATTCCTGTATATCATTCTACGCCTTAACGACTCGACCAGCCTCGCCTCCTCGGCGTGCATCATAACTAGCTGCGCCCATATCGATCCATCCCGTCGTCCTTTTGTTCGTCCTTTTATGCGCAAGCTCAACGTACTTGTTTCAGGCTTAGGCATCGGCTTGAATATTCGTACGATCGCGTCTTGTTAAGAGGAAAAGGATCCCAGCATATTTTTAGAGGTCGGGAGAATGACCTTGAGGTCACACCCTCTCTCGGTGAGTAGTTTTGATCTTAACGAAAAGGCAGTGACATTGCATATTGACACGTGAGTACTCGCGTGAAGTCTGCTGCACTAGGTTTGTGAGGCGACTTTTCAAATCTTTGGAGAGGGTTGATTGATGCACTCACCATGGGATCAACACCACGAAGTAAGGCGGTGAATCGGATAGAAGCAATATGTATGTATGTCTCAGACCTTTGAGTATACTCGCGCGATTTCTCTTCTGAGAGCTGACCGTAGTTTGGTAGCACCGTACAGCTTAACTTCAATGCCTACGACCATGCTGGATATTCTTCCGCCGACTTCTAGAATCTCGCGATAACGCGACCTAGTGTGGAGTCTACCCCACGATCGTGTGTTGCCCTCGAGGCATTTCTGCACATGCCGTATGCCATGCGAACAAATAACTTTCCCGTCTTCCAAACACGTTGCGTTGCCAAACACTTTCTTCTTCCAGCTTCAATCCTGGTGTCGGCTTGTGGGGCCAAGAATGCTGCCTCTCGGATGAACTTCTGGAGAAGATCTTCAGTCAATTCTCATCCTCCATTCACTCACCTTCCTAACTTTCTGCACGAACAATGACGTACGATTTTCTCACTACGAGTACTTATCTCTTTCCAATTTCCTTCTGGTGTCCCTGAACTAGTTGCACATCGGAACCGCTTCGCTACACGAAGCCATCATCATCCGGACCTCCCACCAAGCTTATGCGCTCGAACGGGCGTTGCGTTATCCCTCTTCTTGGAGAGTTCATCCGCAGATTGGGACTGGAGGTTGCTTGGGCGAGTCTGTCAACTTCATCGTTTCGTCATCCCAAGCTGTGCGAGCTGAGTATCTTTGAGCTCTTCGACCAATCGAACGAGCTTCTTCACTCACCGCTTTTTGTCTGTTATTACCTCTCTCGGTCCCTACGCGCACTGGTAACCTGTTTCATCTGGTCCTAGACTGCGATAGGGGCTTAGTCACTAGGATCGCAGGCCGGGCCAGTCAAAGTTACTCCCTTGCGGCCCCCGCTCGTGGGATATCTAGCTGTTCTTTGACTCTTTACCGCTCGTCTATGAGGCCTAAACATGTCGATATCTGTAACGGCGTCAGCACAGCCTGGCACTACAAGACGCCCCAACGTCGTTACCTCAAACATCCTGCACGTTCGGTAATCTCTCAAAATCCCGGTAGTATGCATGGGGCCTCACTTTACCTTCAAGCTCAATGTTGACAAAAGTTTGCCCATTATTTGCATGGAATGTTATAGTTCGAAGGTCGCTCGCCCTGACGTCAGCGATAATATCATGGCGCCAAAAGTATAAGTGCGCTGGTTTTGCACCTTGTTCAACACTTCTTTTCCTCTGTCATGCTGCCTTTCTATCTGTCGAACTGCCACTCCCATCAAGTTCGGTGATATTCTTGCTGTGTTCTGAGCAAGATAAATCTCAGAAAGTTGGATGTCCTTGTGTCAGTGCAGCTCAAGTGATATTACCCCCATTTTCGACAGGTACGTTTCTGCTCTCGTGGACATACCGACTCTTAACAACATAACTGATTCAGGTACCTAGAGACCAACCTGTCATGGCTCTTCCTACCTTTTTCCTGTTCCCGTCGGGCCTTAAATCAGAGGATGCCAAGATTGGCCGCATCGTTGCCAATCCATTGCTACCCAGGGAGTCCTATGTTCCCGAAGATCCCTCACCATTCATCCCGGACGACCTGGTCCACGAAACGTCCCAGCGATCCGTACATAGCCTACTAGAGTCCGTTAAGAAGGTGGAATTCCGTTCCGCGCTCAGCAAGCTGTTTCATGCAAAGTACAGCAAGTCTGGGCGCGAACATACTACCATCGACTCTGCGCTCTCACGCACGGTCGTTCTCCGCAATGCCGAGAATGTTCTCCCCGAATTGCTCAAGGACGAAGCTATTAGGGCCTGGATCACACGTCAAGGGAGCACGAAGCTATATCTCCCCACTGGCATCAAGCTCTTCGTGGACGCTTACGTCTCTACCGGGGAGGGTTCGGATATGGATGCGAGCGCCGCCGCTACCATTCCGGTCGTGGAAATAATCGCGGCGGCCGCGCCAGCTAGCCTCCCCTCTACCGGGGCTGGTGATATCGCTATTGCAGGATCACGCCGCGGACACGCATTTTCGAAGACGAAGTTCACTGCAATGGGCGAGACTATTTTCGCAGTCGAGTATCGCCAGCTGAAGAATTACAGACGGCGGTTCTTAGGATACGACTTTGAGGGTAGTCGCCTCGGGTCTGGGCGGACGTTCCAGTGTGCGGTGACCCCCTTGCCTGTAGACAAAGACGAGGCAGGAAGAGCTGGCAGAAGAATAGGAGAGGCAGCAAGCGCCGCTGTTGCGATCACAGGGGAAGAATTAATGTCAGAAATTGGAGTGTCTGTGGGTAAAGGGATAAATTTCACGGACGTCGCTAGAAACGGGTTCAAGGTGGAAGATAATGAAGTGCTTGAAGAGGTAGATAACCTGCTTACGCTCGCGGTGGACGACTTCGGGCCGAACATCGGAGGAGTGTATGCAGTGGAGGGAAAAGGTCATGAAATCTGGTTTTTGGGAGCCGACAAAGGCCAAGCAGTGTGAAAGAACGGTATGCAGACAATGCAGTGCTGTGCGTGGTTACATTGACTGAAATTTATCTACATGTAGGCTGTTGATACGGCGTTCTGCGATATACGTCTGAGCTACGATGGAATACGTACAATTCTGGTTGAATACTTGACGGCTTACCCAGGGTTGACCTTTACTCGTCTCCACTTTGGATGCTGATTCGTAATCGACAACGCCTCGGAAAATTGTTTCTCTACTCCATTCCCACCTTCTCAAGTTTGGCAGCCATGAGATTATTCTGCACGCATCTGGGAAGAGCCCCATCTCGTGCAGCTTGTTCACGTACTTCCCTTGCATTGTGCGTACAGCCTGCATGATCGCGCCATGACTTGCGTCCACAGCGCCATTCATGGCACTCACGCACGCGGAGTACTTCAATTGGTGCGTGTCCTCCCCCAGCTCGCCGGGTATTTTGCAGACAGCGAGTATTCCCACTTGCATCATTGTCTCAGAAGTGCTTGTGCCCCCTCGCAGCTTTGAGCCTTTCTCGCATCTCCTCTTTTTGGGGCTCGAACGATTTTCTCGCCCGACGACGTGCCATATGATGAATTGCCCAGACTCGAGACACTGAAGATGTTCGACTGTAGACCTTCCTTGATTCAGCTGTTCACTGGGATGAAGTATCTGCATTACAGACCACTCACCCCAACCCGCATTCTAACGCTCTGCCGCTTCTGCAACGGCATGGCATAGGGCTGAAGTGCCTCTCGACATGCGCGACAGGAGATCTAGACAAATGTGAGACCAATATACTCGATCTGTCTCCACACGTCATCGAGCTCGTTATCCTGGACTCCGTCGTAGTAAGACCTCCCAATATCCATATTGTTAACTTCACGCAGCCAACCCAAACTGTTGTCGAGAGACAGCGCATTAGCGCGGATTTCGCTCCCAAACGCAGCACGTACTACCCACCTTCGCGAATATGCGATTATCATCGCTGGATGCCACGTGGAACACCAGGAATGTGGGCAATGATGACAACCTTATTGGGCTTACGAGAAAGAAGACGTGTCAGTACATTCAAGTTCAGGACGACTGTGCCCGCAGAGGACGCCTGAGCAGAACCTGGCAGTATGCAAGTGTAACGTCTTGGTGGATATCACGGGAAAGCGCCGGACGAGGCTCTAGCTGTTCGTGGGGTCCGAGTTGTGGGAGATGGAACGCTGCGTATGGTGGATGTTTTGGAGCGAAACCGCTGTGCAGCCGAAGCCCCGTCTATATTGCTCGGACTTGATTTTAATATTCATAGATTTTGAACGCACATTAGCCACGTACCCAGTAGTGCGATGGTATAGTCCTTCCGTGGAACTGGCGCTTGCCAAGCATAATATCCGGTATCGTGTACATAGGATATGCCTTTTCCAGATATGCAAGCATGGTGATGGCCTGGGCCATATCTAAGGCTGTTTCGCGCCCTTCATGATGCTCAACTCGGAATGGCGAGTACACATGTAGATTTTCCAGTTCAGTGAACGTGCGTGGTTCGGCCGGCACGGAGCCTCTCCACAGCCTATGTAACCACAGACCTGTGCTTGTTCATACGCGTAAACACATACTATTCAATGTCTTCGACACCATTGTCTATTCGGACTGACGCTCGTGCGGCTGAGGTGGGAGTTAATTGTCGGTCATTGTCCACCGTGCAGACCACAATTTTCGGTCTTGTGCCTCTCAGAGGCACGGTACAAATTGCATCGGATCATCTGAACCGTGGTTCACATATCCATCGAGAAAAATAAGCTTCTGAATTGGTACTCCAGGCTCCAACCTGACGCCCCAGAGGAGGATATCTGTCGAGGCGCTCCACTGATCCAATCACTCGACTGCAACTCATGCCGACTGCGGGGCATGGGGTACCACTTCGTAGCAGATTCGTGAAAGGGGCGCACCAGCTGGCTGCATCTTGACTATGCGCAATGCGCCCTGGTAGCCAGATATCCAACTCAAATATTGGCACAGTACGATACCTGAGCGTCATGTTGTACTGTTTAAAAACAACGATGCTGCATTGTTGATGGTATTAGTTCCTCAGTCTTCTTCAGCCGGCCTAACAAGTACTCACAGAGATGCTTCCGGCATTGTCACCGATTCTTGACACAGTGGTGCGATTGGTGTATGCAAATGCCATCCTTCTTAACTGGTCTCCGAGTTACATACCGCATCTTGATGCTCTTCCCAATTCGAACGACCCTTGTCAGAACTCGCACCAATGGGTGACATTCATCGATATACTGAAGGAGGAGTGGGACTCTGCAGGAGTTCTATGCAATCTGTGGTCAACGTTAGTACCATCCTTCCGCGATAAATTGAAAACAACGAATTGCCCGTACTAATGATGTCAGGATCGCAATTAGCATCATGCAATTATCCCATGTTACGGAAGTCCCAGTATGCACGATGTTTGGGGAACTCACCGTTGTCGCCACTCTCCTCAGCCACATATTCAACTATGTATATCGCACTCGCATGCTTAAGTTAAAGGACACACAGCGTGGACTGCTGTGGTTCCAGGCAAGTGTCAATGCATCCCCGCTGTTGATTCATGTTGACCTCCTGTACGGTAGACCATTTCACGAACCACAACTGATCGGTCTGATGCAACCGCGCTGCTAGCGGCTCCGGCTGCATGGATGAATTGGCGAGTAGTCCCTGGACGCTGTCTATACCTATCTCGCTCATACGTGCACAGGGCGGGAATCTTTCTGTTTTCGTTGGTGGTCTCATCTACGTGGCCCCTAATGAGTATCGAGGAGCCGGATGTGTCAGACAAGCCGCTCACCTGTAAATGTTCGCGAGCGACGGTCATGTTTGTTGCATTGTACGGGATCGCACACTTTGCTTGCGCGATGTGCGCCTTCTTTCGGCTGGAAGCACGCATGGTTGTCCAGGACTCCGCGGCGTAATTCCTGCAGCTACATCAGTTACCTTATTGGCAACACTTTGATGACCTACATTAGTTAGGACACTTCAACAAGCGAGGTTGCATTTATGCTCCAGCAGATTGACCAGATCCCGGATTCTGCATCCTATCCCTCTACATCTGTCAGTCGATCCTTTGTGCAAATACGATTCAGCGGCGAACGGAGCCGACATCGACGGGTGTGTGAGATTTCTACCGCCACAGGCACAAGCTTTAACGGTACTGCGGTGGATGCACCAATCTTATTTCTGGTGACGCAAAAGAGATTCACACCAAAAGCACTCTGCAAGAAAGGTAACAACTGGGTCAAACTCTGTAGAACACAGATGCTTTGTCTCCGTACCTTTGTCAAGCAGTGATGTATTTTGATTAATGAAATTCTGCGAGATAGAATTTGTAGGCGAAGAAGTTTTTAGAGCAGAACACCACAATTGTGATGTTCTGTTTAAATTTTCACGACAAGTAGAAATCGAGATGATAGATTCCATTCCTGCTGAGGCCCTGAGGGAAACGTAAAAACTTATCAGTGAGTCGCATCGCATATTCAGAGAATTGTAGGGGTTCCAGACACGAGAACGACGGTGCACCTGTATCAAGGATTCCTGTCTCTGGTTCCTCGTCGACAGAAAACGACCACAATACGAGCGCTTCAGAGGTCAGGGGTGTCAATCGCGGAAGGACTGTTCACGATCACGATGATAGAATCGATCGAACGCCTGCGACATGGTTCCAAGATCAACGTAACTGAAGAGCAAACCGATCAGCAATCAGAGCCCTAGTCTAGTGAGTAGCTTCAGGTCGGATAAAAACCAAACATTTGGGAGGCATTGAAGGAAATTGCGAAAATAAGACACTGACGCAGGCACACGACCATATGCATACACGGCTTGGCCTCAAATCAATTGAGTGGGAAGATGGACTCACCTGCAGGCGTGCCGTCAAACAGTCCTTCTAATGGTGATATCGATAAAGGACTTTTGTCGGTCGCGTTGAGCGACGTGCCCGCGGCTGGCAGGACTCAGGCGCCCATCACCCAAACACTCCTGCGACGCGCATACAGCGCCTCCTCGTCCGCGCCTAGTCCGCGCCCTCCCATGGGCGCCATGTTCACGCCGGGTTCCAAGAACCTGACGAGGGATCTGCCTGCGTTATCCTTGCTCATGCACGTCGCGCCGCTTCCACGTTCGCGAACCTGCCGCTTGAATTCTGTGCAGCTCGCGGAGGCGTTCAATGACGGCAAGAGCTCTTTGCTCCTGCCGGCGGTGCAGTAGCTCTGCGATGACGTGCAGAATATGTTCCTGCGCCCGCGAGGTGCCCTATCTCGAAGGATTAGCGCTTAACCGTGGGCACACGAGCTTCGAACTGGCGGACGTCTCCCCGCGACGCACGACGCTCTAGAGATTAGACTGTGCGCTGTGGAGCTGTTCACAGCTGCTGAGAAACGGGTGGTGATCATGGCTATCGATCTTCGCTGGATCCATACTGGGCGGCTACCATCGTATCTAGCCTCGTTTTCTCCGTAAGCTCGTTTTCGAGAAGGTTCGCACGTATGTGCGAAACACTGCCATGGTCGCCCCAATATGAGCGGCACGATCTCGGCGCCAGAAGCAAACTTTGCGCACGGTGAGGCTGCTTCTTCCATCGAGTTCTGCCATCGCCTACTTGAACTGTGTCCTGAAGAAGCGAATTTCTGCTCTGTACGCGTAGCTCAAAGCAGTATTATCATCATCTCCCAGAGGTACGTTTCTGCTCTCATGGGCAAGCAAAATCCACTATTGTGAGTTGACGCAGGTGATATCAAAGCAATATGCATCCTACCTTTATCCTGTTCCCGTCAGGCCTCACGTCCGATGATGCCAAGATTGGCCGCATCGTTGCCAATCCATTGTTACCCAGGGAATCCTATATCCCCGAAGACCCCTCACCATTCATCCCGGACGGCCTGATCCACGAAATGTCCCAGCGCTCCGTGCACAGCCTACTCGAGTCCATTGCCAAGGTTGAATTCCGTTCCGCGCTTACCAAGCTGTTTCACGCAAAGTACGACAACTCTGAGCGCGAACGTACCACCATCGACTCTGCGCTCTCACGCACGGTCGTTCTGCGCAACGCGGAGGATGTTCTCCCTGGGCTGCTGGAGGGGAAGGTGATTAGGGATTGGATCAAACGTCAGGGAAACATGAAGCTGTATCTTACCACTGGCATCAAGCTCTTCGTGGATGCGCAAGTCTCTACGCGGAGAGCTTCGGACGTGGAAACGAGTGTCAGCGCTACCATTCCCGTCACAGACGTAGTCACAGCGGCCACTGGAGTCGCCCTCGCCTTCGCCGGTGCTGCTGATGGCACTCTTTCGGGTTTGAGCAGCGGACACAGCACTTTAAAGACGACGTTCACCTCAGTGGCCGAGACGATTTTCGCGATCGAGTATCGTCAACTGAAGAATTTCAGAAAGTTCCTCTTCGGCTACGAGTTTGAGGACGTGCGTCTGCAGCCTGCTGTGCGCACCCCTTATCACAAGATCAGGCGCATACTCGTGACCGACTCTCCGCCTGCCGATGGGGAGTCTGATGACGAACAGGGCGCTAGTAGTGCAAGGGATACATTCATAGAGGATGATTTCACACCGGACGACGGAGGATTTGCAGAATATTGGGCACTTCCCGAGGATACTGTCATGGAGAACGACTTCATGCCGAACGATGGGGCATTCGCATTCGAGGAAAATGGTTATGAAATCTGGTGTTGGGCAGCGGCAAATGAAGACGAAGCAGTGGGGAAGTAGCGGTGTGCAGTAGCTTAGTGCTACGTGAGGTTATATTCGAGATTGCTGGATGTCAAGGTTGGTGGAATTCATCGATAATTAGTATCGGACCTTGAGATTGGTACTGAGCACGAGCAAATATGATGGCCTACCACCCCCGAGGACGCGTCGTGGTTTCTGAAGGCTGTATATCAAGTGGGTTGCTTGATGTTCTATAAGGCTGCAATTATTCACGGTCACCAGCGACGTCCAGATCCGTGTCTGCTTTGTGCACTACGATGAGCCCGTGAAGAGCACCTGGTACTCGGCGATGTCATGTCGTCGAGCTTCAGTTGATGTAACACTTTTATAACGATGTCATGTATTCAACCGCCTGTTACGAAAGTGTATGGCAGTCCGTAGCTGAGGTAGAGGGTAAATGCTGTCGAATTGAGAGCCTAGGAGACAATCTTCAGTGCCAATCTACTGAACTGCACATAGCACATCAGGGAAAACCTCCCGCGCAAATTGGTCAAAATTATATGTTAATTGTCAAGAATAGTCGAGATTCTACGTGTTCCAGCGATTATCAAGATTGTTGAGAATTACATGAAATAGACGGCCCCTGCCGATTTCACTTATTAATTCTCAACATTTCTTAACATTACACACATTTGTTACAGGGTTTTCTCTTCAATTCTTGCTATTATACATGTTGTGACAACGAATCAGGCCTCATTTACTCAATAATACAGTAGGAAAATGAGCATGTTATTAGACAGTACAAAGTATAATACTTAAAGAGATATGTTAGTCATCGAAAGGGCACTTGCATACCACCTGGGCAAATAAGGGAGAAAAATCGCCAGCATACCATCCCGTATCCTAAGAGGCCGTGAGGGTTTCGCAGTCACGTTCACAAAGACACGGTCGTTGGAGGTGCCCCCTCCGATCGTACCAGCGGGCGCATGCGGGGAAAGCTCGAACTTCTCGACATAATAGCTCGGCAAAATCGCAGCCGCGGACCTCCTGAGCCAGCCGCCCCTTCTCCGTGCATCATCTGTACCGGCAGAGACGAGATCATTGGAATTGCCGTACTCATTTGGCAGTGCACGATCTGATGGACCAGGAGGGGAGCCAGGGGGCGGGTGTGCGTAGTCATAGTCAACGGCTTCGAGGTCATATATTCCTGGTGTGGATTGTTCGTGCGCAGATGACGGCTCGGGGTCATTGTACGCAAGGGGGTGGTAACCGCTGCGGGGGTTTATGGGGTGGTGTGGGTCGACTCCAGCGTCCGACTAAATTTGATGTGTTGAGGGGGGCCGGAGTCGGAGCATCCATAGATGCCCTGCATTTTCATTTTACTAGTAACCGAGTTAGTCTTTCAGCGAGGCACATAGAACGTAGTGACGCGCCTCGAGTGTTGCCCTTGTGCTACTACACAATACTATGCCTAGCATTGCGTGCCAATATCAGCTTTGTTAAATGCATCCGTGAGGGGTGACAGAGAAAGCACGTACCATAGAATAAGTGTTGCGGGTCAACAAAGACGTGAATATGAAGCAGAGAAGACGGACGCTGCAGTGAACCAGTGCTTGCTCTTGTTTGGTCCAATCAACGTCATCACGTGCCGTTGGACTTAGCAATTCCTGGGCGATGACTTCAACTCACCCTTGCAAGTTGCATCGTCACTGGTTGATCACCTATACCCCATATCCCGCACTTATCTCGCAGCTCATATCTCCTGCCTTGCCTGGCATCTCCCCACCTTACCTGCCTCGCTGACTGCATCTGTCCAGCCTCCACATGTCATCTTGCCCTTGCATCTTGCCTCCTCCACCTCTCTCGCCTCACGTCTTTGTACACCTTGCATCTGCTGTCCCGCATTCTCACCTGCCTCGCGTTCTTACCCATGCTGCTCAGTTGGACACATCGGCAACATCTAATACGCCATTCGGATCGCTTCGAACCGGCTGCTGCATTTACAGCCATCTTTGCTGAGTGTCGAGCCGGTGCTGTTTCTGCTTTTGCTGTGTGATCATGGTAAGCACTGGTTCAGCTGATGACTCTCTTCAAGAGTGTTCTGGAGGAACTGTTTTCCAAGATCCCAGTAGAGTTTCTGATTAGCGTACAATTTACATGTAATTATGAGGTTTTCAAATCAGATTATCATTGAAGTCGAGATATTGAGTGACTTTCCTCAGTGCACAATGCACTTCAAATTTTCTCGTTCTTGTGAATTATCCACAATTATCATACATTTCTTCACAATTGTGCTGGGTGGTTTTTCCTGATGTCATTGAAGTTGAGAAATTAAGTGACTTTCCTCACAATGCACTCCAAATTTTTTCATTCTCATGGATTATCCACAATTATCATATAATTCTTCGCAATTGCGCTGGGAGGTTTTTCCCGATGCATGATGTTGTCTGCACACCACGAGCTTTCCACCGCTTCGTCTTCGTTTGCTCGGGCCAAAGCGAGAATTCACCGCCATCCACTTCGACTGTAACAAGCGATCATTCGTTACGAAGTCGTCCTCTGTGAGCATACCGCCAGTGCAATCCGAGACATCTATTTCTTCAGTTTCAGGTGCTCCATGGTCCAGCATTGGTTCTTCCTCCGTGTTTGCATCCCCAATATTATCTGTGTCATCTATCCCTTCGTCTGAAAACACTCCATCTGGGGTCCACTTTAGTCTCTGTACACACAAACCCCGAGGCGAACATCCTCAAAAGTCGTAGCCAACGACTTCGGCGCTCCCTCAACTGGCGACGCTCAACTGGGAAAATCGTCTCGCCCAAATGAACCTTGTCTTCGAAGCCCTGGGTCCGTTTTTCGACCCCGAAAGAGTAAGATCACCGATCCCGGTAAAGGAAGGACACAGCTGGTGCACCCATGTGGTTCCTGCATTTACTTCCGTGGGGGGTACGGAGGTGACAGCGCTCACCTAAGAGTCCAAACCTCCAGCAGGAGAGCCTAGAAATATCACCGTCGCAGAACAAGCGAACGCCGACGGATGTGAAAGAACGCTTTCGCCGAGGATGGTCAATACCTGACGCCCCCATTGAAGTGGATATTTTCAGGCCGTGATTCTGGAAGCGATTTGTTAAAGTCGAGATTGCGACAATGGATGAGTCGCTGTCGAATCGGGCTACAAGCGATAATTAGTGGAATATGGACGCACGGCGTCGTCACAACTCAAGTAAGATGTAACTCATTTCTAATACCGACATTGAGCTGGACATCTAATGTGAGCGACTGCGTGTATAGCAAAGATGAGACTCACGAGGACAGACCACAAGGGGACGACGTCTCAAAAAAGATTCTGTCGATAGTCTTTAAGTGCGTGGTACATGGTGTGCAGCTATGCGAATAATGCTTGTTTGGAGAGAAGGGCCGTCCTTCCCGGCGAAGGTCAGCAGACACTCGTGACGGACGCGACGCGTCCGAGAACTCTTCGTCAGACCTACTTACAGAAGTGAGCCTAGTTGCAAGTGAATCGCTCTTCTTAAAAGTGTGCCCTGTGGGGCTCCTTTATTAAAGTTTTCCAAATTTCTTGGCCTACTGCTATCGTATAGCCTGTGCATTCATCACCTCTCGAGCTCAAACACAGGAGTTCCTGAGGACCCGCTTGCTCATGTTGTTCCCCAGCCTTTCTTGAACTCCTCTCTCTGACTTTCTCTCTAATTGATCTTTCTCAAAGACCAAGTTTGGGACGATCGACCACCCATCTTGATCCGCCTTCGCGGAATCAAACTCAAACTACAGCTCCTAGGCGCTGAGCGCTGAAGGGCTCCGGTTTAGCCCATGAAATTGACGAATTTGTGTATTTCCTAACCGTTCGGGGTGGACTGGCTGTTGAGTAGCTGCTCTCTTTTTTCATGCACGTTGACAGCTTGAAACATACCGTAATGATGGTACCTTCACCAGTGTTCTCATTCGCAGCATCAAGATTCATGGGCAAGAATTTCATCGCGGGGGCTGTCATTGCGCGCCGCGCAACGCAAGTGCGACCAGTCTGACGTATCTACATCGTTTGGTGCACTAAACTTGAAGGAGAATGCTTTTTTCGGGGGGTGACTTCCGATCTAATCTGAGATATTCCTGCGATAGCCTTCTGGAAATGGAACACACAAGGAAATTCTGTTTAGGAGGTCACTGAGCAGATAGAGTGTGGTGCTCATTCGCAGGGTGAGTCCATCCAATGCTAATTTTGCGTAATTACCACCGATCTCATTGTCGGATCTGACATTTCGTCCATTCATGTCAATGTAGTTTTGGCTAGTCCGCCGCTCGGGTGATTGGCTACCGCGATGGAAGCGATATACACCCACAGAACTGTACACTGACGAAGGCTAACAGTTGAGGCGGCAGGTTTGTTGCAGGTCCTCTATCGACGAATGACAGCTTGCCCACGACTTCGAGCTATGTGCGTCCGATCAATCCGCTAGAAGATTGATTTATTCTTGCATAACAAAGGATCTCAACTATCGTAGACAACCCAATCACATGCGAAGATATTAACCAGGACTTGCAAACACTTATACGGAACCGTCGACAGCCATTTGCGCTTCCAACTGTCGGAACGCGCGCATAGCGCATGCGAAGTGCGCAATCCCGCACAATGTCACTAACACAACTACTGCCAGGCAAATATAACCCGTAGGCGGGTTCTGTAGCACCCTCGGCTCGCCGCCGCTCATCAGGAGCCACGCAGTCGAGAGTGCCAGCTTGATCAGGAAGATGGCCCCCCTGCATACACAGTAAGACGGCTTCAGTTTTAGATCCCTTCAGTGATGTCACAACTAACTGACCAGTTGACCCATGCGGCAGGAGCCGCTAGCAACGCGACAGTGTTAGGCCAAGTATCTGCAGTTTGCGAGATAGCCTACACGGACCGTCCACCACGCACAACGTTAATGCTACGTGTATCCAGTAATAAACTCGCGATAGAGCTCACCTGAACCCATAGCATTCCTTGGTGGGCGTCCTTGAGTTTGGACATGCGAGCATGATACTCATGTCCGAATATACACGCGAAGAGAGAGGCGATGATGGTGAGTGCCCCAAACATGCAACAGATCGGAGCATTCGCAACACTGGAAAGTTGCATGATGGTGATTGCGGTCCTGCAGTGGCCACAATAGGTTTGCGATCATCTTCAACTACTCGGAAGGAAGAACTCACGTTAACCATAGGCCACACTGCATTCTCGTTGAATCCCGTTCTCCTATTAATCTAGCCACGAAGGTCTCCCATTGTTCTCGGAATTCTTCAGGACTCGGTTTGCAAGTGTTCTTGTCGTTAGGGAATGTGTCCAAACGTGGGATACCATTTGCGGACCAGTTAAGAAGGATGCGGTTAGTGTAAACAAACCGCGCTGCTCGGTCAAGACTTTGCGACAACGTTGTTCGAAGCATCTAGGAGAGGATGAGTTGAAGCACGGAATGATCAGAAAGTTTTCAGTTGGAACAGTGAGCATTTCGTCCATCGCTACTTATAACAGATCCTCCGACATTTGGGGCTGAAGGGGTCCACAGAGGATCGACGTAGGATATCCTGGATGGCAAGAAGCCCTTGTTTGAATGTTGATCCATGTCGTTGAGTTTCCACCGAGCACCTGCAGTTGATATCCTTAGTTTCGATCTATCTTTGGTGGCGTGCAATTATCTTTGGATATACATCAAGTACAAATGGATACGCGCCTAGGAGGATGACTGATAACCGTGCCTCTGCTGGATATTCGGGGTTGATGTCATTGTGTTTGTCGAAATCGGTAAGTAGTTCATGTTTGAGTCTTCAGAATCTATGACAGATACACTGCGCTGTATCAGCATTTTACGTTTGGTATTCATTGTGGCCAACAGGTGCATGGCTGTTTGTCGCACGCTCAATCGGACGGACTTCAAATCCACTCGTGGCCTAGGAGCCGCGGCCCGTTCTTTCGTACTCTCATACTTGTCTTCACTCGAACAGTGCTTCTGTCATTATATGGTCCACCTCAAAGCGTATAATCTGGGCGAGAATCTCCTTTGTTCAATGTTATGGACGGCTAGAACTTATCGACGTGTATCCACCACCATCGGAGTTTAGAGCTCATCCCTCGCTCCGAAGGCCGAGATAGCAGCATATCCAGCACAATTTTCCGGATATTTGTCGTCAAGGAGTCTGAGCGTGGACTATCACACTCCATGGGTCGCCACAGACGACATTGTCTTTTGCGGTTCATATGGCCACTCCAGCACGACCTCCACTGCTTGTGCTCCTTCCGCTTCCTCTGCTCGTACGGATCTACTGGCTCTGGTGTGGGTCTAGAGTGACTTCGCGGATAATTACGGTCACCTGTGGGCCTCAAGCATTTTCTTCGGCGATGTGGAATTCTCACACAAATAACGTCTACCGAACTGTCGATATGTGGCCTTCGTCCGTCGTCGAAGCGGGATTCACGACAAACAAACACGATCGTATTCCTCAACACAGGTTCACCGAGATAATGTCTAACGTTCTTCGACGTTGATTCTTCTTTTATAGGCTTCATGTTCAGGATGTCCCAGGTGATGGCAGACTTGCGTACAACAGTGCAGCTGAAGGCATTTGATTACTACTGTCTCTGGTCATGCTCTACTGATGCATAGAATTCAAGCCTCAACGTACGTCCAGCAATCAGGGACAGAAGGCAAATGCTACGTTGTTTCTATCTCATTGTTATGTGCTGGAAACATTGTGCAGATCTCTGAATCAGTCGATCGCTTCTGGCAGTCATTCGGGACTGGCTCCTTCGGTACACCACGCTCCCCATGTCCATCTGTTTTTCATCTACCTCCTGTACTACACTGTGCTGTCTTGCGCTACTATCCAGTTATGCATCCCGCAATTTCATCATGGTACCAGTGCAAGTACCGCAGAAACACTGTTAGATTTAGCGTCACCGCATCGCAATCGTTGGGGTTGAGAGAGGGTGGTTGAGAAAGATTCATACAATCAGCAACATATTTCCTTAGTCACTCATAAGCATCCTCAGAGATCCTTGTGTTCATCTCGACTTTGATCACGTGGAGGCGCCACTTCAGGAGCACCAGTACACACCTCAGCTTACATGGACGGAGATATAGGAAATGAATGCCGATCGTCAGTGGAGCGCACCATCAACACCTTCTCCTCTTAGAGACGCGCCTCAACAAGGTGAGTTGACGTTACACGGGCATCGCGCGATACTTTGGTAGCTTCAGTCATCAGCTGAAGTGCAGCAGGCCGGTACGCACATTTTCCCTGCTCTATTAGTCTGCGATAATCAAATGCATTGAAATAGTCATCGTCAGTAGGAGGTTGGGAAGGTGGTGCGGGAAGCGGGAGAGGTCCTTGGTTCGGCAGAGCAAGTGGAGGCATAGCTGCTTATACTACGAACGGAGAAGAACTAGTAACAGTAGTGTCCAGGGAGTCGCCGTCGTTCTGAATGGCACGTACTTAGATATTATAATTCAACGTTGAAACGTTGAAGCGTCAAGCTCAAGTTCTGAACAGCAATTCGCCGAGTAGTAGCCGGTAGCGGCACCCTCGGAGTTCCGCGGGCCACTTCCGTTCTCAGCCAGAAGTTACTCAACGCCAACGATCAACCTGGGACTCAGCGCATCGAATATCCCACTTGTCTTCTGGACTTCGCGGAAGAAGTCTACTCATGTTCACCTAAGAGATATCATGGAGGTGAACCAGAGCAACTACGTCAGCTCGGGGATACTGGTCCGAGTGGCGGCCTGCCATAAAGTTGTCGTCAACAAGGGAAGTCGCTGGATTCATCCTTATATGGAAGTACCATTGTGCCCCAAATTATGGAAACGGAGCAATTGCAAGCGTTGCCATCTGATGGGAACCGAACCCTATTTGGCTTCGAATCCCATTGTGTCTTGCCTCGTGTCGTACATCGCTTTTGCTTGTTGCTCAGCTTGGGCTCTGACTCATGCATCTGGCCGATCTCAGCAATAGATCTACGCTTTGATCGAATTCACGGGTTGGTCTGCTGCGGTTTGGCTTCCAGCGTATAAATACCCCCAAGTTGTTCCTCCCCTCTTTCCCCCATCGCCTCTGCATTCTGCTCTCCTCCACGTGGACAGTTGGGCTTCTGGGTATATAATCTGGTGTCTACCGCGCTTTCTCCCATCGCTCTTTCCCTCTGTCTTCCATCATCTATCGTCAACCTCAACCTCAACGTCTTCCACATCCTCAAACCACCTTGCTCAAGCTGAAGGTGTTGTATGACCTCAAGGAGGGTTGAACAAAGGTAAGACTTCTCCGACGTCGTTGTTCGCGACATATGCTCAACGAACCTACCCCCGTCCACGTCGTAGCCACTCCAACATCCTCCTCGGCACCTCGTTGGTAAGTTGGACTGGGCCCCGTCCTTGTCGACGAACTGTATCTCCTGGCATGGCAACACAACGGCGCGACCTCTTCGTCGTTGATCCGGCTGAATGTCAGTTCTGGCGACGGTGGTCACCAATGTGGCCACATCAACACTGTGTCTTTTTCTGGCGATGGGTGGATGGTTGGGTGGGCCTTAGCTTCATTCATGCCCTCTGACGACTTCCTCCGTCGGACGACAAACTTGCCTCTTTACGACGGTTCTCTTCTGTGGGACTTGGTTCTTCTTCTTTCCATTTCCCATTCTCCCGCTTTTTTTTCTATTCCTTTTGTGTTCATGACTCTTGTCGACAATCGCGTGGACCGAACCCCCCGGGGGCTGGCGCGGACCTCTTCGTGGTCCCCGGGACGAGTACCCCGTCGCCCCTGTGCGACGGGCGAAACCAACTCGCGCCAACCTCAAGCCTCACCCGAAATTCAAGGTGCGTCATTTGATTTATTTCTCTCTCGTTTGTGACTAATGTTTGACTGTTACATTCCAGGACGGCCGTCGATGGCCCCGACGTGCACTTACACTAACGACTCTTTGTAGGTGCCCGTGGATTATCGCCATTCCGTCTGCAAGGCTAGCACAAGCTGTTCCTCAACATCGGCGATTAGCGCATGGACCCTGTAAACCCTTCGGAAGGGCGAGATCATCACAGACCAGTGTGCAATGATCTGGGCATTTTTCTGCCCTCTGCACCCTGTGAGTGGTCGGCAGGTCATCTTTCGTTCTATGTCGACTGCAGGCGAGCACAAGCTGTTGATCAGAATCGGCGACGAGCGTATCCTGTAAAGCCTCCCCAAGGGTGAGACCGACGATGTACCGGAGTGCATCGATGACGATGCACAACGGTTTCCGTGACTGGTCAACAGTGATCGCTTCGTGGGTTTTGTTGACTGCAGTCTAGTGCTCGCTGTCGACGGGTCGGCATCGGCGAGGGGTTGGACACTGTAAACTCTTCTGAAGGGCGAGATCGACGGAGAGCCGGTGTGCAATGATGCGGGCGTTTTTTGCCCTCTGCACACAACAATGGCTCTCTGTGACTGGTCGGCAGGTCGCTTTTCGTTCGGTGTTGGTTGCAGTTTGTGCTAGCCTTGCGGTGCGGTTGTCATCAATGCAAGAGAAGGTGAGATTTGCAGCAAGTTCATTCTGTCGGCACTTTTACTGACAATGTCGTTGTGCAGGGTCGCCAGATAAGCGCGTTGAAATACCCTCAATCACATCAGGTGCGTCCCGAGGACGGGCAGCACTTGCGATGCAGCTGCTGTCCGGGCGCGGACCTTTACGTGGTCCTCGGGATAAGTACCCCGTTGCCTCCGGGTGGCGGGGGAAACCAACTCGCGCCGAATCGTGGTTTGCCTCTAGTTCTATGCATTACTTTTGGCTGACCATTCTCCGGCCTTCCAGATGTCTACTTTTGATCACGGATGTCTGGCTCGAAATGAAGGTGCGCTCTTCATTGTGTTATCTCGTTCACTGACCAATGGTCGTCCGCCCAGACCGAGGATGGCCGTCGCCGTCCCTGCCGCATGGTGAGTGTAAACTGCCAGCCAACGTCGCGCAAGGAGCATACACACTGCGCCCTTCCTCGAAGGAGACCGACGGAACGACCCGGTGCGGTCCGATGACGGCACTTGTTGCCTCCGCGCACTGTAGAGCTCTCCGTGTCCGGTCGGCAGGTTGCTTGTTGCTCGACGTTGGTTGACGGTTTGCGCTTGCCTTGCGGTTGTCCTCAAGAGGAGACGGATTCGCCGGAGGATACCTTGTGGCTTTATATTAAGGTGTGTTATCTTAGTTCTGGCTAACGGTTGGTATATCTGCGACGCTGTGAGTGCTGGCTGGCCCCGGTGAGTACTTGTCTCTCTTGTCTGGGCTACACTTGCTCTGGCGACTGCGTCCACCTGTTCGGCGTTTTCTGGCGACACGGCTCTTGAGCGCCGCCCGCTCGAGTCTTCGGCAAATGGTCTGCGGCCATTCTTAGGCGACTATTCATTGCTTTTCTGCTTGTCCGTCAATAATCTGCAAAATGTGGCTCCTTTGCTACTAGTGCTTGGCTCACTGGTGACTGTCATATGTCGGTGAGCGCTGTAGCATGATATAATATTTGTTTCGTTTGATTTCTCTCAGAACGAATTCACGAGTCAGACGATGCGACGTCACAGCGATTAAACGATCTATTTCACTGTGTGGTGAGCACTCCCTTCACTTCAGTTCGGCGAGTGTGCCGCGTTCGTCTGCTTTGACGACGTGTTAATTGAACGTAGACGCAACAGCATTTTGCGCCTGAATGCCGTTGTCAGTCGACTGCATGTTTTTTATTTGGTGAGAGCTCTCTTGTCCTGAGTTGGGTGACATGCTATTCTCGTTCGCTTTCACCCTGGTTAAAGGTAGAATCGCGACAAGACCGCTATATCCAGTAAAGGTGGGTGTTTCTTTTCCCGAGGGCGGGCAGCGCTTGCGATGCAGGCATTGTCCGGGCGCGGACCTTTACGTGGTCCTCGGGATAAGTACCTCGGTGCCTCCTGGCAGCGGGGGAAACCAACTCGCGCCGAACTCCAGGTATGATTTCTTTCTCATATCCGCTTACATGATTCCCCTTTGCCGCTGCAGTACGAGCACGAACGCATTTCTACAGCTACATTGGATGCCATCTTTGTGCCGCCAATACTGTTCGACGGCGTCGGACAAAGATGGTATTGGTAAGTCTCATTTGTTGTTGCCATCTTTTATTTCTGCCTGATTAATTACTCCTGAGAGTAGGTAATCAATGCCCCTCTGCTTCCCGAAGATCGTGATATTGGTTCTGATGTTCCCTTTCTCGAGCTCGACGACCTACTGGGCGATGCCATTCGACCATTTTCGAATTTTATTCTGGCGACTTGGGCTGTCGTGCTTGTTTGTGCTCTGCTTCGGAACTAGTGGCAACATTTTACGGCGACGAATGAACTGGCTAGTTTACCGCGGCAACCCCTCCTCTTCTGCTTGTGACTGTCGTAACCACGGCAGTTCTCTTTCGGCTCGTTTCTTTGTCGCGTCACCAGCTCTGGACTCTCTGGCGACGGCCGACTGCACTGATTCCGCTCTTCTACGGTGAAACACTGAGGTCTGAAAGTCAGCTTGTGTGGTGCGATTGTCTCTGGCAATGTTATCTCGAGTGCGACTTCGACGACTTCTATCGGTCAACGGCTGTCTGGCGGCATGGCTTGGCATTTCTCGCTCTCGGAAGTCTTGTCTATGTTTTTCCCCTCTTTTCTATATAAGTCTCGTCTGACAATCATGTTGTATGTCCCCTCCTGTACCCGAGGACGGGTGGCACCTGCTTTGTGGGTGCTATCCGGGCGCGGACCTCTACGTGGTCCTCGGGACGAGTACCTTGTCGCTTCGGCGCAGGGGAAACTAACTCGCGCCGAAGTCCAACATACATTCGTTCGTTTCATCCGCTGTCATTCACTGATCTACCATTGGTTTTGAAGCTAAAAAAACTCACATCTTAAGACGACTTCCTCACTATGCTAAGCTCGACGACTCTGGTTGCTGTCGACTTCTGCTGCTTCGTCTGGGCGGCACACCACTCTTCTGGTCTGGCTCGCTTGCGTCTTGAATGCTAGAACATGGCACGTCTGTGGCGGCGACGTCTTCACCTATGGCGAACTCTGGCGGCACGACATCAAAATGTATATGCTGTGCTGTCGGGCTCCGTGTGCTGTCGTTTCTGGGTTTGTGTTATTCATCTGCCTCCTGTATTACACTGTGCTGTCTTGCGCTATTCTCCAATTATGTATCCCACAATTTGATCATGGTACCAGTCCAAGCACCGCAGAACAACTGTCAGATTTAGCGTCACCGCATCGCAATAGTTGGGTTTGAGAGGGTGGTTGAGAGAGATTCATACACTCAGCAATATATTTCCCTCAGTCACTCATGAGCATCATCAGAGATCCTTGTGTCCGTCTCGACTTTGATCGTGTCCCTCACGACCGTAGTGTCCGGACGATATCCAGACATCCGTAGTCTAGTCCTGCTACGAAAGTAGACATAACACTAAACAACGAGCCTCAGAACAGCTGCTGCACTAGCCTGACGGATCGGAAAAAAAATGTAGGTTACAAGTCGGGAGAAAACTGGTCGGTGACAGTCAGAACGATCACAAGAGAATTTTCAGGGGACGCACTGAGGCAATGCGTACGACTGTTCCTAGCTGTCCATGGCAGACCTGTGAGATAAATCGAATGATGACTGTAAGGAAGGAATAGTAGCCGCATAGAGCGACAAAATTACCAATCAGCTGCACGGGGTCGCTTCGAGGTTATATTGCACGTTCTTCCGGTACTTGGTGAAGAGGTCGGCTGCTATCTGTACGTGCGCATTGGCGCGAGTAATCTCCTGTGCTACATGAGTCAAGGTAACAGAGAAGTCTGGTCGACATACCTCAAGACAATGATTCAGCTCGACGATGGTTTCCGTGCACTTATCCTGAAAATTTATCCGATACTCACAACTACATGACGCAGAAAGTACGAGTAAACTCACAGCATTCTTGATGATGCGTTGAAGAAGAACGTTTTGACGTTCAGCATGCGGATTCTCCATGGTAAATGCCTGACAACAATTCTACTGATGAAGTGACGGGGGGTGAATACAGATACAGTTGACAGTGAACAACAGAATTAAACCTCGAGTCGCAAGGGAATGTTGGCTGAGAACGCGTCGGTGGCTGAGTATTTCGGCATTTTCCGACGCTGAACCTGCGGTTCTATGTAAGCACCTGTAAGGGTGTTTTCTCGCACTATATTCTTTTCTAATCAGGATGCAGAGCTCTGCATTCCCTACAACTTCCTCAAAGTGTCTTGGGTTGCCAGGTGGGTTGCTGATATTGGTCTCGTTGGAGCTCAGTGCGCAAGACCCTGACATGCAAGCGGGCGAGATATATATGATCTTCTCGTCTTTGCGTGTTACTGAATTCTAACAATATGTAACGCGTTGGGTAGGTACGTCGCGACTTGTGTGGTTTCATCTAGGATTCCACGCGCCTGCAGTACGAGATTGAGCTGTTTGCTGCTGGCCTGATAGACGAGCCCACTGGAAGACTTTTAACAGGACAGCGACTTACTAGACTGAAACAGTACCATGTAAGAACTTTGATTTTTCGTATGAATTAACCGTGGAGCTGTCACAAGACCATGTCTTGTCGGTATCGGTGTCGGCAGTCACTGCGTGTTCCGTCTACTGGAGTTCGCAGACGCTGAGAATTTCCTTGTGATCAATAGTCTCGCGACGCACTCCACATCGTATCCCTCATCTTCACCAAGTGAAGCCGTGCCCTTCCAGCTTCCACCAAAAAACAAACTTTTCTTAAAATACGCAGTCACAAAATGGAACACAGGAAAGACACTTGAGCTCATCACGACTGCTTCTTCGTCCCGTCGAATGGGTACTGACAAGTATAATGTAAAGCTCATGCCCGTGCTGGGGTCGAAGGCTATCGTCGCGTATCATCATCCGAAGTCTCTGCCAAGCGACGGTTTGCAACCTCAACTACGGTCGTTAACGAGCCAAGCACATTCAAGCAGATTCACACCGGCTTCCGGGAAGAGATCACAACGAGCCTGCCGTACCGAAAAGGGGGTTACGTGACTGGAAGAGTCCGTTCTCCTTATGTCCAACGGTGTTGTAACATGGGTAAGTACTTTCCATACGATACGATTTTTGGGGTGCGTCATTAATCTCTGATGCATCGTACACAACGAGGATTTTCGCCGTGTGAAACTTGAATACTTAAGATGCGCTGTACACGGTGAGTGGATGCTCTCTTAAATGGATACTGAACAAGGAGGATCAGTATCTCGATTAATCAGCACCGGAAGACTTCCTGCGTTATGCAGGAACGTGATTGCTAAGGACAGACCATCAAACGAGATCATCATTCACTAAAGACCGTTATAATGGTTGCTTATCCTGTCGGTCTCGACGAAACGGTACGGCGTGATGACAACGCTACAATTGAGCAGGCACCCGAGACAACAGCCGATGTCATCTCGGGTGTGTTCTCCCAAGTCGACACAGAAATGTTGGTTTGACAGCTCCAGGAGTGAAATCGAGCAAGCACAAGGAAATTTGACCCATCTTTGGTTCTTCATCTGGTGCAGCATGCAGCGAGGCCTCTCATACCTCTCGAGGGGACGGTCATGTTGCCCTTCCTACATACGCTCCACCATTCGTAGAGTTTGTCTCCGCATGCTCTGCGAAGAACGACCCATCTATTAGGCGCTACAACCTACTTATCAGCAGGAGTAGACTCTAAATGATCTAGAATACTGTTCACTGGTATGAGTTTTGAGTGGCTACCCCGACAATTTTAGCTCCAACGTAATCGCGGGACTCACAATAGTACAGCCCATGGTATTAAGCTACCAATGCGCAAAGTCGCGGAGGCTACTACAGAAAGTGTGGCGACGACGCCATCGAAGAATCGGCGTACAGCAGGATCACCGATATGGTGACCAGCTAGTAATCAAGGTATTCTGAAGAAAGGGACAGTTGGCAGCACCTGGCCAACATCAGATGAGAGATAGCGTGCAAGCAAACAAAGAGAGCCCATTAAATGACATTGACAGGCATGGCTGCGTCTCACTTCAAATTGTAAGCACTCTGAATTGTGGTCCAGAGTCCTGATCCGAATTATGATGTGAATGCGAGCAAAGGCAGAGCAGAGAATGATATACCTGAACCATGACACCGTCAGCCATTAGCACAGCTTTCTCCAAGCGGTTCTCCTCCGAGGATAATGAGATCCTCGTCCTGCTGAGGCAATACGGCAGGGAGGTCACAACGTCACGGACGAAACTACTCGGTTTACGGATCGTGGACGGGCCAGTTACGTATGTTGTCGATGTTTCAGTCGGCCGTATCGTCCGAGTCGGGAGAGACGTCAGAGGCGTCAGTTGCCTGACTGCACCGGGCGTAAAGTCATACACTTCCAGCATTATTGGTTGCTCTTCAGTGATGATCCAGCTGGCATACGTGACCAAGCCCCTCAGACCCGATGAGGTGCAAACGTCGTCGACAAAAAGGTGCCAGTCATCCGGAGCCGGGAAGATTTGGTGCAGGCCATCTGCAAGCACCTCTATCATCCTCGACCCCGTCGGCCCCCATGCGTCCCAAGGGAGATTGCGTCGTGCACGTCCCGCCTCTACCTTGGCTAGGCTAGAGAGAAATGTGCTGGAGGGCACGAAGAGTATGAACACATCATGTCTGTCTCCGTCATCGACGCCAGTTGGGAGCAATATGATTGTAATGAGAAATAACCGTTCAGAAGCGTCGGCGTGGAAAGGTGCAGGTGAGAGCTGGCGCTGTTCGGAGAATGGGATGGCTTGCATCGCAATAGTCAGCCCGCGAAGTGCGTTCGAGGAGCGTTCCGGTAGATTGAATGCGCACACGTAGTCCCCGTCACCGCTGGGAACGCATGTCATTTCTTCGCAGTCGACATCAACAGAATACACAACAAGTTGATCACCAAGGCAGACCAGGAAATGATCGCAATTGAGGAATGCAAATGAGCGCGGGCATCTTGCAGAGTATTCGGAAGACATTTTCTAGCCATTTATGTCCTCAGTATCACGAAAGGTATAGATACAACGGGAACGAGAAGTCTGCTCACCCAGATCAGGTTTCCGGTTTTCCAATTCCACAACCGCAGGACAGACCTCCCGTCGTCCTCATAGATATCGCCCTCCAGTTCCAACCAGGCCAGAACGTCAGCTTGAAGCGACAAGGCGTGATCAGGATCATAGAACATTTCTACAGGAGACAGAGCCGAGACACGGGCTAATGGATGTGGGTCACCTGTAGCCAGAGACCGAAACTGGATCCTTGCCGTTTTCGTAGGCGGAAATCTGTGAATGACCAATGGGCGTGTGTCGTGCAGTGATCATGAAGGATACTGACGCATGCTCGTCCTCGAGCTCTTGAATCAAAACTAGGAGGTCCTGGTCAATATCCACCTCGATCAGGACCGTGGACATGTCAATCTTCTCGTCCTGAATCAAACACTGCCAACGCTTCTCTTCGAGTCCCCTAAGGCGAGATGGGAGATGCACTATCTCGATCCCGCTACGGGAAGCCTCAGGCTGAGCAAGCGCGCTGGGAGAGATGGAGAGAAAGCTGACACCTTCGGGAATTGTCACTTCAGCGGAAAAATCGAGAGCTCGCCAGGCACGTTGGTACTCTTTCAATCTCTGTAACCTCTCAACGATGGCCATTCTTCCTGGAGGGCCATTGATCATCCCAGCAGCGTACAGCTCGGTTTTGTACTGTAGTCGAACAGAATCCTCTATGAGTCCGTAGAAAAAGCGGTTGACCTGAGATTCTATGTTAGTTGGATAGGCAATGTATCACGATCATCACTTTCCTGCTTAGAGGTGAGCATGCTCGGCACGCTGAGATAGCCCAGGATCATCTCCAGCAGTTCCGTTGACAGCGCTTGCAGTAACATACCCTCAGGCTACTGGTGTCTATCTATGCCCTCTAGACCGCTGTGTAATGATCCCGTCTGTACGGTACGTGGCTGGGGATGGAGACAGATTGCCTAAAAAGGCATGCGTCGCATTTGAACCCATACACCCACCGAACACAGAGGACGAACATTCGTGAATAACATACAACAGACTCTTCTCTAATTGCCACCATAATGAAGGCTACGGTACGTCAACAACTTCCAGGAGAATCATCTAGTGAGTACTATGCCAGGACAGCTATTTTGCGACTCCGCATCATTGTTCAAGTTTCGAAAAGAGCTGTAAAGGCTTACCTTTGTCTAGTGTCCCATCCTTTATCCTTTGCTGGACTTTACTGATGTCTCAGGCAGCCCGGTTTGACGGGATGATTATCTGTCTTCATTTGTCCTGATTCTCCGACAATGACTGCTCTTGAGATCTGTCCGGTCAAGGAGTAATGACGCGCCAAAGCCGGATTTCCTGCATTCTCTTCGGTTTTTGACTATTGAGGAGCTCAATGATCTGTATGCGCAACGAAAGACTAAGAAGAATTAAACATGTAGTGCGTATTTAACTCTTCGGATGGAAGCTACAAAATGAGATATTGCGCTCATGAAAATCTCTTCTCCACTTTCAGCACGTAAATGGAAGCCTATCCCTTTACCAGACTCGTTAACAGCCTCAGGTAGATAGGAGAAGCAATTGTTCCTCTCTATGCCACATTTTGGCTCCTGCGGCTAATGCAGTAATGGCCAGCCGAGAAACATGCCGCCCACTTCGCCCATTTTATCACACATACCAGTACGACACATCGGCACTGCGGACCTCTGTGTCGATTGCGCAGACTCCGGTGCGTTGGTTCAGTCCTTTACATAGGAATTCGCACCTGGTACACGCTGAGTCCCTGATCATTGGCACTGAGATACTCCCGTTAGCCTTAGTGATCACCCGACCTGGCATGCGTGCCCAATACGATGTAAAAATTACGGGTCCTGTGGCCGCATATCGCACCTGAACCTCCGAGATGTATGGTGTATTCTAGCGCAGGGTCATTTCTAGAGGATGCCTAGTGCAAAGGCTCAATTTTATTGCTCAGTGTCAGTCTAATGGCCTCCTCTTCGGCTTGCTGCAGTAATAGGACCCGCGCTCGTCATCTGGCCATGCCCTTTCACTTCCGATACTGTATTTGTGTCACTTTCCGTACGGTTCCTTCACCGATCCGGGTTCCGAATGATGCACTCTGGCGAATCGGCCCATCCGCAGATCATCCAGTGCGGCGAGCATACCATGATCGTCGTTGCCGTAAAAGTATATTCATTTACTGCATCACACTCTATCACCCTCTTCTCCTTATCCACAGGTGCAGCTCATGGCTTGAAAACCCACCCAATCGTATGCTACCAGTCCTGACAGGCCTTCAAGTTTGCGAGATGGCAGCCGTGGTCACCCACTCATCATCGTTCTTGCTCCATCGCGCATTTTGCTCATCTCCACGGCATCCTGCAGATCACGATGATTTGTAGGGCCTTCCACGCAACACGTACGTATTAAAACCTGACGGTGATAGACCTGGACGCACTAACCGCATTTCGTCCAGGTCCTCTCACCGCGCACTCGCGCTATCGATCGTGGCGCTGCATGCTTATAAGGCCGCGCTTCGTCAGCGCCCACAATACGAATAATACCACTAGCTTCGGGGGCGCGAAATATAAAGTCCGGGCATCCGCCGTTCAAGATGCCTGTGGCTGGATCGTCCCAGCCTTCACCACCGGCGTCCACGAAGGAAACCCCAACGCGCACTATCATGTAAACGCTGCTCACTGAGAGGTAGTCGCGCGAGCTCAAGGCACAGGAATACAAATACACAAATTTTCAGCGTTAACACGTCGGGAAGCCTGAGAATCGGGCACCTTACTACCTCGAATCTCTTCCCTGAGGGCCTGCATGGGTTCCCCGAACACGAAGTACGCACCGTGTGCAAACCAGGAGGCTGAGATCCGGCTCTATCTCGTATTTGGACAGAACACCGCCCGCAGAACCGCCTCAGGTCCGCACGATTATGCAAAGGCCTTCTCGTCGTTCTCATACAAGGCCGTAATCGCTATTCGATTAGTCGCTCGAGCGATAGTGGCTGATACGTGCCGCTCCGCACTCGAAAACGTATCTTCCCAGGGACACGCTGAAGTTGCGCAGCGCTCGAATTCATAGGAAGTTGCTCGCAGAAATTCGAAAATTCAGTATACGATGCGATCTATTGCAAGCAACAAGACCAAGCGCGTATCGTAACCATCGACCGGAAGCGCACATCCATCCAAGCATGGTAAGCAGAACGACCAACGACCATCGTCGAGCCGCACATAAATCATAAACAAACGTGAGAAAATCGTACCGTACGAGCGTATGCGTTACAAAGTCAACTCAGTCAGTCAGTCGTACAGCACTAGCACAAGCATACATGCCTTCCCAGAAGCGGACAGACGCGACAGCAGACAAGCGAACCGAGCCGCCTGGCGAAGGCGGAGCACGCAGCCCCTGCCTTTCGAGCGTGGAGGTCGTGGGGAAAGGCGTAAATACGATCTTGATCGCGCGGGTCGTGAGACGGTCAGTGGTGGGATTGATATGAACGAGTGGACACGGACGGGCGTCCGCACTTCGTTCGGGCATTCGGAGATAGCATTGCACTGCGCACAGACGCAGACACAGCCCCGCATGCGAGGACGGGTGCGGGCGGGAAGTGGGTTGGGGTCGGCCGGCCGATATCGCGATATTCGAGGATGAGAAGATGCGAACAATGAAGGAGGGAATGAGTGGAATGCGGCGAGAAGGAGACAATGCGTGAGTACCGGTAGAAGTGCGAATGGTGAACCATGTAAGTAAGATCAAATGAGCACGAGCAGGAATCCGAGGTCGAGACGAACAAGCAGCAACGACGGACGGTGGGAGAAGTGAGAAGAACCAGTCGGGGGACGACGATCCAGAGCGCCGTCGAGTCGAGTCAGACAGGACATGAGACGCAAGCTCATCCCGACGCAAAGCTGCTCGCACTATCACTGCGCTCCCTCCGCTTGGGAATAGTCAACCACCCCCACCACCGCCCGTGCTCCTTCACGCTCTCCTCGTCCTCCTCCTCGCCCCCGGGCACGCCGAGCCCCTCGATGTTCGCGAAGCTCACGTACCCATCCATCGCGCGACAGAGCGCCGCAGCGGTGTGCGCGTCGAACGGCGGCGAGTCCGGTGGCGTGCGCGGGCTGCCCGACGTCGACGATGGCGAGACCGACGGCTGCGGTAGCGCACCGCCCACGCGTGGCGAGCGCGGGGAGAAGCCCGTGCGATTCTTGGGGTACTTGGCGTCCGCCGAGCCGAGCGAGGCGACGCTCGACTGTACGACCTTGTCAGCACGCACGCAAACCGCTGGGGGCAGCGCGGCACTCACGTCTTCGACTGCCCCAAAGAACAGGTCGCCCTCCGCACTCAAATTCCGGCTGCTCGCCATCGAGTTCCCGCTCCCACTTCCACTACCGCTACCTCCGTCCCGTCGCTCAACGCTCTGCGTTCTGCGCTCTTGCTCCTTCGCACCGCGCAGCACGCCTTCTAGCCGGCTGCGTAACACCGCCTCGTGCGGGGTCATCGCATACTGATGTTGGTGCTGGTGTGAATGCGGACGCTCCGCATCGAGCGACGCCCGCTTGGACACGGGCGACTGCTGTATCTGGGGCTGGCGGGGGCCGTGCGCCGCGTACGTCAGCGAGCGCTGCAGGGGCACACGCTTCGGACTTGCCTGGGCCCGGGTCTTTATCGCATGCGCATTCTTGGGACTGTCCGCACTCGTCATGCTCCTGTTACGCACGAGCGCCCGCCCATGCAGCTGGTGGGCGTACTGCGCCTGCGCGTGCTGCGCGTGGTTGCACGAGGACTCGCTGCTCGCAGAGGCCGTGCGCCACAGATAGTCGCGCGCGTCCCCGTCGTCCGTATCCACCTCCTCGGCCCGCTCCGCGGGATAGTCGAACGAGTCGCTCGAGGACGTGCTGCGGCGATGGCGCTGGCTCCTGGGCGTCGAGGGGTGGCTCCGCGCGCCCACACCAAGGGGGCCGGCGGGGTAGAGACCTGGGCTCAGGGGAGGCAGCGGCGGGCTCAACATGCGGTCGTGCTCTTCGGCACGGCGGAGCGTGTCGCGCAGGAGGCGTTCGGAACGGCTCGGCGGTCTCGGCATCGGCGGTCGCAGACCCGGCAGTTGTGTTGGCAGAACCTGAGGGGACGTTGGTCGACTGCTGGAGGGGCGCGAGGGCGACCGTCCGCGGTTTGCTGGTGGAGCTGGTGAGAAGACGCGGGAGGAGGAGAGGACGGGGGAGGGTGCGTGTATTTGCATGGACATGGCGAGGGTGGGGCGGCCGCACGTCGGAGCGAAGCCGCGACTGAGGAGGAAAGTACGTGGGGGCGTGGAGGGTGATCTGGAGGAGGAGTTAGGGGGGGCACGCTCATAAAGGGTAGAAGAGGGGTCATGAAATCAGAGGTGAGTGGGAACAGTGATTATACAGGGGAAAGCTGAGAAGCGCGCCAAAGAGAGTGAATGTGTCAATTCAGTGCTGGCCCAACGTGGACCGGGTCAGAGACCGGCCACGAATTGCGAAGTCCAGAACAGATGAACTTCGACGAGGATAAGGTTCACCCGAGCTACTTGTGAAAGTCATAACCAAGACAAGGGGATGCGATCACGAACGCTGAAAGCACATGACGGGCGTGCAGCAGCGCCTTCAAAAAAGAAAAAGAAATATACGACATCTCACCTTTGGGGACGCGACCGTTGGACGCGTGGGGACGGCGACGGCGTCGAAGGCTCAAAGGATGCTGGGGAAGGCTCAGAGACGGCGAAGGAAGCGATAGAGGCCGATGGGGGAAGATAGGCGTATTGACTATTTCCAAATGTTCTCCGGGGGGCACGGTGTCGGTGCGGGGAGGCGGGAAGAGTGTTGGTGTAAAGGTGGCGAGAGGAAGAGGGTGCGGTGGTATTAACAGAGATTGCACCGTCACGGGGAAGAGAAGGAGAGGCCCGTGGGGGAAGCCAGCCGGAGGATGCGTGGTGGACCTGATGGGCCTGGGTTCCTGCAGCCTGCAGCTTACCCGAGCCGCGGAAGAGCCGGGCAGCCTCGTTGCATGGTGCGAATGCTCGGACTTTAGTCACGGACTTGGACTCAAGGACATCTCGAGTTTCGCCATGATTTGAATCTGACCCTTCAAATCGCGCATCGTAGCGCGGCAGAGCGTGCGCGAACCATAGGCTGGACGAGCTCGACTTGGGCGACTGCCAACCCTCCGAAGACCCTCTGCTACTGGTCGTGCGAGCGTGTCGCGCGCGAGACGCGCTCTCAACGCGCGACCCGCGTGCCTGCGCCTGTTTCCCGCCCGGGAGACGCGAATAGAGAGATGGGGGCGGTGATGCAGCAGAGATGGAGGACAGCGAAGAGAAGGTGGACATCGCCCAGGACGGCTAGCTCGAGGCTCGCTGGGTTCGAAGCCGGCAGAACGCGACGACCTGTCCAAATAGGTGTGCGCGATTGATTTGGTCGAACTTTGGCGGGAGCGAAACGCGGCCTGCGTTGTGGCAGTCGAGCTTGCGGTCGAGTCGGTCGTCGGGAGCTTGGTGGACGTCGGGAAAGGAGCGTCGCAGACAGGGCGACGGCCGTAGTGTCGGTTGCTCAATTTCGATACCCCATTTTCTTGTGGCAGTGCGTCATCTGTGACATTTTTGTGACAGGCTTTCGTCGAATATCCTTTCCTCGCCCGACGCTTAATTTGGACACCCCACACTTCTCTCAGCCGACTCCACACTCCATCATCGCGCTCGACCGCCAGCTGTGCTCGAAAATTTACTTCAGCTTGCGGGTTCCACTTTGGCTCTTTTTCCGTCCAAAAATCGCAGCCACGATGCAGCCACAACACCCGGCCGCGACCCGGGGCCGCGGCAAATTGGTACCCCAGAAATGCAGTTGCCGCGCCACCTCGGCAGGAGCATCCGGGACTTGCCGTATTCCTGGCCAATAGTGGGGCCTGGATCTCAGCGGCGCTCGGCCCTCGCCGACATCCCGACTCTTCGCTGGCACTGCCTGTCCATCGACCACAAATCATCGTGGCGTCTCGCCGACAGTCTCGCGCGCATCTATGTCTCAACCCTGGCCCGGGAATTGGTACGTACAAGTGCACAAGTGTACAGCTTCAACAGGTGATGTACAGCAGTACTCCTGCAGCTGGACCAACTACCGTGTCCAGAAACACCGGCGATCCAGAATAGTGTCCGTCGTTGATGCGTGGGGCGACGAGCCTGATCCAGCTTCGTGAGTTGTCCAGATATCGCACACCTGACATCGTTAACCGAATCAGACAGGTCGTCTGGTTTCTCGTCTTTGACCTCCGGGATTAAGGTCCGACGGGCGAGCGACCTCCGTGTCCGGTTTCGCGATGCGGATCAGTCGTCGAAGCCAGATCGATGCGCACCTGCTCGAAGTTCTGCACCTCCATCTAGCAATAACCGCGCAGACGCGTGCAGACCCGACACGCCGCAGGCTGTCGGTGCACGCGCATGACGCATCGTGTGACGGTGGCGATCGGCTGTGCAGCTCACAAGGTGGCTCGCGCAGAGCTTGAAGCTTGAGCTTCGCCGCCCGTCGGTTTAACTCGACGTGCCTTGATGCGAGCTTCGCCACGCGTCGGTTTACCTCAGACATGTCTCGATTTTGTGAGTCCCTTGCGTACTGTTGTTGTGCAGTGGTCTGACGTCTGTCCACTCGGATGTATGCGCTTCTCAAGCAGCGACTCATAGCAAAAACAACGCTGCGGGGTGCACCGTCCCATGACGCAGCTCCCATGCTCCACCTCCCTCCAACCTGGTGCAGCAGCTACCTCAAAAATTATACGCGTCTCTCCGCCGCATCTGCCGATTGCGCTCCTGCAACGATCCCATTGGGTGGACAATTCATTATACGCCTATTATCACACGCCACCCACGGACACCCGCCCGGCGCCCATCAGCAGCACCGCCGCATCCAGCAACTCACTGCACGTTGCAGCCACGCAGCCCGCCTCACATGTATATCTCTGGAAGTGCGACTTCGGAGCGCTGCGCGATGCAGCTGATCGCGGCCCATGAGAAAACGGCTTTGCATATATGCAGAGGCGTTTTCTCGTACGCCGCGGTCATCCTGCATCTTTCCGTCCGATCGTCCAGCGGCTTTGCGGAGAATATTCGTTCGATCGGGCTGCGGTGCCACCCCGCCGCAACGGAATTCAACAGCTAACGCACGATGCAGATTTCGAGCATGGATGTATGCTCGGTCGTTGGAGAGTCCCAGCTCGCACTGTGCTGGATAACACGTTCTATGGACAGTGATATTCTCGCACGGCGCGCGGTCGCGCTGAGGGGTGACCAACTCTTATCAGCCGCCTCCTAGCGTGAGTCTCGTATTGAACGTTCGTGGTTGATGAAACTTTCGCTCTGTTTTTCTCAGGCTGCGCTTCACTACACGCCTGTTGCATCGTGTGCTTCTCGTTCATCTGAGATGTGCATTTCTGCCTTCGCCTTCTCGTGGGTTACGTGAGGGTTCGTTGTTCGCTCGAAGTGCGAGCGTCGTGCATCGACCCGCACGGCTTCCGAGATTCGATCACAATTCATTTCTCGATATCCGCGCGTCTCTCTCGCAGCGGCGCGTTTCCGCTCGGGGGGCGCGAGAATATCGTATCGTGGTTGTGAAACATCTCATTTTTGCGATTTTGGTCTTCAGAGGACTGCGCCAGCTCTGGAGCGTCCTCAAATTGATAGCCGGGTCGGCGTTTTACAGCGCAGACCAATACGAAGTTCCGTCGAGTTGCGCGCTTTCGTGAGTCGATTTGTAGTCTCTTCGGATGGTTGGTATTTGTTGAGATCGCAGCTTGGCGCGGGCGCCCCGTAGGAAGACCCTTCACTGAGAAGCCCTCCGATATCTGTATATAGTAGGGAGGAACAGCTTCACCGCCTATCGGCGTGAGTCTCGTCTTGACCGTTCGTCGCTGAGGCAGATTTCACTCTTGGCTTGCTGTGCGCTCTTCCCAGGCCACGCCTCACTTAACGCGTGTTGCATCGTGTGCTCCTTGTTCCACTGAGATGTGCGTTTTCGCCCTCTCGTGGTATACATGAGATAGAATCATAATTCATTTCTCGATTGCGATTACGGCGCGTCTCTCTCGCTGAGGCGCGTTTCCAGCACTGAGGAGGCGCGAGCATGCTGGCAGGAGGCGGGTCCTGGATGTGAAACATTTCAATTTTTGCGAGCTTTGGTCTCTTGAGAAGCGTGCAAGTCGCCGAGCGTCCTCAAATTTACAGCTGGGTCAGTGTTTTTACAGCGCAGACGGTTGTCGGGTTGTCGAAGAGACGCTCCGTCGGGTACTGCGCTTTCGTGAGTCGATGTGCTGTGTCTTTGGATGATTGGTATTTGATGAGATCGTCGCTTGCAGCCCCCACGTAGGATCCGAGATGCCCTTCGGCATCCGTGGCAGGGAGGAACGGCTTCACCGCCTCCCAGCCTGAGTCTCGTCTTGAACGTTGGTGGCTGACGAAAATTTCACTCTTGGCTTGCAGTGTGCTGTTCCCAAGCCACGCTTCACTTAACGCGCGTTGCATCGTGCGCTTGTCGTTCGTCTGAGACGTGCGTTTTCGCCTTCTCGTGGTTTACATGGGAAGATATTCCGAGGGTTCGTTGTTCGCAGCCTGCGCGGACGGTCGTGCATCGACCCGTGGCATCTGAGATTTGATCATGATTCATTTCTCGAGTGCGATTACGGCGCGTCTTTCTCTCGCAGAGACGCGTTTCCAGCGCTGAGGAGGCGCGAGAATACTCTCAGGGAGCCGGTCCCCGGTTGTGAAGCGTTGCAGCTTTTGCAAGCTATCCTCAGAAAATCGAGCCCTCCCACCGAGGCGTGTTTCCGGCGCTGAGGCGGCGCCAGAGTACTGCCAAGGGGCGCATCCTGGCTGTGAAACATTTCAATTTTACAGTGCAGACGGTTGTCGAAGAGAAGTTCCGTTGGCCACCGCACTCTCGTAAGTCGGTTTGTAGTGTCTTCGGATGGTTGGAATTGGATGAGATCGTCGCCTGCAGCAGTTCCCACATAGGAAGGTTCTTGACTGAGAGGCCTTCCGACACACCTGTGCTAAGGAGGAATCGCTCAAGCTTCTCGCACTGCAGCGGTCCCCTGGCTCGCATGGATATCAATATTCTCAGGTCCGCTACCACTCAGCCGATCTGGCATCGCTGTGGTGAGCGCCCTGCAGCCTGCACACGGGCTGGTCAGCTGGTTGACCTCGCGCTTCGTCTCTGCCGAACAGTATCGAATTCGTGTGCCCGCACAGAATATATTCCTGGTCGATTCAGCGCACGCATGCCAGAAACTTTCGCTTTAGTCTGTGGAGGCTGCGAAGACGTGAGGTCAGAAGTGATAGTACAGCTCCCAGGCCGGTTTCTGCTCGGTCTGATTCTCTCGCATGCCAGAATGTGTCATTTCATTCCAGCCGGGGCGTATATGCACCCTGCGAAGACGCGGCTTGCAATGCGATACACGTCTCGCGATCTACGCGTTCGGGATGGGTTTGTCGCTAACTGAGCAGTGTCGTGAGGAAGACCAAAAGACGAGAGACGTACTCCCAGAGACTGTCACCGCCGGATCGCCGACCAGCTCATCTCCAGAGGCAGGCCGAATTTAAGAGTGAATGGTGCAACAACTCGGCCCCGACGGTAAGTCTGCACCGTACCTCCGGCAGCACACCCTCCCCCTCCTCACTGTCGCTCGCAGGCCCTGGCGGGCAGCCTCCGTACCTGACTATATGCGCTCTACTCGCATTCATATTCGTCCGACTTTCCCAATATCCTTAACACGACTCAGGACTGCTTCAAAATTTAACCACCGCACCGATCGTGAGTACATCGTACCTTCAGAGCGTGTTCTAGCGTGTAGTAGTCTCGATCTCGCATCCCAGACGCGCCGATGACAAGGCTGGTGGGCTCTAGCGTCCCTCTCATCTTCTGCACAAGAGACACGCTGGAACGCCACTGGACTCTGCTTCTCATGATTTGGCGTTTACTGGCCGCGGTGAGAGATCATACCCCACTCATCCTCACCCGAAGTGATGAAATTGAATAGAGGAGTCTCGGCAGAAGGGTGCGCTGCGCAGAACAGAGCGGTCGAGGCAATCTCAGCGAATGCCATCCGCCGGACGCCCGATGCTGCAGGTGCAAGTTGAGTTATCGCCCTATCGCCCTCCAATCGCACGGCGAAGCGAAACACATCGTCGTTTCGTAGACGATGCAGTTAGTGTGGCCTGCAAAAAGGGCCCCCCTCGTGTGCTGGACCCCACTTTAGGTGCGAGACCTGCTTATTCCACTGGCTGGCCCTGGTCATGAGATTTGATGATTGCGCGAAGGTGGCTCGACCATTGAAGTGCGTGAGAGGCCTACGTTCCCTTCATCGTTATTGGAACAGCGCAATTCGCGCTTACTCCGCTCCACTGACCAGCAGACGTCGCTGTGGGACTGGATATGTGGATTGGATGGCGTTTCGCTCAAGCGTGGAAGCTCGTTCGTACTGCATGGTCTGGACTGTAGACTCGCGATCGGAGCTGGTGGACGAACTGTCCTGTGACGACGCGCGCTTCGCGTGGTGATGCAGGTGCGTGTCTTCGAAACCTTCGTATTATAATGGGTCCTCACGTGTGTGCGTGTCTTCGGAACCTTCAACCTTCGTCCTCACGTGTGCGAGCGAAGCCTCCTACGGCATTTATTGCGCACTGTTCCTTGGTGCGACGTTCTCTGCCAGCCACAGGCCGTAATGAGCTTCGCACGGAGGTACGTCATTCTTGGCAGCCCCTTGCAGATCCATAGCATTACAGATGCTCGCTTTGCACGTGTGGGAGGAATGCTGCAGCGCCATCGAACGTGCTGCATTAGATCAGCGACGACGCACAGGTGATATGACCTGACCGCAGTGACCTGAACACAGCCGGGTCTGTTGTTTATGTTACAGCGCCTTGTGGGCTCATGAACGTTGCAGTATATACGCGCACTGCAGAAATGTCTTGGGCAAGTTGAGAAGTCTCATGATGAAACCGAATGCAGTATGCCCGCTGTGCAAGAAGTCGCAGGTCGGAGATCATGTATAACCCTTTCCGACTTTCAGCTGCTATTTTCACTGGCCATGGTGCGTCATCGTCTGAATGTCAATGACGTTGACGTTCCGAGGTCAGTGCGGCGTATATGTCTCATCGGACTCATCAATGCATCAATCCTCTCGAGGTGCTCTCATGACCCACAGTATGTTCTCTGTCCTCCGAAGAGTATACAACCCGTACGTAACACAAGCGCCAGCTCATCATGTCAACTGACCCAGCCGATCCGCTGTGCAAGTTGTTTGAGCTGCAACAGGAAGAATTTTTTTGATGCGGGCTTGCTGCTTACAATGTTCGTCAGGTAAGTTTGCAAAGACATTGTGATGATACTTATCTTAGCTGAAGACGTCAAGCTGTACGCATGACACTCCGTGGCCCGATGAAACGTCATCTCCTTTTTCTTCACGTACTGCTCGGACAATCCTTCTTCCTGAGGCCCTGGGAAGCCCTGGGATGTTGGCCATGCTGCGTGGCGTGTCCTTCGACAGTCGAGCGACAACGGCACCTTAGCTCAAGGACGCCCGTTCATGACGAATCGTGCGGATGGTAATCGTCATGCGAGCGCTTTAGTCACTTCTTCGGCTCTTTCGCGGATTCGTTCGTCATGTCCATGGGCTATGTTACTCGAAGTCGGATACTTCTCCATCCAAAATTCCTTGCTGCTCTCTGGCACCCCAATCACATCACTACCGTGATTTAGCGAGGCGTATTGTCCAACTTCCGCCCTCTACTGCATATTATTATTATCCAAGGTATGCCGATCCGAGGGAGTATAGCCGGCTGCCAGTTGAATCAGCTCTTTCTACAGGCCACCAAAGCCATCCCGCAGGTGCCTTTCTTTCGATTTCTGTTGAAACGCCGTGCCTCTTGGTGTTCTATGGTTACCATCGGCATCGTTCATTAACGAGTGGTGCGATCCTGATCCTCTGCACCTATTGGGACATATCTTCTAACAACCACGATACCTGTCAGCTGCAAAATTCCCAGTCTCAGGCCAGAATTCTACAGCCCTTTCGTGACATTGGTGCGAGCAAGCGATCTCGGGTTACACGCCAAGTCAATCATCATGGGCTCAATTTCTGCTTTGAGCTAACGAGGATCCTATGGTTGTCCCTTTATGCGCGGCCAAGTCTATCAGAATGCAGTGCCACTGGACGGCCTCACACCCTCTCTCCTATGTTTAGGATAATAGGCTTCAGGGTCAATCTTGCTCCAAGCCGCGGCGTCGCGAACCAATGCTGGACAATGCCGCTCTCCGCTGTGTAGGTTCGGGTTCGAGACGTTCAAACTAAGGATCTGCAGCTCCCAATTCAGAATGCCTCGGCTTCGACGTTACCCAATGCCTGGTTCTCGCGGGCGGGACGCATGCATACCCGGATTCCGTGGGATGGTCTTGCAAAGTATGGCGCAATTAGGAATACGGGAAATACAGGCTAACCCAAGTTTAGAACGCATGTTGTGCGACTAAACTATTTTTTTCGTTTTAGGCTCAGGCCTTTCAATTAGCATTCGCGGACCTGCACCGAACTCTTGTGTCCTGCTGCTGCCTATATGGCTAACAAGCGACTTCCGCCGTCTTCCATCGGCTTCTAGCTCTGTTCTATTTAACGTTGAACAACAGGGTACGAACTCTGAGGGGAGTCATCTGTAAAGAGCGGTCCGTACAAGCCCAAGTGCACAAGGACCACATCGAGGGAATAAGCATCGAATGAACACGCCAAGAAATATTTGACTTGCATTGCAGAAAGTTCCTCGCTGAACGAAGTGCGAGATAGGTATGTGACCGTAGTCGACTCACAGTGTTAGTGTATAGAGTATTATGTAGAGTCGTAAGATCGTCGTCACGTTGAACATAGAGCGATCGCCATCCGCATGTCCATTCGCAGCTCGAAGTACGTAGAATATGGCTAAGATGAGCTGAGTAGGAGGTACGGAGTTTCGTTCCTTTCGTCAAGCACTGGCCTTGGGCTTTCATTGCTGTCAATAACATATCATGTACCTGGCGGGTGGCGGGTGAGAGCCAACCTGAGCAGTGGTTACCTCATAGAAGATAGCATGCCGCGCCCGAGTTCTTAACCGGCAAGTATAGCAACCCGGAAATGACAGCACATGGAGCCCGAAGCATAGCGTATATATTTTGATGTCGTGCCGCCAGAATGGTACCGAGTTGGCCATAGGTAAAGACGTCGCCGCCACAGACGCGCCATGTCCTAGCATTCAAGACGCAAGCGAGCCCGACCAGAAGAGTGGTGTGCCGCCCAGACGAAGCAGCAGAAGTCGACAGCAACCAGAGTCGTCGAGCTTAGCATAGTGAGGAAGTCGTCTTAAGATGTGAGTTTTTTTAGCTTCAAAACCAATTGTAGATCAGTGAATGACAGCGGATGAAACGAACGAATGTATGTTGGACTTCGGCGCGAGTTAGTTTCCCCTGCGCCGAAGCGACAAGGTACTCGTCCCGAGGACCACGTAGAGGTCCGCGCCCGGATAGCACCCACAAAGCAGGTGCCACCCGTCCTCGGGTACAGGAGGGGGCATACAACATGATTGTCGGACGAGACTAATATAAAAAAGAAAACAAAGCAGAGAAAACAAAAAAGGATAAAAACATAGACAAGACTTCCGAGAGTGAGAAAGGCCAAACCATGCTGCCAGACCGTCGTTGACCGATAGAAGTCGTCGAAGTCGCACTCGAGATAACATTGCCAGAGACAATCGCACCACACAAGATGACTTAGAAACCCCAGTGTTTCACCGTAGAAGAGCGGAATCAGTGCAGTCGGCCGTCGCCAGAGAGTCCAGAGCTGGTGACGCGACAAAGAAACGAGCCGAAAGAGAACTGCCGTGGTTACGACAGTCACAAGCAGAAGAGGAGGGGTTGCCGCGGTAAACCAGCCAGTTCATTCGTCGCCGTAAAATGTTGCCACTAGCTCCGAAGCAGAGCACAAACAAGCACGACAGCGCAAGTCCCCAGAACAAAATTCGAAAGTGGTCGAGATGGCATCGCCCAGTAGGTCGTCGACCTCGAGAAAGGGAACGTCAAAACCAATATCACGATCTTCGGGAAGCAGAGGGGCATTGATTACCTACTCTCAGGAGTAATTAATCAGGCAGAAATAAAAGATGGCAACAACGAATGAGACTTACCAATACCATCTTTGTCCGACGCCGTCGAACAGTATTGGCGGCGCAAAGATGGCATCCAATGTAGCTGTAGAAATGCGTTCGTGCTCCTACTGCAGTGGCAAGGGGGAATCATGTAAGCGGATATGAGAAAGAAATCATACCTGGAGTTCGGCGCGAGTTGGTTTCCCCCGCTGCCAGGAGGCAACGAGGTACTTATCCCGAGGACCACGTAAAGGTCCGCGCCCGGACGACGCCTGCATCGCAAGCGCTGCCCGCCCTCGGGAAAAGAAACACCCACCTTTACTGCGTGTAGCGGTCTTGTCGCGGTTTCATCTTTAACCAGTGTGAAAGAGAACGAGCACAGCATGCCACCCAACTCAAGACAACAGAGCTCTCACCAAATAAAATGAAAATGCAGTCGATTGACAACGGCATTCAGGCGCAAAATGTCGTTGCGTCTACGTTCAATTAACACATCGTCAAAGCAGAGGAACGCGGCACACTCGCCGAACTGAAGTGAAGGGAGTGCTCACCTCAGTGGAAATAGATCGTTTAATCGCTGTGACGTCGCATCCTACGTCTGACTCGTGAGTTCGTTCTGAGAGAAATCAAATGAAGCAAATATTATATCATGCTACAGCGCTCACCGACATATGACAGTCGCCAGAGAGCCAAGCACAAGTAGTAAACGAGCCAGACTTTAAAGATTATTAACAGAAGAGCAGAAAAGCAGTGAACGGTCGCAGTGAACGGTCGCCTAAGAATGGCCGCAGACCATTTGCCGAAGACTCGAGCGTCGGCGCTCAAGAGCCGTGTCGCCAGAGTAGATTTGACCCGGCCATCGTTGACTCACCTTTACACAAAGCGGCGCCGCCACAGTCGATACCAGCCATCGTCAACTTACCTGCCCATAAACCAGAACCAGTACACGCAAGGGGCCGCAGTATCGTGTCGCCAGAGAACGCCGAACCGGTGGACGCAGTCGCCAGAACAAGTGTAGCCCGGACAAGAGAGACAAGTACTCACCCCGCCCAGCCAGCACCTACGCTCACAACGTCCCAACTATACCAACCGTTAGCCAGAACTAAGATGACACACCTTAGTATAGGGCCACAAGGTATCCTCCGGCGAATCCGTCTCCTCTTGAGGACAACCGCAAGGCAAGCGCAAACCGTCAACCAACGTCAAACAACAAGCAGCCTGCCGACCAGACACGGAGAGCTCTACAGTGCGCGGAGGCAACGAGTGCCATCATCAGACCGCACCGGGTCGTTCCGTCGGTCTCCTTCGAGGAAGGGCGCAGTGTGTATGCTCATTTGCGTGACGTTGGCTGGCAGTTTACACTCACCATGCG